ATGCTATCTCCTGGTACGTTCTTAACCTGGCATGACCACCCGACATGGCGGAACGAGCATGCGAGTTTACACCCCCACCATGCTCGTGCCCAGAAGCTCTTTTCTGCCGTTACTCTGTCTTTCTTCCGCTCTTCCTCAGACGACGAGGAGTCTTCATCCACCTTCTCTTTCTTCCCTTTCCTCTCGCTTTCCACAGCAGAAACCTTACGCCACCCCTCCCGATCAGGACTCCCCAGTAAAATCCAATCCAGATACACAAACAGCGCGTGCAACACGCCCGTATTAAGGGCTAAATGAATCCCCCACGCGCCATCCCACTCGCGGTACACAGACTGCCACGCGAAGAGCAGGAGCGGCGGCAACGTAGTCAAGATCTGCACAGCCCGACGCTGGGGCCCGATGGCCAGGGCGAGGATGTTGCAGAAGTGCAGGAGGGGGGTTTGTAGGGCTAGGATGGGGGGCGGGAGTTGAAGTGCCATTGTTGTTGCCATTGGCATGCGAGCGTGAGTGGAATAGGAAAGAAGGAAAGAAAGGGGGAACAGCGAAAGCGAAAGTTAAAATACACACTCCGACAACATCAAAGGATACATCTTCCACCGGTCTTTATATAGGTAGCCCACCCCCCCGACCTCGACCGCGAAAGTCAGTGTATACGGTATACGGTGTACGGCCGTGGTTTCTGTTTCTCCACTGCTACTACCTAGACCGCCAGACCGCGAGTCGTCTAGCCGTCTGCTACGCCGAGCTCCACATATATGGCGCGCGCGCTCCACCCAATCAGCGCACTCTCTAAACGGTAGCGTCGGTGTCATTGTGAAATTTGGGTTTTGATTTGGATTGGGTATACACACACAGCGCGCAAAAAGATGGGGATGAGGATGAAGAAGACGAAGTAGGGACAATTTCAATGCCATTGTAACAAAAAGAATGCGTACGTAAAAATAATCATGTATCTTGATGCTCATCGTCTCGCCATCTCTTGCGCCACCACTTCAACTTGAACCAGTCGCCGCCTTTACTCTGCGTCTCGATATCCCCGTCTGCATCTGCGTCGGAGTCGTCTGGATCGGGGTGTTGGAGGAGCGCGGCAGAGCTGTCTGCAGGTTTCTTGCCGTGCGACGCGCTGCGACTTCCGCCCAACGCGTCGAACCATGAACGCCTGCGCATCTGGTTCAGCCAGGCTGATTGTGTGTTCTTCCTCCGCGTGGGCAATGTGCCTGATATAGATCGTGGTCGTATGTCCAGATCTACGGATCGTCGGACGTGTCTGTCGTTGAGCTCGTCCCAGATTTCGTGGGTTTCTTCCGTCATAGTTACACGTCGTCTGCGCGGGGGTCTGCGTGGGGATGGGCTCGCACGGGGACTTGCGTGCGGGCTGTTGGGTTCGGAGTCGTCTAACACGGGCCGTTTCTTCGGCCGTGTGGATATAGTGAGGGCGGGACCGGTTGGGGCGCGCTGCAGCAGGGGAGTCCGTTCGTCTACACTCTTGCGCTTTAGTTGCTCGGCAATGGAGCCATGGGCGCCTGGGGCTTGTTCTTCAATATCGAGTGGAGATTCTGGGTCGTCGAGGAGGTGACTGTGCATGAGGCCGATTCCCGGTTGGAGCACAGTCTGCGGGAGGGGTACCCTGCCAGGGTGTTTGCTGGCTACCGGGGAGATGGGCTCCTGTTCGCTCTCTTCACTTTCTTCCAGGCGCCAGCTCAAGCAGACTACGCCTGCGAGGAGGATGGCAGTTCCCAGCGCGATGAGGCCTGCGTGGAGGCCGGATAGGCGGGAGCTCTGGTGGAAGTAGATCAAACCGTCGATGATGGCGATGATGTTGTAGACGCAGAAGACCAGGGGGTACAGGACGCTTGTGCTGCACAGCTTCAGTCCGCGGTGCATGTAGTACAGCTGGGTCAGGGCGAGGACGACGAGGCCGAGCAGGATCATCCACGACTGCCAGCGGTTGAACTGGTTGTGGCGGTCCACGATGGTGCGCACCAGCAGCTCGACGGCGCTCTTGGCGACGAGGAGCGAGTGCGCCGACAGGATGCCGCTCACGCAGCCGAAGAACATGCCGCGGACGAGGCGCAGGCGCGGGGTGGTGCGGGGGTACATGCGCTTGAGCAGCCAGGTGGCGACGATGAGGAGCAGCACGACGACGAGGGTGGAGAACATCCAGACGAGGAAGTGCTTGCGCCCCAGCAGGACCAGCAGCTGGTCCAGGTTGTGCGAGGGCTCTGAGATTGCGCCGAACAGGGCGATGAGCAGGGCGCCGAGGGCGACGAGGGTGGTGCCGATGAGCGAGTAGCGGGTGAAGGGCTCGCTGAGGATCATCGAGGCGCATATCGAGTTGAAGACGAGGCCCGAGGCCTGCAGGGTGGAGAGGACGGGCAGCGGCAGGGTGGTGATCTGGATGGTGCTGCCGACGAGGTTGGCGACGATGAACATGGACATGCCCAGCTGCCAGCGGCGGCGCTTGTAGGGCGGGCGGCGCTCGTAGTCGTCGTCCTTTTCCTCCTCGAGCAGGTGCGACTTGCGCTGCAGGGTGAGGCCGACGCTCTGGATGCTGGTCGAGGCGAGACCGACGACGACTCCGACCTGCAGACGCGCCCATTAGCCTCTGTTGCGCGCGGAGGGGCGGTGCTACTCACAGCAACGCTGGCGCCCGCCGAGAGCTCCACCATGATGGTGTCTGGGGGTGGTGGTGGGTGTTGTTAGCTGCACGCCGGGGGCATTGTGCGTGGTGTGCGTGTTCGTGGGCGTGGGCGTGGGCGTGGGCGAGGCAGCGGATGCAGCAGACGGGCGAGCGTTGGAGGGTTGGAGGGCTGTCTGGCTGTCTGGCTGTTGGCGGTGTATCGCGAGGCGTCACGCTGGCTTGCAGTCGCTGGCACGCGGTCGATTGGGGCAGCCCAGCCGAGGCGGAGGGCAGGGATCAGCCGTGCGGCGATGACGTTGAGATGGGATGGGCAGTGTTGACACGCCCGACGACAGGACGACAGGACGACAAGACGGCGACGACAACAGCAAGATAATCCCAGTGCACACAGCGCGCGTCTTTGCTTGTTCCCAGCCAACACACGGCCACCACGCTCCCATCCACACACGTGCATCTGGACCGGCGACCTGGCGCGCGCAGGGCTAACGTAATCGCGGCCATGGCCAATCGGGGCTCCGACCTGCTGCTCCAACTTCAACTTCCAAGCTCAAGCTCTCGTCAACCCTCTGACGCCCACGCCGCTGCCCTCGACATCCTCCCCACCACCCACCACCCTTACACACCGCCGCCGCCATGTCGCAAATCCACGCTCTCTCCGACGACCAGGTACGATCCCGCTGCGCCCCTCTCCGCCCGCCCGTCGCAGAGCTCCCCGCCAACTACGTCAACGTCAATATCACCAGCACCAGCTAACATGCCTCCCCCCCCAGGTCGCCGGCGAGCTCAAGAAGATGACGGCCTTTATCCGCCAGGAAGCAATGGAAAAGGCAAACGAGATCCGCCTCAAGGCCGACGAGGAGTTCGCAATCGAAAAGTCCAAGCTCGTGCGCCAAGAGACGGCCTCGATCGACTCGTCCTACGAGAAGAAGTTCAAGCAGGCCGCCATGTCGCAGCAAATCACCCGCTCCACCGTCTCCAACAAGACGCGCTTACGCATCCTGTCCGCCCGCCAGGAGCTGCTCGACCGCCTGTTCGAAGACGCCCAGAAGAAGCTCGGCGATGCGAGCAAGGATAAGGACCAGTACCAGACTGTCTTGAAGAACTTTATCCTCGAGGGCGCCTATGCCATGAACGAGGACAAGCTGCAGCTCAAGGTGAGGGAGGCGGATAAGGACGTTGCCACGAAAGCTCTCGAGGACGCCCAGTCCGAGTACAAGAGCAAGCTTAGCAAGGACGTCTCCATCACCATTGACGAGAGCGACCCCCTGCCCGCAGAGTCGTATGTTGCTCATTTTTAATTCCATTGATGCTGGCTAATCCATCACAGAGCTGGCGGTGTCATGGTCGTCGGTACCGGCGGAAGAATCGACATCAACAACACGCTAGAAGAACGCCTGAGGCTCCTCGAGACCCAGGCCCTGCCCTCGATGCGCGTCACACTGTTTGGCGAGAACGAGAACAGGAGGTTCCACAACTGAGAGGGTCGAGTAGAGAAATGGCTTCAAGAACGCTATTTTCTAGGTAGCACAGTCCACGAGCCCCGTCGTGACCTAATCCCCCCCACGACTGTACACAAACTAGCTTAGAAGGTTCCTGGTGTGGTAGGAGCCTGTAGAATACTGAGAACATTTAGCGTCTTTTCACCGTTTTCTTCTTTTGTGCACTTCATCATGCTGTACTTTCACTTGCCATGAATCGTGGACCCTTTTTCGTGAAATTTTACACCGTGTGTTTTGTCGTTCATCTATTCATTCATTCATTCATTCCATCATTTATTGTTCATCCATTCCTACCCACATATCGTGACATATCTACGCCCAGCACCCCTCACAAACACCACAACCAACGAACCATCCAGATGCCATCCAACCCACCCACCGCGACACACCATGCGACGCAAAAAAACATACCTAGTATCTATGCGTACTCAACCCCATCCCATCCCATAATCCACACGCTAAACCCACTCATTATAAACACCTACCCATCGAGCATTTCAAGCTATTTATGCGTTTCTTCCCTATTCGGTGCAAGTAACCTTCTCCGTAGTGTGGAAGGACTAGATTGAACTTGCAGGCTGTGAATAGACGGTATAAGTTCTGTAGACTTTATCAAGGCTTGTTTTGAGATACCCGGCAGATAGTGGTGCGCTTGAGTGAAGAATCTGTGCTAGGTTGTTTTTACGCGAGGGGCTTTTTGTTGTTGTGGGAGGTACTTGAGGGGGTTCTGGACGGAAATGAAACTTGGGGCTTTGGTCATGGGTAGTGCTGCATGGAATGGAAGTTTGATTACACTGTGCTGTGGTTTTTATGGGGTGTGGGTTTCTAGGGTGATAAGTATTGGGCTATGTTGAGGTAGAAGCACTTGTCTTTATACGATGTCTGCGGTTGTGTAGATGTTTCACTGAATAATGTTTCTCATATCGAGGACTTGGTGGATAGGCTACTGATGGTGTTCTAAGATAGAATCCCGTTACGAGGATATTCATGTTGTAGAACTGAGCGATGCAGAGCATTCCTGTACTGGAAGAAGAAGAAGAAGGAGAAGAAGATGCTTTCTCAGTTGACGAATAGTGTGTCACATGATTCACTTCGAGTCACTTCGCACTCGTAGAAGCATTGAAAGTCATAAAATTCATTTCTCATATCCATCTTATCCATCCACCCAAGGATCCGTTCATCGTTCATCCACAATCCATGGTGCCACACCAGCAAGTTCACCCGTACAGCCCAGTAGACACGACCAACTAGTAGACGTAAAAGGTCATAGTCTCATCGTTAGACTCACGGAGCGCCTTGTTCTTCCTAACGAAGATGATCTTCGCCAACCACGCAAGGGCAAACGTCGCAAAGGAGAACGCAGCCGACGAGCTAAGCGCAATGATATACCTCGGACCATCAGACTTGGGCCAGAGATAAGGCGTCCTAATCGTATATTAGTAAAAACCTCAGGTTGAGAGAATCGTGAGACACATACCAGATAAACGAAGCGTTCATAACCGTCGTAACAATTCCAATAGCAACGGCCTTTTTCTCGGGCGTCTGTCCGCACGTCGATCCGCACCAGCCGAGAATTAGCGAGTTGACACCGTACGTGCCGATGGTGAAGATGCACATTGCTACGTAGCGGCCCGCGGTGCCGATGTCAGCGCAGGCGAGTCCGAAGCCGAAGATGGCCACGCACTTGGAGATTGTGATGTGCCATGTGCGTTCGTTGAATTTTCCCGAGGACCAGGAGACGGCGATGGTGACTGCGCCGGCGACGAGGTAAGGGGGGCATGTCAGGGCGAGGGTGATGGTCTTATTGAAACCAAGTGTGGCCACGACGGTGGGGAAGAAATTTTTGAAACCGTTGGCGGCGAGGTGCATGTGTGCCATGATCGCGAAGATCCATACCATGGGGTCTTTGGCTGCCTGGCTGAAGCCAGCCCATACTGAGGTATCGCCCTTGGCGCCTACGGTGTCGGCGGCCATGCGTGAGGTGGCTAGGATGCGCTCGTCGGGTGTGAGCCACTTGGTGTTGTGGGGGTAATCGGGGAGCAGGAAGAAGCCGACGATGGCGATGACGAAAGTCACGGCACCCTGGAGGATGAAAAGCCATTGCCATCCCGTGATACCGGCAACGTCGCCTAGACCGTGGAAAATGCCAGCTGCGATGAGGCCAGCAAAGGCCGTTGCGAGGATGTTTCCAGTGTAGAGAATGGCAATGCGAGTAGCTACCTCCTTTCGTGTGTAGAACGATGACAGAATGTAGACGGCGCCGGGATAGTAGGGGGCTTCTGTCACACCGAGGAAGAAGCGTGTGAGCAAAAGACCCTTGAAGTCCTTTGACAGAGCAGTCATGGCACTGACAATCGCCCAAACCATCATTGCAGTTCCCATGTACCGTGAAGGCCGGGTGCGGGTGAGGAACATGTTGGATGGAATCTGTCCCAAAAGGTAACCTATGAGTGTGTTAGAAGACTACATATACGAAACGAGTAACAGAAAAAGCGTTGATTATGACATTGTAGGAGTCATAGGTGAGTGTTTGATTGGGTAGACGTAGGGGTTGGTTGGTTGGTTGGTTGGTGGTGGAGTGGGGTGGTGATGGTTTGGGAGCAGGCCACACATACCGACGAATAGAATCGACACACACGTCTGGTATTGCGTGCTATCGAGGTTCAGGTCTTCCTCTAAGTCGTCCAAACGTGCCAGGGCAATCGCATTGCGGTCAAGGTAGTCTACTCATGTTAGAAAAGTCAAATCACTCAAAATCACCCCAAATCATCAACTCACTCAACCAGTACTATTTATAAGTTAGCCAGGAGCATACAAAGGGACCAGGAACCCGAACCATGGACCAGAGCATAGGGAGTATCCAGCGATCCAGCTTCTTAACAAGAGCAATCTCGCGGGGATCAGTCTTCTCGGCGGCACCCGAGTAGTCGAGCTTGGGGCCGGGCTTCAGAATCTCCTCATCATGCGTCTGCGTCTGCTCAAGCATGACGACATCAGACTTCTCCTTCTGCATGATGGGCGGTAGCTGAAAGCGAACTGAAGAAAATATCTGAAGGGGGGGTGTGAAAGAGGTAAGATATGGAGAAGAGATATGAAGAGAAGACCGGTGAATCTCCAGAACCTGGTGATCTGGGGGGAAAAACAAACCAGAGACACAGATGCAGTCTTTATACAACTTGGAAGATGGACTTACTCCGCCATTGTGGAATGGATACCTGACTACTTCACCACGTTGCATCCTGGGGCACTACCCCACGGCCTGGGGTAGCGCACGCACACGCACACATGCACACGCGCACAAGAATACCAAGACGCTTGCATGTGCTTGGTCCCGGCCGACTTGGAGAAAAGCTGAGGCATTTCGGACTGCGAACATAACGTCAGGCGGGATCGCCGAAGGGAAAATGAGCCACCACTTCTAGCCAACATACACATGGCCAACCAACGCCTCGATCTAGATGCGGCAGTGTACTTGTGAAAGTTTTACCTAGCTTGATGGGCTGGGTAGTGGTTCAGCCTAGTTCAATGGACTATACGAGACCAACTTTTGGGGCTCCGCGTCCAATGGTACTTAGCCATATGTGGTAGCGCATACCCCAGAGTTGAAGTTTGCCATCGGATGGTGTATCCTAGGCTTGTCCTTTTCAGGATAACACTCCGATGGTTTCGGTGGTCGCATGAGCATAGTAAACCATGTTTCTCCATTAGAAATGCCCAGCGAATCTTGCCTAACTCTTCCGCTCCTCTTGCACCTCCATGACGAGTTTCCGCCCAGCAATCCCACCGTCGATTTGCAACTCAGACACAGCCCAAGAAGCAAGATTGTGAATACCAAGAGCCTCACCGACGAAGATATCCCTTCGGCATACCCGAATTCGACAAAATGTTTTCCTGATTATCGGTCGGCTGATAAGTACCACGCCACTAAGTCCAACCTAAGAGTCTTCGCGGTCTTGTCGCAGAGGAAAGGCGGGCGGTTAAGAAAAGACATGGCAAGCCACAAAGTCTTGGAAATGGGCAAAACTTCCACGTACGTTGTGGCGGCCATGGCTCAGCCAAGGAGTTTGCGGGGAGACGTCGGCGGTCGGTGGTGGTGGGGTAATTGGCGTCGTATTTCCTCTCCATCTGTAGACAAACACCGCCATCATACTGGGGGCGTGCGACACAATCTCCCGCTCGGGGAGTATCTGGTACCCTGGAAGCCCATTGGGAAGCGTTACACGATCCCGACATTGGATATGTGACCGGCCATTCACCCAAAACGGCCGCAGAGTCAGGTACCGCGTGAGAAAACCGGCCAAGCGCTAGAGGCTCCGCGCCAGTCGATAGATCAAGCAGCCTTGGAGATGCCATGCTTTTGCTAACCAGGAGCGCACTCCGCGCCAAGATTCCCTCCGACACCGTAATCCTAGCCAGCCAGCTAGGCAGATACCCCACGTTTTAGCATCTCCATCTCCGGGTTCTTTCGTATATTGATGATGGCTTCAAGGCCCCAAGAACCTATCCGCAGCAAAGCCAAGTCGGCCGTTGGACATCTACCTACTCACTTAGCTACCAGTCAGACATCAAACAATCCGCCATGCGGCTGATTGCGCGGACAATATCGGGAGACGACACACCATCCAGTGTCCCTTGGCAGACTGTCTTCCGACGGGGGCGTTCCCAACACCTGGTTCCGTTCTGCATGCCGGCCTCGACTCTCTCCCCGCGTTGCGAACTTGGCGGCTGGTGGAACGGAACGCACTGCCCACTTGTTGATCCCTGACGTTTGGGGTTCCGTGGAGCAAACACCACACGTGCTCGAAAAATACTCGGGTCCCGTCGTGGGGTCCGCGTCCGGGGCTGGAGATCTCCGCAATGGGGCCGCGTGCAACCCCATGGGGTTTGTGGGGACTTGCGGAACGAATGTCTGCGTTAACGGTTGGGGATTTTGGGTGACGTGTCGATCTTTCGAGGTGGATGTTGATGGGCAGGACTGTGGCAGATTCCAAGCTATCTTTGCTCTCGATCATCTGCTTTGTAGAGTCTGTCGGATTCGTGGTGAATTGTGGGCTTATGCATCTTCTCCTTCCAATACATTCGTTGCTTGAAAATCTTGCTCGTCGTTGGACATCCAAACAAAGAAGGCCATCGTGACAGGCCTAGCAATGTTCTCGTCAGTAGTCATGAGTTTGGATCGTTCACTGAAAATTCGAGGTTCTAGCATAGAACCAGAGACCAACCATCTGAGCGCTGATGTGCTCTCCGAAAACTCATAACTCACCGTATAGGTAAGCAACCTCGCTCTCGTCATCGTATATAGAAGCCCTCGCTTGTACAGTACCATAACAGTCATTCGCAGACCAGGCGACCATTCTCGAGATTCGTCCTCCTACAAGACGACACATCCAGAAGAATGTCTCTCCAGGGGGACATCCACCCCACAGCGGCCCACCATCCCACACACAACCCGTCCCCAGGCAAAAAGGTCATAAGACCATCTCCTCAAGCTCCCAGAACCTCGACCTCAAAGCCTCGCCATCCGCCAACAAGCACATACCCAGTCCAACTCGTCAACGCCCACGCGAAGCAATGGAACCGTGATGCTTCGCCACACGCCGAAGAACACAGTATATCTATATTCATTTAATTGTTCTACTTACCACCGTCTGCAGCCATCAGTCAGGGTACCAACCGATACAAAGCATAAGAAAAGCCCCTACATTCAATGCCTGAGTACAGTACACAGTCCAGAGATCAATCTCGAACACTCCTCGGACGAAGGGAAAGCAGATAGTTCACTAGCCCCTTGATCAGCTACAAAGACGGACGGCGAGTATGGATGTTACGCCTGTGGGTAAAAGATGGAACACAGCACGGCACAGCACGGCACGAAGGAGGCAAGTAGACGTTATATATCACGACAGGATGCTACGGAAACTATTCCCGGTATGTCACGGATAAACGCGTCTGGACGGGTGGAATGTCTTGGCTGCAAGGTGCTGGATACGATGAATAGAACGACAAAGCTAGCACAGGGTGGGATGATAGAGAACAGCTCCCTACCAACACAAACCCAGCTCAGGCGAGACGAGACGTCTTCTCTTCTCCAAACGAGCACAACTACACCTCCATCACGTTGCATACACAGCCCACACCACAGCAAGCAGACTTCATACAACGTGAGCATAAAAACGCACCATACGTGTTGTACTGTGCTATGCCGTCAATAGAAATCTACTCCCCGCTATGCAATACGTATTCTGCACCCATGCTCCCAGGCTCCAACCCTGCACCATCCCAAGTGACATGCTTGCAATCAAAGCTGGACTTCCTGAAAGCTCGCCCCATCTTCTTCTTCCTCATCTTCATGATCGTCAACTTTTGCTTGCCCCGGATGCGGTCTGCTGGGCAGCCCAGCTTCGACTGCTTTTTCGTTATATGGGCCCGGCTCCTCGTCTTCACTGTCGCTCCCATCCTCATGCGCCTTCTCTTTTCCAGCGTGCGGTTTCAGGTCCTCGGCTGATTTCCCGGGCTCGGTGGATTCGGACACGCTCCTCTCGCTTGTGTCGTCTTTGGGCGGAGGGGGTGGTGGGGGTGCGGCGTCTGTGTCGCGGTCGTGGGTGGGTCGTTCAGGAGTCGGGGGCGTGATCTCCGTCCTTGGGCTCATAATTGGACTCCTGGGTTGCTGTTGTTGGGGTTGTTGGGGCTGCTGCTGCTGCTGTTGCTGAGACTGTGGCTGCGAGGCTCCTGGGCCCACGGTGCGTAATCTCGGGTCCGCGTTCAGATAGTACCCCCGCACGCCGACGATCCTGCCTTCCCTCTCACAGCCCAAGACCCAGTCTGGCACCACAATGGGGATGTTGTTCTCCGAGGCCTTCTCCCACGCGGGGCCCCTGCCTTCGGTGCACACAAAGTGCGTCGTGTCGATGCGGACGTTGTCTGCAATCTTGGCGCCGATCCTCTCGACCGACCGCTGCAGCGACTCACGCAGCGTGGCGGGCATGTGGCCGGGGGTGATTGTGATGCCCGACAGGTCCGTCATCTTGTGTGTCTGGACCCTGAGCTTGTCGCTGCTGAAGGTGCCGGCGCTCGTCTTGAGGACCAGGTGGAAGGTGTACTCGGTGTCGACGGCGAGGCCGCTCAGCTTGGTGCTGTGGGTGTCGCTGGGCTTGGGGATGGTGCCGGCCTTGCTGCCGTTGCGGTAGAGGGCGAGGCTGCGCAGGTCGGCCGTGGCGGCGTCGATGGGGTCCCACTCGAGCACGACCGACGTCTGCGTTGCATTGCGACAGCAGAGCACGGGGGCGGACGGCGTGCGCTGGCCAAAGGTGCGGAAGATGTCCGACTGCAGCTCGTGGAAGGCCTTGGCGGTGTCGGCCTCGGCCTTGTAGTTGCGCCCGACGTCAATGTCGACGATGCTGCCAGAGGAAATGTCGGGCGGCAGCAGTATCGACGGGAACTCGATCTGCGCTGGGGTCAGCCAACGGTGAATGCAGGGATGCGCCGGCGCCTGCGTCGACGGCTGCAGAGGCTTGGGGCGCGCCTACGAGCCGTTTGTCTTCGGTGAGGAGCACCGCCACCCCGGCGTCGACCTTTCCAACCGTGAGGGAGACGAGCATGTTGGGTTCCCGCGCGTGAGTCGGCGGTGGGCAGGGCGTGTTTGCGGAGCGTCAAGCTGCCCCGTGGAGGGACGCCGCGAGCACGTGCCAGGTACCACCCCATGCTGACTACGTCAACCCTCACTTCGACGTCGACATCACCAAGGCCACAAGAAAACGATGGTCGATGTTCATTGATGAATATTCAAAGATACTAAACTACAGAAGCACGAATACTCTACAACATGTGACTGGCCAATGCAACGCCAGAGCAGTGTAGAAGTGTATTCATATGCTCTCCACTACTGACATGAACAGTCGCCTTGCACTCCTCGCCATCGTTACTAGTATACAACGTGTCTATGTACTCTACTGTTGTGCGCATGGTAGTGGAGATTGGCCGTCGTTGGTTTTGGTGTGGCACTAACAACAGTGCTCCTAGTAGGTGTCGATGTAACCACGACCTTCTTGACCGTCACGGCGCTGGCATACGAGTTACTAGACCCTGATCTAGCGAGAGTCGACGATGCCTTCTGCGATGTCTTGGACACACTAGTAACTACTCCTCGTGTCGACGAGCCAGAAACTGCAGCAACCGTAGAAGTCGATACCTTACTGCCAGCGCTTGACGTAGGAGCAGCACCACATGCAGCGCCACTCACCGCAGTAGCGCTGGCAGGTCCAGATTGGAGGGGATTGCAACCAGGCAATTTGTCGAGAGCCGTCGTCGCATCGTCGCCGCCGTAGATGCTCGTAGCAGCACAAGTCTCAAACTCCGCATCGCTGTCTTTGTTCACGTTTGCAGCACCGAAACACGTCTCCATCTCGGCTTGCCCGCAGCCGCAGCCGCAGTTACAGCCGCCTGTCTCAGCTGTTGCCTTTTCCAAAACACCCTTCTCCCACCCGTTCAGGAAGTCGGCGTGGAACCCGAAGCCAGTTGGATCGCCGTTTGAAAGAACCCACGGCGAGCTGTCACGGCTGTACTGGCCGTTGAAAGATGAGACGTCGTACCAGAACTCCATGAAGATGGTAGGAAACCTAGCAGCCCTGTGCGTTGAGGGGCAATTCTCAATACCCACGCCAGCATAGCCGTTGGGGTAGGCCATGTGCGCGTGGGGGTTCTTGGGGTCCATCTTCTGGCCATTCCAGCACGACGGGAAGGTAGCTTCCGTAGCCAGACCATAGTTGCAAGAGGAGAATCCAGTCGGGAATCCACTGCTGAAAATCGCGTCGGAATTCCCGTCCGGCAGATGACAGCCCCATCGGACACCAGCAGAGTTCTCGCCAGCAGAGCGCTGCAACGGGTTCCCCGCCAGCATGTTGAAGTCCTCGGGAAAACCCGTCACGTTCGCCCATCGATCCCCGTCCCCGAACTTGTAGTACACTTTCGTTGCCTTTTCTGGCACGCGGTGGAAACTCCCGTTGCCCTGGAAGAACAGACTGGGCCGCCAGTACAAGCTCTTGTCGGACTTGATGCGCGCGGTGCTGCAGTCGGAAGACTGCGTCGTCTCATATCCCATACTGGCTGCCAACGCGTTGCCGCCATCGAAGGAGTGCAGATGGGGGCTCTCGGTTCCCGGGAAAAGAGCAGGGTCGAGACGTTGGTGGCTCAGAGCGTTTTGGCGGTTAAAGAAGCTGAAGTAGTTGCCGTTGCAATCGAAAGCTGAAGCGGTAGCGGCGAGTCCAGCCGTGAGAGTGAGAATGTTGGATAGCATCATAGCGTTTATATGGCGTTGTATTGCAAGTCAGAATGGTAAGGTTGGCAAGAAATGTATGTAACGAAAGAACCGAGTCTCAGACTCAAGGAACGTATCAAATGAATGTATGAAAGCTAGGATCTAAAAGAAAGAAAGGACAACACTGCTATAGCCACACACCTGAGAAGCGGAGTACAGAATAGTCGAGTCCCAGGGGCGCATGTTGAACATATAGCTATCAGCATGGCAATTCTAATCCCAGGGGCACCTTGGAGAAACAGCCTTACAGGCGCGCCATCATAGACAGAGCGCCATCACCGTTTCAAACTCCCCTAGATCTGCCCATGCGCCGCCGCTGTTAGATGTGGATTGCCTAAGGCGAACCGCGCGCAGCCACCTTGGCAGCAAGTGATCGAGACCACGTAAAGACATACAAAAGAACAACGTGTCATGTTCAGGGAACTGGCGAAGCAGAACACCACCGCCACCATACCTTCACCGTCGCAAATCTCACATAACAAAAATGATGGACAAAGTATCGACGAGGCAGGCAGACCAAGCGTCGTGCCTCCCTAACAAAGCTAGCGTTGCTTCCCAAGGCGAACGGGCTGAACTTCAAACGCTGCTGACTGCTCCTGACCTGAGATTGCTCGCAGCGCCACCGTTTGTTCCGTTGCCATTTCGTTTCGTTTCGTTTTGTGCCACAAGTTATTTAGTGTAATTCGCCGAGAATCGTCGGAATTCACGGCGTGTAACTAGTTGGCTAGCCGCACGTGGAGATCCTGCGCGATCCAGATGAACGCGATCTGCGCTGGGGTGGCGGTGTCTGATGTTCCACACTTGCTTTGTTGCTACTAGGTGAATACCAAATGTTACGACGGCATGTTCATCTGCTGTGGTCATGCGCATATTCAATTGGAGTTTTAGTAGCAAGATTCGACATTTCGAGTGAGTGTATGTGTTGGGCATTATCTTATATCTTGGGACGCAGCGAGAATGGCTTCGTTTGTCTAAAGATGGAAACGATGTTGTGGTGGTTCTCACAAATGTGCCTTCCCGGATCAATGGACTCCACATCCAGTCACTGCCACAAACACACCGAACCTGCTAGAGTTTTCCGCCTGCCCTGCCGTCTCTCGTTGTCGCCTTACCACAGCTCACTGCACGATGCTGCGTTCGATGGATGATGTCCCAGACCACTGATCGTTCTGGTCGTGGAGAGACGTCTTAACCTCGAGGAGCTGCCCAACGGCGTGTCTAAACACTCATTCAGAAACTTCGCCCTTCCAATATCATCAAAGGTTCGGTCAATACGAAACAAATATCGACCCTAAGGAGTGTCATCGCGAGCTCATTCCGACGCTCATGTTGACAACCAGATAATCATCCACGCACACCATACCATACATCCTGCAGTCTCCAAGTACATGGCAGACATGCTCTTCTCATCTCCACGCCCCTCATTGTCGCTTTGGCTTGTGACAGCCACTCTTCTCGGCACTACACTTGCGGCAGAACCACAATACGTCGCGGCAAAGATTGGTGGAAAGCGGTTCCGAGTGAGGGACGACAGACAGCCATCGCTTTTCACTACGGATTTCGGAGATTGTCTGGGGCGCAGTGTCATTGATGTTGCTCGCTTCAATGCTGCATACTACAAGGACAACAACACAGTGCTCTTCCATCTTGGTGGTCATGCAGCTCTCACCAACGAAAGCATCATGATGTCCATCGGTGTTTACGCGTATGGACAAACCCACTTCAGTTTACTCTTCGATCCTTGCAAAGCTAATATATGGAGGTAACGGGGCGCTTCCAATAGCTTGGGCACCATATTGACAGCTCTAGTGCCTGCCCTGTCGAAGCCCATACCCCAATCGAGGTCGCGGGAATCATTCCAGTAAGCCCGGCTGACGTATCTGGTATCCCGGACATTGCACTGAGCATTCCAGACTTCGAAGGTGAGGCAATTCTTCGGATATTCTCAAATTCTACACAATCCGAGATTGCCTGCTTCGCCGCACAGATTACAAACGGCAATACGTTTAGCCACCCGGTTGCCGTTGGTTCCGTGCTCGGGGTCGTGACATCTATTGCCGTCCTGTCATCGTTCGCTACAGTTGTTTATGGAGACAACATTCGTCTTATGCGCAAACACTACGCACACTCAGTATCTGTGTTAGTTGTGTTTGCTGTATGGCATCATATCTTCTACAGCGGCGCTTTGCCGATGAACTGGCCGAGCGTACTCGTCGCATTCCGGAGCAACTATGCGTGGGCTGGCGGCATGATATACTCCGACCACATGCAAAGTACAATCAACACCTTCGTCGTCTCGGGCAAAAGGAACATATCTCGAGTCCATGGCACAGAGATTGGCGTGGCAGATACAAATCCTGATGAACGATACAACATCGATAAGCGACGCGATTTCCCTGAGGCCTTCATCATCCCAACCTGGGGCGATCAAGACGAGAAGAAGACTTACGATCGCCGCTTCATGAGTACACCTGTAAAACAGGAGCGTATGGGCGCCAGCAATGGATTCAAATTCCATGGACAGCTAGTCAAGCCAGGTCTACCACTACCAGGAAACTATTCCGGGTTTGCAGGAACTCTTGCTCATGAGCGCATTCCAGCATCCAGTGCATTCCTGACTGGATTTATCTGGTTCCTCATACTTATCACCTGTGTCGCTAGCTCTGTCGTTGCTCTCAAGCTCATTTTGGAAGGCTTGAGTAGGATGAAGCTCCTCAAACATAACCGCCTGGCAATGTTTCGAGCACACTATCTTGGATTTGCGGCAGCTGCTGTACTTCGCACTTTGTTCATTGGCTTCTTCGTCATGATGTTTCTCACCATGTCCCAATTCTCCTACCTCGCTTCTCCCGAACCTGTGGCTATTGCATGTGTGGTTTTTCTCACTATGCTCGTTGGTTTGGGCGGCTTGGTGGGATACGCTTGCTTCTACAAGCTAAAGGTCGGCGACTACGTGTCTGAGCCCGATCGTCTCATTGTACAGAAGGGCAAAGCTTTCGGGTTCATCCCGTGGTACTTTTTCTCGCGCGAAAGCAGGTCTCCACGCTCCGAAGACAAAACGTATGTCTGCTCCATGCGATGGTGGAAGACATGGACAGTATTGGAAGAGAAGTCCATCCACGAGGACGAAGATTATACGATGAAGTTTGGATGGTTGGCGTCACGGTTCCGAAGGACTCGTTGGTGGTTCTTTGTGATATGGCTTGTCTATGAGTTCATACGAGCTTGTTTCCACGCTGGAACTGCCGTGAAGCCTATGGTCCAAGTACTTGGTCTCATGGCTGTGGAAATCATCGCCTTTGCAAGCATGATATGTCTACGTCCGTTTGAGGGTCAACGTTCAAACGTTATCGTCGTATACTTCCTCGGATTTAGCAAGGTCTCTACTGTCGCGCTGTCTGCGACATTTGATGCGCAGTTCAACTTGCCACGCATTCCTGCCACTGTTGTCGGAGTTCTCATTATCGTCATACACGGTTTACTGACAATTGTCACTGTCATCTTTGTCTTTGTCGGGGCCGTCACGAGCTACATGTCTGTCATGCGCAATCGCGAAGAGATGAGACCAAAAGGTTGGAACTCAATACGCAGGAAATATTTCGAGCATGTGGATTTCAGATTACTTGATCTCCCACGGCCATCACCCATCCCGCCCAAACCGATACTCGAAAGGCCTCAAGAACCATACTTCAACGTCAGGGCTGTGAAGAGATTGGCCAAGGTCGAAGACGAAGACATCGAGTTCATGCAAGAGATTTGCAGCGATCTGTCCACAACTGAACTGCTCTTATCTCGTCAAAACACAGACGGAGTGAGAGATCCCTTCCTTCAGCGTGGTAGAGCAGATAGCGTTCAGTCCCAGCGGTCATACTCCAGTCTGCCGAGAGGTGCCCGTCTGCATCGCGCCAGCTGGAGCACACACAATCTCGCCCAGTCTTACCCTGCCGGACGTCGCAGGACTATGAGTAACTCAATGGTCTACACGCCTGATGGTCTCAATTGCCCTAGCAGTAAGGCTCTTCCACGATCCGACACTCAATTCGGTAGTCTTGAGGATCCTGCAAGACAGCCCAGCCCGCTTACTCCCGACAACAGTCAACCGCGTACTCCTTCGTCGGCAGGAAGGTGATCGCGGAGCTTGAGTGAGTCCCCCAGATTGTGTCCAGGAATGTGCAAGAGAATCATCACACCATACCGAAATTTGTAATACTTTCCCTCTTTCGTGTGAAGGAGACATTGGTGTTGGTGGACAGGGTCCGGGAGTGTGACATGGTCAAGATTCTTGGTCAAGACCAGCAGTTGTATGTTTAGTATTCGAATGAGGTCGGTGGTATTAATGTTTGTTCTCCTCAGCGACATCCTGTTCGACGCAGCTGCATGAGACTACACGCAATGGATGTCGTCTGGGTATCAGGTTTGAGGTGGACACAGCAGGTTTACGAAGACATGGATATGGAACATGAAATCATGGATAACCAGCCCTGACGGAGATGGTGGGTTTGGATTAGATATCTGCTCGGTATTGTGATCATAATAGCATGAACTATGACTGTTCGAGTTGTTGTCATATCGGTTCTTGAAGTGATATTTCGGTACAGCTGTCGAGGACACAAGTTTGTCAAGGGTCCTTGTTTCCTGACTCCGGGGCGCAACTTCATCTCTTGCAGCGGCTATCGCTCGACATGTCTAACACCTAGACACGTCCAAGGTTTGTTGAAGAGTCCGGGCAGGGAAATGAGGTTAGAGACGGGCGGGAGACGAAGCTAATATCAGATGCATGTCGAGATTGGAGCCAACAATACCTGGCGATGCGCGTTGTGTTTCCCACTTGAAGTTTTGGGATTTTTTTTCCAGCGCTACTCGAGCGACTAGAGTAGCGTTGTCAGAATCTAGTCCTGCAGCGGACCGTTGGTGGTAGTGGGCGGTGGGCGGTGAGATTGATGCACGGTGTCGTGCAACTCAATACTACGTCTTCGATATACCGGGCGTCTGTTTTGAAACTTGATGTCGGTTCAGTGCGAAACACGGCAGTTTCCTTCTTATTCTGCAGAGATTAGCACAAAGAGTAAATGATCTCAGCGATGATGACAACATATTTGTTGATTGTTTCTGACTGTTTTGGTGAGACATGGTAAAGATTGCCTTGTTTTCCTTACATCCTTGTCCTTGCAAGCGTTATCTTGCAGCCGCAAGGTTTTCGCTTGCCAGCCACCACATCTTACGTCACTGGATCTGGGGCTGACCGCTTAGGAAATCCAGACTCGGATCTCACTTCCGATTATCATGTCGGCGTGGGTCAGGATAGGATATTAATCTGCGTGGAGAACACCATGGAAAGCAAGAGTGCAGGGCATTGGATGGTAAGATTACGGCGAGATGCGCAACGGCCGGCTATTCACGACACAGTGCGGTCGATCTGTCCGGCGGACCTGCTGAAAAAAGTTCGCAACATCACGATCGTAAGAGGATTTTCAGATGCTCCAGCCACATCTCATGCAGTCGCTGCATTGAAAACAGCATGGGTGGTGTTTTTGTGCAGCCAGTGACGTCAATATGTGGCGCGTGCTGGCCGGAAGCGGGAGTGACAGGGGTGTGCCCTGCTTTGTGACACTCTAATAGGATTGTTTATGGCTATCATTCCCTCTTTCGGACGTAGGCGCAAAGCATACAACAGGTTTCGATGTTGTTTGCAATCACGAGAGAAACTAGGATGCAGCGCGCGCGCGTATCACGAGAATGAATGCGCACAAGGAAAGCACGGGCTGTGACGTAGCGCAGGTGATGTGGCAGGGAGGGCTGCTTTATAAGTGAAGGCGCAAACTCTTTGTTGACGCATTCTCTCGACATCAAATTACCTCCCTACAACAACAACATCAACCGCAACAGACGCCAACGTCGACCAACCTACATCAAACAAATCACCACCAAGAGTCAGCCTCTACAACCGCGAAAATGGGTGCCGTAGTATCATGCGTACGTTTGCTCCTCTTTCACTTCCAACATAGACACTAACAGCAACTGCAGATCAAGTCCGTCTTCCGAACGATCGGCAACTGCATCATGGCGATTGTTAATGCCATCGCCGCCGGTCTGAAAGCCATCATCAACGCCATTGTCTCGCTCTTCGGCATCATCATCAGCTGCCTCACCTGCGGTCGCGGCGGCGGCGGACGAAGGACCACGCATACTAGTAGAGTCTAGTGGGGCTCCGTCTCTGACACACTGCTGACGCGAGGCGTCAGGCAGAAAGTTGGAACGGAGACTGAGGCGTGTGGAACGACGGGCACTACGATGATACCTCGACAAGGATGCATTCGACGGAGAGTAATGGGGCTGTAATGAGCATGACGGACGCGGATTTTGTTTAATTGATACCAATGTGCGCCAGACGACGGAGAGTCACGAGCAAGACGAATTTGGTTCCCTGGGGACATCGCGAGGGTGGAGGATGAAGTTCTTGATACCCCTAGTTTTTGAATGGATTGATCTATAACACCAAGTTGCTTCTTTCGCTTTCGTTGACTGCAGATTCTTTAGGTTCTGATGTTCCATCTACTGACTGCTTGATCTTGCTCTCCTCCGTAGCCCTTGTATGGGTTGTTGTCAAGCTATCGTCACAAGCGGGAATTTTGGCTTTGATGTAGAGGTTATCACCATATACAACTTCGGTCGTCTTCATGGTAGTGGTGTCTTTTAGGTTGCTGGACAACCTGTAGCTGGCGTTTATTATTAACAACCACATTCAAGCTACCTCTTCTCCTATCGTCGGCCCATTAACACCAAATGTCCCCTTCGCCCTAACACACAGGTCCCCTTTGACACTTTCCAGTGTCCCAACAATCTCGGAGCACTGCTTTTGCTCTGCTACAGCTTTCTTGGTCAAGTCTTTTTGCGGTGATAACCAAGATAACCACGACTTCGTGGGCTCCGCTTCAGGTTCAGGGGGCGGCTCGGTTTGCGGTAGGTTCGGTCTCGAGAACGACGCGCGCAGTATATAGAAGTCGAGACTATACGTGGGTTTTGCATACGTCACACTCAAGGAGATTGGGCGATGGATGGATTCTACCCGATCGCATCAGTACGCACACTCGAGTCACAACTGGGTGGGAAATGTTCTTGGGCAGAGAATCTGGATTGTGTACACACCTACAGACCCTCTAGGGCCTCTAACCATCCTCGCCATGACCTCCTCGAAAATCGTCGCAATAGCCCCTCCATGCGCAACACCGGGCCACCCAGACATGCCCCCGCCAATCCACACCACAGCCACCATCTCCCTCGTCTCCGCATTCCAAAACGCCCTCTGCACTCCTAACCCCCTCGTCCCACTCATCGTTTCGAGCAAGCTTCCTCTTCCCTCCTGCGCAGTTTCTTGCGCAAGATCGACTTCCATCCATCCCTTGCCGTACACCTTCTTGCTCCTCGGTCCCGCTAGATTGAACGACTGCTTCCGCAGCGATTGCACAATCTCCAGCTTATCGACGTCTTGGTCTAGGGACTGTAGGATGAGCTCATCTTCGCGCGACCCAGGGATGGGTAGGCCGAGGGGCCCGGCGAAGTTACGGGCGGCTAGACCCGTGGTTATGCCCAAGGCGAGGATGCTGGCGTACCAGAGGTAGGACCAGCGCATGCGGGATTCGAGGGGGAGCTCGAACGTGGCATGTTTGGAGGATTTGCGGGGGAGGGAGGGCTTGAAGGGCGTGCGGTGGAGGAAGTGGCGTATGCGAAACATGGTGGGCGTGTGTTGGGGATGCAGATATGGGGTAGAAATTTAGTAGCTCGAACCCGGAGCTCTTCACCGAGGCTTCCAATTTTGGATTGGTGGCTTGGCATTGGGTGGATCTTGACTCCAAAACTCTTTCACAATTATCAAAGTAAATATTCGTTTAAACAACTCTTACGTTGCAATCATGAACGGATTTTGTTTCATCACGACTATTCCATCATGCTCGACTGGGGTGCCGATCCTCAACATGCACAACATCCAGCTCCTCGACCTTCACACCCTGAAACATACGGACCTACAAATCGATCAACCTCGGCATAGCTTTCTTCCTGTTCATGACTGTACACTCACATTTACTCCCAACAGATCCGGCGGCGCGTCACCAAATTCCTCCATCCTTGGATCAAAGAACACACTACTCCCACACTGTCCATAAAACTTGTGTAGGTTTCTCTTGACCCCAAAAGAGTAGCTCTCTAGGGCTTCCTCGCCGCTTTTCATGGTCACCTGCTCGCGCGAGGGGTATACGTGGAGGTGTCCGTTTCATGAGCAGATTGAGCAGTTACACGAGACGACTTTCCATTGTGGAAGCGGTGGCGATAGGAGGACTGTATACTGTACGGCGCCGCAGTGACAGCTAGCAGGGTAGGTCTGGCAGTTGGCAGGGTCGAATTCTGGGAGAGCAGGTTTAGTCTGTTCGTTCATGACGTGGGATATGTTGGCGATGAACTGGCAATATGTGGGAAAGTGGGGTAGACGTGATGGTTACGAGAGAGGTAAATGTTATGAAGCACTGTTGCTGCCTACTACGCATACTCTTTCTATTCTAGGACGACGATCGACAATGAGGTATGCACGTAAGATACTTGGCAGGTAACAAGCAGCACGGCGACTTTGCGTATGTCTCCGAATCTTAGGATCAACAAGTCTTCGATGATTTCAACATGACGTCGAGATCACTGAGGTATCATCAAACATGAAACTAGAGATATGATAGCAGAAAGAGATCGCGTCGTACTTGCTGGCAGGTCCGCGTTAAGCTGCTAGTACGCAACAGATGAAGTGAAATCTATTCACAACAATTTGAACTGCTTCCGAGTTGCAATGTCATATGAATAGAGTCATAAAAAGCTTCATGGCGAGTATTGGACAACGAACCAAGAAGATATACCCACAATACAATCCTTGTCATCCATAAATAGCTCACATATACACACACGGTACCTCCATACGCATCCCCATCCAAGACACACGATCTCCACCGACATCGTCCCACACCACAATGTACCCCGTCCTCCCAACCATCATGTACCATCATGTACCAACATACGCATGTTCCACCGCTTTGGTCTGCGCCAGCGGGCGCCTGTGTTTCCCCACCGATCCTGCGCTCTGGCCACACAAGAGATCCTGTGCGACGGGTGGTACAGGTAAACAAGCCAAGTTGGATGTTTCACGGATGCAAACGGGTTTGTGAGACTTGGGGACCGGGGGGTCCGATTGGTGTCTTGCATTTGAGACGCTTGGTTGGGTTTGTGGAGGGGGTGTGTTCCCGAGGGAGTGGATCGTGGGTCATTAGTCGTACCGGGGTGGAGGCGGTGGTGTGTGGGAGAGATAGGTTTGAGCTGAGAAGAGTTGAGAAGAGGATGGACAGATGTAAGAGTGTGCGGTGGCGATGTATGGGTTGCTGATTTGTTTGTTGCGTCAGGGCAAGTCTTTTACGACGATCGTGGATGTATGAGTGACAGACTGGTCGTTCTCTTTTACTCTAGATTACTACGTTATGTTTGAGAGCGATTCTGTGTTAGCTACTGCTAGCATCGATCAATTTTTTGAAGAAAAAAAAAGAATCTGGTTTGAACTTATAACTAACAGATTTGTCCAAACATAGAGAGAACTATGCAACTCCGACATGTCTTCACATAAACATGGCGAATCCGACAGCAAAATTCTCAGTATCATTTACCTGTACATACGTCTATACTGAGAGGCACTCTAACTATTAGCTCATGAAATCTTTGATTTTTGTTTTCCCTGTTTATCTACATCAACTCGTTTTACTGAGATATTATCTTAACTACGCAAGACCTTCGGCCCATGTTGCTATTTTCCGTTCCATCAGCAATCGAACATGAGCCTTTCATGAAATTCATCTTTACAATGAGGACGCATCACCGAAATGAATCCGATGCGGTTGACAGGGTGAATAGTGACTCGAAAAGCTTGTGATATTCAATTTGTGCGTGGTGTCTTGTTTGGAGAGTACGGGTTTCACCAAGTAAACAACTCCATAAGTATAAGAAGGGAAAGCAACATGCAGGAATGAGTGCGTAAGTAACGAAATAGATACATAATGGTTTCAAGAATATTCAAACATAGATAGACCAGAAGTGAAGGTCAAACGAGAAGACAATATAATTTACATGATTTTATGCTTGGGCTTTTCACAATACACATAGACACTCACAATATCGCTATCAAGTCCTCTCCACTACCCTCTATCCAAATCTTTCGAGGTGTAGAACAATCCATTCGCATTACAACTTTTGCGATAGATGCGTGTGTATGATCAGTGCGAGGAGTTGTTCTCACAATTCAACCGTTCTGAGATTATGCATTGTGCACACATCCAGTGACACAGCAAGCATGTGGTCTAGCTTCGGCATAGTTTCTCACTTGTAGAACTGAATATTCAAAGCATAGACGATGGCGTAACATCAAGCATAAACGCAACAGTCACTCGAATTTGAGATCACACATCGTTTGCCAAGTTACTCGCTGTGTGGCCGTCTCACGCTGGTGCAACTGTGACGTCGTGTCGTCCTGTATAGGAAGTTCACGTCTCGATTGCGCTGCCCCAGAGGCGTGCACAAGGACAAGTCAGTGCACGCGGGTCATTTGTGGAACCATTCGGCGAGTTCCTCGGGTGAGGTTGCTATAGCAAGTGGAAATGTTACACGGAATGTATTGGAGAAAGTAGAAAGGGGTGTCTTGAGGCTCTTGCGGCTAATTTGCAATTCCTGTGGTAGCGAGACGGCTACCTGTTTGATCGACTGATTTAGTCTCGCAGGAGATGAAACGAGATGCCAGGGTTTTTCTTATCGAGTTGGTTGTCGGTGAGTGAGTGGGTGTCTAGCGCGTACCTGACGGCGAAATGGATGGTGGATGCTGGTGAATCTGGGTCTGCTAGCACGTTGAATGAGGTCGGCCTATGATCGCTTTTGTTATTGTCTTGGGGCTGCGATTAGGTTTTGTTGTGCCACTACGAGATCGAGCTTGTGTCAAACACATTGTTGTGCGGGAGGGAACACTTGATCGCAAATGTTCCAGCGAAGGGCTGAATGATCGACATGCTTAAGTCTGCCGCATAATGATCCTCGATTCATGACCACGAGTAAGGACTAGGAAGCTGTCACGGAGCGACACGCGCCATGTTAGCCAAGAGCAAGGACTACGGGCTGACGTCATTCTCTACACATAGCTGACAGCGCTTGTAGGTGCATGTGGAGCATGGGCTGCGACAAGTCAAGAGTCCGCGGTAAAAGCAGATGATGCTAACCATCATCACTGTCTGGTCACTGAACGTGGACAAATTCACCGCCCGTATATGCAACCAGAGAATATATCACAACACCAGGGTCAAGAAAAACCACATTTTCAGCGGCTTAGTGATTTGCTGTTCACCGGTTGCTTCTCTGGTTGCAAAACGTGTAAGGTATGTTTGCCGATACGAATTACGAACATTCTCATACCATCGAATCAAATCAAACCTGGAGGTTGGTAGAGGAGACCAGAAAAAGTAAAGGGGCGATTGGACTAGAGTCCTGCAGGAGGACATGGTGCGCAGTTGTTCAAGGCCCCCCATGGTCTGATCGTTGTCGTCAGCCAGCGGTAAGCGATAGGATGAAGATCTATGTTGGGACAATCGACTTGGGAAGCTGCTGCATGTGATGACACGATTGCTAAGGGGTGAGTGTTTGCATAGTGAGATGTGAATGAAAGAAGAAAGCTTGAGCAGTAAGAGGAAACCGATTGATCGAAGCCAGAACAATCAATCAGGGTGTGTAGGGATTGTACGAATAGGGATTACGTGCGATGTTCGTTCTGCCTTGTAGAGTCTTGTCGGAATCGATCATTCCCGAGCCAACACTGTGGAAGGCAGAGTTTACTGGGATGGATGTAGCAGTTAGTATTACAGGCTCGTTCGCAAGCGTCATGTGAGTTTGCTGCATATCGAAATGCAATTCCTAGGTTGTCTCAGACTTGTCAGAGTACGAAGCACGCGCTAATGCCTAGTAATTAGGGATGCCCATTTGTGCTGCAGTAGCTGACGACGAAAGCAGGATTGTTGTCAATCCTCGCGACGCTTCCCTGTGTACATCTCGATCCGGGGTCTGCACGTTCCAACCGCGGGATGGCTTGTGGTGGCGTCGAATTAGTTCAGCGGTCTCAACGACTGGCATGATGGCGGTAGTGAACGTCAAGTTTGGTGAACGATCAACGGGATCCTCACAAACAAGATCGAGATATTGGCGTCCGCCACAAAGACTTGAGTTTGAGAGAGATTGCTTTTGATGCAGGTACACGTGAGGCGTGCGTGTCAATACCACGAGCTCAGCTCAAATCACCGACAAAAAGGCCTTCGCACTCGCTTCGAAGGCGTTAAGCTTCCGAAAAAGAGAGTTGGCACTTGGGGGTGACTGAAGTTGTGTATGGCGCACCGTGCGGCTAATGTGGTGAATTCGACTGTTTCCGGGGATATGAATGCGACGCCAATGAGCAAGCTCGGGGAGATGGCGACAAATCATATTTTACCGAATCACGAGAATTAGCTCCAACGTGCTTTGGCGTAAGCTATGTTGAGCAGTTTGGGGCAGGGTGAGGCGAGAAAGCATGTCAATGCGCTAGGATCAGGAAAAACTAAGATGATGAAGGCTGCACCATGCAGGAGAGGCCACAGCCGAGATGATAGTCGTTAGTGCAGGAGCATCGGGTGCATGTACTCGTGGTGCAGAGCGCGTCTTCAGCCCAACACCTAGATGGCACGATTCGAGGAAGGCGTAGCAGGCTTCCCCTACTCGGGAGCTGCAAACTTTTGGTCGTGATCAGGACATAAGCAGTGGTCCTGGCGTCGTTTGGTCCAGTCATGTGGGGTGCATGATGAAGGACACTGCGACGGTCTGGATAGGCAGCAGTGTGAGCAGCCCTTGGGACATTGACGAAGCAGATGAGGCTCAACGTGTAGTTGTGGCCACGCAAGTGCCAAAGATCTGACAGTGATGCATGGCCAAAAGCATTGCAACACGAACGCGACTTGCCCTGCACATGTTGAATGACGTCCCAGCGGTGCGGTTGGGCGCCGTCGGTTCGAAGCGCTGGTCCAGGACAGGGCAAGCTCAATGTTTGTACAGAAGCTTGCACGGACGCTAGATGTACGACCCAGAGCTAGGCTCGCGTGTCACATCGACTACTCGGGCGCTCCGAAGGCTTAGTTCACAAGATCTGGTGGAAACGGGCAAGATGCTAGCGTGGTATGAGGTGGAGGTCGTCGTGGGCGTGTGTCGCAGACGTTGGCGAAATTATTGTACCAGTGTGAAAGGTGGAATCACCGGCTCGTGGCTAACGACTTGATCGCACGCAGTACCAAACAGTACTATGAATTGTGGTGATGATCCCGATTCATAATTAAGGATGGCAATCCTTATGACGGAATGGCGGGTACAAGGCACGTACGTACGTACGTACGGACAAGGTCACAGGCAGGCGATCCGCTAGCCGGTCATCAATCAAACTACTTTCCGATAGACAGGGAAGCTGAATTGCATTCGGCAAATGGGCATTTTCGCGGACGAAAAGACTCCTGAATCAGATCAACAGCAAATTATGAATATGAAGATTGGGGAAGAAGGTAGTAAGAGTCTTGGTGATCTTTTGCAAGCGCCGGAGCAACCGTCTATCTTGGTGATAACAAATCGCCTAAACACAGTCCTTATTGGCCAGGAGCGCCTAGGGTCACTTGGAATGCTTTGGTGTGCTGCTGGACAAGACGCGGTCGGGGCAAAAAGGAAGGGTGCGGCTGTCGGCGACGCGTCCAAAATCTCTTCATGTTGATCGCACAAAAAGCTCGAGTTGGTGAGTTGAGATGAAACGAGATGGAGGAGCTAAATTGTCTGGGGTGCTCAAAGTCACAGACGCCTACCGGGACCCCAGGCGGCTGGGGAGACAGCAAGCCAAAAAGCCTCTCTCTCCACGGGGCGCTGAAGGAGCCGGCCAGCGGCTGCGGCTGCGATCTCTGCACAATCTTGGCCCTGCGTCACGCCTCCTCCAAAGTGGCGCCAGCAAGCCCACAAGCGTGGTTCGTGGCAGCAGCCTTGAAGCCTGCCCTGACCTGAGGTGCAGCCAAATGGGCCGCCCTCGATCGACGACGGAATGGATCCCAGTTCCGTGCTACTCTGCTTTTCCGCCAGCCAGCCCAGATGACCAGGCCGTCGGAAGAGGCTGGACGGCACAGCACGCACAAGATGACGCTGGGCACTGCACTATGCGCTCGCAAGCGTCTGTCACCATGACTTCGGCAGAGCAGCCATCAGCGAGAGCTAGTAGGTAACAGGCGCTTCAAGCGCCTATGAGACGTGTTGCTAGCAGCAGGACTGCGGCACTGTTGCTATCGAGCATCGTGACACAGACACGGCACCAGACGCGCGCAACTCGAACCGAACAGTGAGCCAACAGCGATTCCACGTGGGAATCCGTCAGCCTGCCTAGGGGATGCCACACAACGAACCGGGACTGGCTTCAGGGAGATGAGGGTCAGCGCCCTGCTTACCACACCTTTCCTCCTAGGACACACACGTGCCGCGGGCAATACAAGAGCCCTAATTATAGACGTCATCAGGGGCGCAAAACAAACAATTCCACGTCTCGGACTGCAAAAGCACTTCTCCGGCCTGTAGGCGCGCTTTACACTTTGGCATGCAATCGCGGACGACCAGAAGCGGCACCATATGGACGATCATTGACGTGCTAGTGAGATGCGCTCTTTGCTCCCGCGCTGCAGAACATGTCTTTAAGCGCGGAGCCCTCTGGCCGCCTATCGTTCCATCATGTGCAGCTCGCACTTCTCTGCAGACTCGGCTAGCGCGGCCTGAAGACTAGGCCGTAAAGAGAAGACATGATGCGCAGGATTGGTCGCCGATGCATCGAAGCACTGGCCACTATCATGGAGGGACGTTTGGCTGCAAGTGCAGCGTCATGTCTGTATGAAGCGCTCTCGTCTTGCCTCAAAGCGCTTCACCACGCCGCCAGCACACGATCTGCACTGCTTGGACTGGGACTGGCTGCCTGCCAACGGCGACCTTGAGCAAAAGGGACAGGGGTGTCTTTGAGGTAGGTCTGGCTTGGGTGTCTGTCACAGCGCTCGCTGGGCCAGAACACCTGTCTGTGCACACGTAGTGGCATGCCTAGCTAGCGCCAGTCCCGACACATGCTAGCACGTCCCTACGATCCTAATCCTTGGTACGTTGGAAAACAAAGGCCTTTGCTTCCGCTGTCCGTCAGTCAGTCTGTCTCTTGTCATGTCGTCAGTCTCGGCCAGTCGACTCGCATGCATGTCCAAGATGATGATAGTTACTCAAGAGCATCATCATAAGCTTTTGAAAGAAGGGCAGCGCAGGCAATATAGGCTCTCGGGATGCATCCCAGCGACATGATAATCAAAGGTCTATTCACTCACGGGCCGGCGCAAGCGACAGCTCCTCCACTGTCCTGGTCCACGCCGTCCCGCACGCCAGCAGACTCGGACTGATGGACAGGGTCTGGCTGCGGTAGGTGCTTTCACCCCAGCACGCATCGTCTGCGGACCCATGCTTGTCGTCTGGTTCTCTGAACCGAGCCTGAACGGTGTGCTTCATCATCCATTCGTTGGATTGCTTCTGCCGTGCCTCGTCTGTATTGCCTGGAAGTGTCAAAGCGCCCGTGGATAGCGCTCCCGCTCGCTCACCTGAGGCCAGCTCTCGTGCCTTTTTTCGTACCATTCCTCATCTCCCGATCCAGATTCCTCAGAACGCTCGGACAAACCCTATCGCCCGGTTGAGCCCTTGATGTTTTTAGAGCCCCAGCGCGCCAGTCAGCCACGCGCACCCCCAACCCTGACACCCGTAGCCTGCCATACATATACGTGAGGGCCACCACTCTCCACACTCTTGCGGAACCAAAGCCTTTGGCCCACTTGAGATTCAGCCTTCTCCGCCATCGCTCCCCTAGGGCGCCCAGGTACTGAGCTTAACAAGGTTGGATCGCCGCTTCAAACGCCAAACACCACCACCAACTGCTTACAAGCCTCACCTCTCCCACCTAAAGTATCACTACACTTGCACTGTCAACGTGCAACCCCAGATCTCGCATCGTCACTGCAGTGGATCGCAGTAACACCAACTACATCTGTGTCTACATCCTGTTCAGGAAGACCGTCGTTCCCTGTACCGTGGATCAAGCACTAGTAACCTGCCTGCCAACCAATCCGGAACATATCTACATCTAAGACGACAACACAAGCATCTTCAAACCAAGACCACCGCCATCTTGACCGAAAATTATCATCTTTACGGCTTGTGCTACCTCCTTAGTAGCACTGCTTTGCGTAACCAGGAAATCGGGCTCTACCGAACGCGCAGCATTCAACGTCACCACAGTTCCACGAGTATCTGTTTCTGATCCTCTGTACGCCCTCCCCTCTCGGCCTACGACGACAATCACCACCACAGACCTTGCGCAGTGACGGAGACTTTCTGGAAGAACTCTCTCCAGGTGTACAGGAAAACCTTTACAACATTCTCTCCCCAACCACTGCTCGCATATTATCAGCACTTTATCCCCCTTGATCAGAGTACCCACCTTTCAAATTACGCCTCTGAGCTACAAGCCGCCGGTTGCCCTTCGTGGATCCTTTACCGCCTTCACGTGGGCTATATTGGTCCGGTGTTCGTCTCTCAACTCCGCCATTTGCAGCGTCACAGCTGCAGTCCCTCCCAACCCCTCCTTCATCCGAAGCTGGTAGGTCGTCAGGACCTCACAGCGACACAACCGTCATCGTGGCTGCCGCAGTAGCTCATCCGACCTCCATGCATCCTGGGTCTGACCCAATGGGTGCACCTCCTAGCTTCGCGGCGCGGAGGCCCCATGCGGCTCAGTTGGGTAGCTTCGAGCTTCCTCCTCCGCCAATGCACAAATATCCCTTCCACCATTCTGTCGCCTCATCTCAGCCATCACAGATCCCGACAACGATTGCTAGCGTTGGGAACCTGCTTACACCGCCAAATACCGTTTCAGGGGATGGAATCAGTCCTTCATCCAGAGTCCCAACAACAAGCACACACTCGACAACAATGCCTTACTCGAATGGAAACTACATCTACTCTCCACCAACGCAAGGATCGACACACTATGGCTACCCACCCTCGCACCATCATCAAAACCAATATGGACAAGCCCGAGGAGGTACGTTTGCTCCACTACGCAGTGATCGTCAGCCTGGACATGACGACTTACATCGCAAAGGGCTGAATCCGCCACCTTACGAGATGAATCACCAGCTGCCACCTTTTACGCCTTCGTCCAACGCGTCTAGTATGTCTTCGATGTCTTCACAGCAGCAGCAGCCTCATCATCATCATATGATGAGCCAGCAATCACCTGTGACGACTTCTGCGCCTCAGCAATCTCCCGCACTTGTCCAGGACTCCTTCAGGCAACCCCACCCACCGACGCCAACCTACAACTATCAGCCGTCGGGGGCGCCTCAACATTCCAACTTCTCGTATTCGACCGCTCCATCGCCAAGTCTGCAACAGAGTCCAATTAGCGCTGGAGGATCCATGCCTAGGATGTCGCCGGCAGTATCGCAGGGTCCGCTACCATCAAGTAACCAGGCTCAATCTCCGTACTCCTACCAACGGCCACCTCCAGCATATTCTCCAGGCTCAGCGCCCGTCTTCTCGAACGTCCAAAACCCCAATGGTCAGCTTTCCCTGGTTGGAGTACACCCTGGCATGATGCCGGGCTTCAACAGTGGACACGCAGCAGCGATGCCTCACTTCATGGGACATCCTTCCCACCAGTCAGCACCTGTGAACGACAGGCCATTCAAGTGTGATCAGTGCCCTCAGAGCTTCAACAGAAACCACGATTTGAAGCGACACAAGAGGATACATCTGGCAGTCAAGCCATTCCCGTGCAACCACTGCGACAAGAGCTTCTCGCGCAAAGACGCGCTTAAGGTACGTCGAACAAGATCGCCCTCCATTCTGATCGAGTACTAATTAGTCCACCAGCGTCACATTCTAGTCAAGGGGTGCGGGAAAGCTGCCTCCGGCGATGAAGCCAAACGAGAAAGTCACTCGCCTGACCATAAGACTGAGACACCCAAAAAGATGATGTCGAGTCACGCCTGACTCAACTCGGTGTCGCCATGCCAGGAGTTCTACCATCCCTTCACTCCCCCTGTATTACATACCCCTTCTGTGTTTTTCGGTTTCGGCGCACATTATCACGAAACCTGTCACCTTCTCTGGAAGTATTTTGCTACGATTTCATGTCTGCTTTTTCTTATATCTGGATTACCCTTGGGATACTGGACGGAAATATTTGTTGATGGAGTATTGGGACTAAGTTTCGCTTTTGCTTGTTTTTGCTTACTTTTTTGCTCATTCCATGTAACTGCGGATACCTCTTAGCTTGCTTTTTTCTTTTTGGGAGGGCGGGCTGTATGGTTGGTTGTTCGTATCGAATATATGCGCAGGGGTCGCGCTCGAGTTTACGGATCGGCGTCCATTATGCATCTGCCGCTTCCGAAGCGGCAGTGCGCGACGTTTCAGGATTATGGATATATCTGGGAGAATAGTCCTTTTGGTGTTGTGTCTTTTCCTGACAAATTTCTGTGGCATCAGACATGGGAATAGAGACTAAAAGCCGTGGCGGCGAGAACTGAATACCAAAGATCCGATCATTGCTTTTCCACTTAAGGTGCATCGTGTCGAGCTGCTCGCTTGCCATTACGTATACCCCGGCGCATGTCGCTGGCCTATACATGTTGACGACGACCATGCGGCAGTGTCTCGATCAAGACGACGCTGCGTTAAGGTTGTTGTGCATGCCACCGGCTATGTGCAGCAGGTGATCCATGCCCGCGTATTCGCTTTCGGTTAACTGGGAGCAGTGTTGCTTGTATACAGTTCCAACACCATTGGCACCACGGTCTTGATCGTAAATAGAGTGCAGCAGTAGTAAAGAGACAAATTTTCCAACGTTTTCTATCTTTGGTAGATAGAAAAGGTATTACCTTGCTACATGAAAGCGAGCAGTTATGAAGCTTTGGTGATGCAGCCCATGTCCTGGTAGACCAAGAGTCGGAATATGCCGGTGGAGTAACACGTTTGTCACTCCTCGCTTGATCACTCTCCCCTTTTCATCCCACTTCACTCCAACTAACAGCACCGGCGGAACACAGCTGGATGGTACAAGATGCTCCGACCTATAATATGTTTTCGTGCAGGTATCTCACTGCTTTCAATGTTCTTGCTTGGTAATCTGTCGATTCTTCTTAACTCTGCATCTCCTCTCATGTCTCTCTTTATCTGCCTACAGAACAATAGTCAGTGGCTATTTTGCCGCTTTTCTTAGTGCTTGAAATGTGTCGCAGTTTCAAGAGTCGAGGCAGAACACGCATTTCGTTCGACGGCAGCATGCAAGAAAAGAGAGGGCGTCGACCGATAGCCATACAATGAGTGTTGCATATAAGTGCAGTTGGTAGATAAAAAGCTCATTACTCTCATTTCACTTCGTCGTATTGGATCCGTCTGGTCGTTGTGATGAACTATCTCGCTCATTTTGCTTGGGACCATAAAGAAGACACTTTTTCTCTACCACACTGCGGGTATACTTTCTATGTCGAAATCCATCCTTTCGTCTGTGCATGTGGAACAGACAGAAGGCTCTTCTCGTTGCTCACGAGGTACTGTCTCTGCTTGCCTGGCGGTGGTGAAGCGCTCCTTGCCTGTCGGCGTTTGCGATCGGCGTACTCTTTCCCACGCAAACAAAAGCCCGTGCACAACCATTTCCTCTCAACATCACACTCCCAAGTATTGACATAGCACCATTGTATGCACCGAACACTTGTTAGCTTTTTGGACGCCAAGCAGAATCAATTGAAGCTGCACAGCTAGCCGCCCTTCCTTTACCGGCTCTCTGTCAGTCAGCTCGCTGGCAACGGCCACTGAAAGGTCAACCACAGCAGATAAACAACACAAACAACAACAACACAGCGGGTGGGCTATGGCGCAGACCTGACAAGGCGACGCGAAGACAGTGACCCCGGCCACCGCAACAGCACTACACACTTATCCAGCTCATCTGGGTCCATCATCTTACTTGCCTATCGTGATACTGCTTGCACCAGTCAAGGAACCTTGCCTTAACTACTGCACACGTCTACTCATACGCACATCATGGATCAGAGCTACCATGGCCACCCAACAACTCGACGACACGCCCTTGGCGATGGTTCACTACGCGCCAACGCAAATGCTCGCAGCCAACATCGCGGCGACAAGCACAGCCAAGGCCACAAGCCAGCCTCGTCTCCCACTTCACTACCCCACAATGAGTCGATAGTTCCAAATGGGACACTGGCAGTGCGACATGAGCAGTCGTCTCCTGAGAACAAGCGTCTTTCTGCCGTCATGGCCCACGAACCACGTCCACACAACCCCAAGCGCGACTCGCAGATTTCCAACGCGAGTACGAATGCCTCGAACACTAACCGCCGCCGCAAGACGCATATCGGTCCGTGGCAGTTGGGTAGGACCATTGGGCGTGGTGGGTGCTCGCGTGTGCGGCTCGTCAGGCACAGTGGGACAGGGCAATATGGCGCTGCGAAGATCATCTCAAAGGCCACGGCGGAGAAGGTGCGCGCGCTGAGTCTGGCTGACCTCATTCAGAGCTCAGAGCAGGACTCTACCATCTACCCTGAGGGTAAGGCCATCCCTTTTGGCTTAGAGCGTGAAATCTGCATCATGAAGCTGCTCGATCACCCCAACATCGTCCGTCTGTATGATATCTGGGAGAACCGCGACGAGCTGTAAGTACCCATGCATCTTCATCCGTTCAACCCGTCATATCTAACCCACTGCAGCTACCTCATCATGGAGTTTATCGAAGGTGGCGAGTTGTTTAGCTACATTCACGAGCAGGGCGGCCTCATTGAGATCCATGTGGTACATATCTTCCGGCAGATCATTGCGGCCCTGATCTACTGTCACCGCATCAACATCCATCATCGTGACCTCAAACCGGAGAACATCCTGCTGGATCGGGACACTATGAATGTTAAGCTGGTCGACTTTGGCATGGCTGCATTGCAGCCGATCGGCAAGAAGCTCACAACCCCTTGCGGTAGCCCTCACTATGCGGCACCTGAAGTCATCAAGACTCAGTCATACGACGGCGCCAAAGCCGATGTTTGGAGCTGTGGCGTTATCCTCTATGTTTTGCTTACTGGGACGCCACCGTTCAACTATTCAGGTGAAGACAAACACCTCAAGCATCTGTTTCACGATATTTCGAGAGCCAACTACATCATGCCAGATAATATCTCTGTTGAAGCGCAGGATCTCATTCGCAGGATACTTGTAGTAGACCCTAAACGACGGGTATCCCTAGACGACATCTGGAACCATCCGTTCCTGCGCAAGTACAAAGAGGAACTAAATTTTGTTGGGGAGAACGCCTCTCAGGGCTACTGGACTGGGCCACTTCCGTCAATTGCATCTTGGAACACACTGGAGCGAAAGACAATCGATCGGGAGATCTTGCGGTACTTACGCACTCTATGGCACAGTGAGAAAGAGGAGACTTTGATACATCGCCTGACAAGCCGGGAGTAAGTGACCCTTTATTTTTCACTCTGGTACCATCTGCTAACATCGGCTCCAGAGCTAACCAAGAGAAGTACTTTTACTCCGCACTCTTGAAGTATCATAACGAGCAGTTGGAGAACTACCAGCCCAGCGCCCACCATCCCGTCGCACACTCCAACAGCGATTATCATCATAATGCGCACCATCCTCCTACTCAAGAGGATCGTGAAAAGATGCCATCGACGGATCATAGACGATCTCGGTCAGCCTACTCGGTTTTGAACAATGAGCATCTGTATTCCAAGCATAGCTTCTACGAGTCGCCCGTCTCTGAGGCCAGCTACGACCCATATCGAGCGTCGCGACAACCGATCGTTCCCGAAACGCCTGTTCCTCATAACGTCACGGTTCACCGTAAGTCTAGTACGGGCAGTCGAAAGTTGCGTCCCACTACAGCCTTGGGGCATCGTACGGGAAGCTCGTTACGCATCCAAGCTCTCCGAAGTTCTCACACATCCCGTTGTTCTTCCAAGCGAAGCACCCCATCCCATCGATCCACATCCGTCAAGCGGCGGTCCATATCGCGTTCCTCGCTCACTAGCTCTCACTGGCCGAGTAGTCCCCCGGTCATGGCTCGATCTAGCGGTTTGGGAAAGCGAGGAGTGAGCTTCTCACATCTGCGTGATCGTCGCTCATCGGTTGCAACCGCCCACACAAATGACACTGGGTTCGTGACGTACAGTTCAGATACGAATGCCTCCTTCGAACATCGCCGTGAGTCGGTAGGATCTTACGGCTCATCGCTGAGATCGAGCCCCATCAAACAGACATCTGCCTTCCGAACAAAGTCTAGGGGTTCTGCAAGCGCGACAGTACCACGCCTGAGGGTTCGTAAGCCGGATAGCCCTAGCAAATATATCCAGAGCGAGGCAAGGAAGGTTAGCACAGAGCTTGGAAAGGTTATGGAGGAAGCATTCAACCGCTCGTCAGTGAGCTCTAGTATTCGTACCACAGGTACGGATGTTTACCAGGACGCCTCCCAGTATGATACTCCTCCTACTTCCTTCTCAAATACAAGGGACTCGGGTGGTAGTACAATTGCCACTCCGAGCAAGACCATGCTTGCACTTCGGCCGCTTCCCCCAATTCCAAACGAGACGCCCAATACGTTCCTGCAGCGCAAGCTGGCCGAAACCCGAGCAGACATTGCCCGAAGGTTCGATGAAGATGGCAACACTACTGAACACTTCAACGAGGTTCTCGAACACCTCGATCGTTTGATGATACCTGCAGTTGCCGGCAAGCGTACCGTTTCTGCTCCTGCCAAATCCCCCGAGTATCCTGCGCCTTTACACGTCATCCCAGAGGAGGTCAAGGCTGATGGAGATGGGTTTGGATCTCATGTTTCTCACTATAGAGTCATGACTGACCCTTCTAGGCCACAACCCCGGCGTCCAGCTACCGAACAGACAATTCGGGTGGTTGACCAGTCGCCTACCCGTGTGGCCCCCCTCAACATTCGTAAGCGTAGTGGTGCGAGCAGCTACTCCAAAGCTGCAAATGACGGACTCTCAGTGCCTAGGTCAGGAGCAGCGGCCGACCCTCCAGTTCGGTCGTTCCAAGAAGTCCACAATAGTCAACTTGCTGCACATACAAGTAATGCTGTCCCTGTCTTGGAGAAGAAGGATACTGTCATCAAGAAGAAGAAGTCTTTGTGGTTTCGTCGCAACGCAGAAGAGAAAGAGCAGGAACAAGACAAATACGAAAAGCAAGAGAACCAGATCAAGAAGAAGCAGTCGACTAGATTGTTGCAAATTCCTGAAGCCTGGCAAGGCCTAGATGATCGTATCAAGAGCGACCCTGCACCGGTTGCAGGCACCAATAATGATATTCCTAAACACAATATGAAGCAGTCCGAAGGCAGCAACGAAAGCGAATTTCCCATGCGCAACAGCGCCTCGGCCGCTTCCAAAAACGATACTGCCCCTCGCAAGGGTATCTTCGGATTTTTTGGCAAGAAGGCAAGGGAAGATAAGGGCAAGCGATCTATGGAGCTGGGCTGTGAGTATCCCTGCCAACGCATTCAAGTTTCCAACCGGCATGCTGACGTCTTGTAAACAGTGAACTTTAGCTCCTCCTCCATCCTCTCGGTTTTCGATCTCGGCCCAGAGCACAACAATGAGTCTTCCGCCCGTACCAGCGCACCAGAGATGCAGATGAACTGGATATCACGCTTCCTACACATCAAGCCCGCGAACAAGACTCTCTGCTTTTTGATCGGTCGTGGCAAGGTCCGTCAAGATCTTGTTCATCTACTGCGTGATTGGCAGCGCTTCGGCGTCCGGGAAATCTCGTTCGATCGTAGCACCAACTCGATCAATGCACGCATTGACAAGAATAACCGTACGTATACATCTACTCCTTCTCCATCACGAGTTGTGTTCAGCGAGTGGCGGCTTGCGGGCTTTCGCTTTGACGTGGAAGTCCTCGAAACGGAGTGTATATTGGGATGTAATACTGCGCTTCTTTTCTCGATGTTGCTTCGAACTTTTGAGTTACCTTTGCTGACCAAACTGTTCGTAGATTTGAAGATCAAGCCGGTTTCGTTTGTTATTGAGCTCTTCGTCGTGCTCGAGCATGGTCGCCGTGCCAACCTTTGTCTTGCACGCTTTACGCAGACGCGCGGTGCGGCGTCGAGTTTTCGCAAAGTGGTCGATATCATTGAGGATGTCTGCCGTGCTCGGAGCATGCTGGTCGAGGACGAGGAAAAGAAGACGTCCATGATGGAGGTATTGGACTAGGAACTCCAGGGCCGAGAACGAGATGGGAGTGGTTCGAGAAGGTGTGCGTCTCAGAGATCGAGTGGCATACCTCCTTATACTTTAGGGTCGTAAGTTGGCAGAACATCTTGTTTGGCATGGACAGAGGCGAGCTTTTGGTGGATTGATCTGGATAGGATTCACATTGCAGGTTTTGGATGTTGACGGTCTTTGGATATCGGAGGAAGGGGCAGCATTTGTTCGCTACTTGCACACGATACCCCGAACAGCACTACCTCAGCATCCGATTCGAGCGCTATTCGGCCTACCGATGACATCGATACTCCTTCCTGTCTCTACTATCGCAAGCACGAGCACGCCCTGTCGAGCTCCCCCTTTCCGCCAACATTCGAGAAGCGTCTTGTTCACTTGGACATTCACTGGCCGCGAACGTAATAGCTAGCCTGGTCTTTCTTTCTTTGCGTACGTGAGTGAACTGGCGGTTTGTCTTTCATGAGCGTTGGCATCGAATGGTGTCTGTCTTTGCGGGTTTTTTGTACCAATATTTGCATGGCTGTCCCCGGCATTCTGGCTAGAGCTCATAGATGAGACCAAGGGGTCGTGGGGGGTATAATTAATTAAGACGAGTACATGAACAACTCATGGCTGTCTCTGCTTGTGCTGCTGTTTGGTGATGGTGATGGTGATGTGTGACGACTCTCTCCCCTCCCTCCAGGAGTCAAAGGCGCATTTTCTACACATGCACACGCATACACGACTCAGATCAAGGCTAGCTTCATAATATTCGTGAGGACATGGTATTGCATTTGCACTATGGCAGCGCCAGACCCTAAGCTCTTGAGCATCCGGCACACCGGACCAGAAAGATGTTCGCCATCATCCCATCCCAACCCATTGCATTTTCCCTGCAGCAATCGGAAGACGAGTCAGAGAGAGTAAAGGAACACCGAGTCGCCTCGAAAATCGCCCCGAACCCTATTCATGCACAACGAGACGCCATGTCACTTAACGGGTCCTTGCCTGGACCTTTGGCGCTGCACCCTTGGAGCCCTGCTTGCTCTGGATCTTGGAGGCCTGGCCTCGTGCGGCGGCGGCGCCAGTCTTGGCCTTTTCAGCCTTCTTCTTCGACTCGGCGTCGGCCTTCTTCTCCTTGCCCTCCTTGATGGCGGTGGTGCGGGCAGCGGCGCGGGCCTCGGGGCGTTGGGAACGGCGCTCCTTGATCACGTCGAGGGACGCACCGACGATGGCACGCTGGTGCTTGACTGTGCGGCGGGTGCGCTTCTTGGCGATTTCCTGGAAGAAGGTGGTCAGCGTCAGATCAACGGTATGCAGGTGTGCCATGTCGCAACGTGCGATCTGATGTCATGGCTTCACTCCCCAATGCTCCCTGACCCTCTACCAGCGTACGGATGCTCTGTGCTGACTAACCTCGGAGATACCCTTCTTGTGCTGCCTTCGGTACAGCGTCGTCCAGGAGATCTTGCGGGGGTTCTTGCGCTGGAGGAAAAGGGACTCGGTCTTGCCGTTCTGGAACCGGAAGATCTTGCTGTCACCACGGATGTAGAGCTTGCCCTGTGTATGCCATCAGCGCCTGTGCCCTCAATTGCCCTGCTGCCCCCGCCCCCGCCATGCATCATGCATCGTCGTCTTGTAGCGCGCGTGCGGAATTTGGACTTATGGCGGAGGAGCGACGCAGGAATCGGCGGCGGGACGCACCTTGCCCGGGTAGATCTTCTGGCCGCTGAAGGAGTCGTCGTAGGTACGCATGTTGGCGGTGTTGGCGCGTTACCTGTGGTGTTAGTCGTGGGGTTGTCGTCGCGAGAGAGAATATTGAACGCTCTGTCAGGGTGCTCGCTACGTGTGTGCGGGCAATCTGTTAGTCCGGCCTTGGCAGCGCCACACCTGAGCCACACCACGACTCCTGACCACGAACGCGCCTGCCTCGTATCGCAACTCTTTTCCTTCTTCATCGTCGTTTCGATCGCTCATCTACTTTAGGCATCAAACTGTTGATTGACTCAACACTTCTCCTGGTCATCTGTAGCATCTCATATTAATTTCCATGCACGTGCTCACTCTCGATGCATTATCAGTCAACGATGATCTATACTAGCATGTCCAGTCTCCTTGTAGGTGCACTGCATCGGCTCAAAGGTTTTTGTGTCCGTATATAGCAGGTTTGATAGACGCAGTACACAGACACGATATGTCCAGGCCGTCAGCGCGAAGACCACCTCTCACAATGCCAGTAGATGTGAAGGTTCAAGGTAAAAGCCTTTCACATCAGAAACGTCTAGTGCAAGGAGAGTCTCAAGCCAGTCGTTCACTATCTGTAGACATCACTCATACAACTTAAGAGCTTAATCGCCTTCGAATTACTCCTCATCAGCTCCAACAACTCAACCACGAAAGCATCAGAAAAGCCAGCCTCTCCGGCAATCATGACTTCGTCTCGACTCACACTTCACACACAGAATTTGTCCAGCGTCATGTGGGAACTCGGACGTCGCACCGACCCTCGCATCCGCATGGTATACGACATGGTCCATGACGGACACTTCTATCCCTTGGATGAGACAAAGCTGGGCAAGTTGCGAAGGAACCCGAAGAAGGCCGCCAGTAGTACTGACGTGTACGCTGCGAGCGATTGGGACTCACCAATCCTCTCCGGTCTTGAAGTGTTGCCTTTCGACCAACTTCCAGCCCCTGAGCAGGTACAGAGCATCCTCACAAAAGAGACCGGAAGCAACAATTCGATCTGCTTTAGCCCATCTCGAGGCTCACCCGAGGCAGATACTGCTGCTATTGAGGAGCTGCTTGGGAATATTGGAAACGCGAATTTCCGTCATCCAGGCTCCATCATTCACATGGACTCGCCTACCTTCGATCAACTTCATACACGACCGCTGAATTGGGACTGTGACGGGGTTCTTGGTCGATCAAATTTCCAGATGATTGTGGCTCCCGCAAACGAAGTCTTCGAACTGGAGTACTATGAGTACCATCTACATTCTACGCTCTTGACGGGCACCAAGGTATGGGTTGCTTTCCCGCCTCTCCATGGTAATCTTTCTACACTCCGCAATGAGTATGACGAAATGCTGAAGCACAACACCACGAAAGTGTCGACAGACACATTGGCGAAGCTGAAGCACGGCATTGCTATTGTTCAACGGCCTGGTGAGACGCTGATGATTCCTCCGTTCTGGTCGGTTATGGTAATATCCATAACTACATCAACAGCTTGCTTATCTTACATAGCAACGGCACGTAGCTTCACAGAACGCCTGCAGAATGTAGAGCTCTATCTTGTACTCACTAGCCTCTGGCCGGCGAAAGAGAAAGAGCAAACCTTACTGATGATGTACACCGCAACCTTGGTCGACCACACCAGCCAGATCCTCAAAAACAACATGAAGGGGTTCAAATCTGACCAAATCATCACCAAGCTTTGCCAGGGTATGATGCACACGAAGGACCAGCCCAATGTTCGCGACGAGCTCGCAAAAGCTTACGCGCTCATCGATGACAAAACACACGTCCGTCGTGTTGAGCAAGAGCTTCAACAGGCTTGGTTAGACTTTGTTGAGGAGAAATGTAAGAAGAGGGCGGAGTGTCGTTTATGCCTGCTGCGAGTGAGTCAGATGACTGGTCAGGGCACTCCGAGCGAGCGCCTGAGACAGCACTTTGTCGACGTGCACTGGGCTCGTCCAACGTAGGGGATACGGAGTCCACTCCATGGTACAGTCCCAATACTCGCGGATGTAAGTCTTTGCAGGGTAGATTGTGTAGGGGCGACGTTGTAAGCGCCTATTTCTAGAAACTGACGAAACAGTTTGGTGGTCTTAAATGTGAGACCTTGCTCTTCTCTTTCTTGGGTTCGGCTACTCGTCGTTCATCGTTAGGTGGTATGATGCTGTACATGTTCTAGCGAGTATGGCTTTTCATCACTGAACAGAGGCACGCATGTGCACGAGACTACTTCCAAACCTATTATCAAATTCAATTCCCAATACAATGATATTCATAATCAAAGGCGATGATCCATTGTCACAATAGTCATTTATTCGTGAACGAATTAGAAGTAGAAGGAGGTAACAGCCTCCTTCTCGTCTGTCTTTCGCTTTGTGTGGCCAACGTAGACACTCACAAGCTGAACATATTAGAGGATATTTGACACGACAGAACCAGTCGACGGGATTGTGAGGTGCCCATGTGTTAAAAGATACTCTTATTCTCACACTCACCAAACATACTAGAAACACGTCAACTGGAAGACGAAAGGCGTTCCCGAGGAGAGTGGATAAAACAAGTGTTTCTGACAGTAATTCTGTCGCATGCTCTAGGCTTCAGTCCAAACTGTCCAATTTTATCAGTATTATATTCAGCGTTCAGGTTGCCAGTGTACTCAGGCGATATCTCCACCGGTGATCACTAAAGGTGACTCGCATCTAGCTGACACGAATTCTTGAACGCGTCCCATCGCTGAGCTAGCTAACATACCATTACCACATCTACAGTTAAATCAAGCGAAATCGATAGGTGCTCTTCTTCTCCTTTTTCAGTAACATTGCAACCTCTCCATTCATGTGTCCATGCACGTACCCTTCGCCGATGACCTGCCATGCCTCTGGCGTCCCCACCTGTCTCAAAACAAGCGGAATACTACACCCGAACAGGATGCAAACAGCATCGCCCTCTCGCGAGCGACAAGGGGCCATGCCGACAATACCCTCGTTAGTGACCATCAGTCTCCGCGGTTTCTTACGTACCGTATCATGAAATCGTGATAGAAATGTGTCGACTTTTTCGACATCGGAGTTACTCAATTGATGCATCGGGTGAGAAGGTGGACGGTGTAGCTGCGGCGGCGAGGACAGGACCGCTGTGTGAGTGCTCGCGACTAGGTCTTCTAAAGTCTGATGGCCAAACCGTAGCTTCCTATTGTATTCGAACCAAGTTGAGAAACTCCAATCAATCGGTTCGCCATTGATGCAAGCGTCGCAAAAAAAGAGAAAATCGGAAACGTAATGACGAGGGGCTTGGAAGCCAAGATATTTGTCCTGGCGGTCGAGGACGAGAGAACGAGCGATTGCTTCTAGCCAGTCCATGGGGAGCATGGTCGCTCTTGGTGCCGTGTGTTGGTCTTCACCAGATTGCAACATTTCATGGCCAGAAGCTGCGCAGATGAAACTCTGGCACCGCAGCTCGCGTGCATCCAATCCTCCAAGGCCATGCACGGTGTCCAATATGACGCCATCGCACCACATCTCTTGCAGACTGTCGGAAAAATGGACATTTGCTTTCCTCCTCAGCTTTGATCCGGGAGCGTCGTAATGTACTTTCCAGCGTGCAGATTTCAAGGGTCTAAAGTTCCCGATGTGGGAGCTCGCACTCTGGCTAGCCATCAGTGGCACAGGCGATGCAAAGTCATTCATACTTCGCCAGTCTGGCGCCCACCACGGAACAGCATGCTCCGGACCTGGGTCAACCGGACCTGAGTATCGACTGAAGAGGTGTACGAAGCAGATGATGTCAAGGTAACCGTACTCATCCCAGAACGAACGCACGAGTCTTGCAAACTGAAACTCGGCACTAGAAGTATAATCCGGTGCCCCTATGAGTGCGCGGTCTCGGGAGGTGATCAAGCCCAGAACAGAGTATATGCGATCTCTACTGTCAGTGGCAGAGTAGTTGCCTAGGTATGCCATGATAGCGACCAAACCGATGCCTTGCGATTTGGGTCTGGTATGCCATTGATGTATTCTCCTTCGATTGTAAGCACCGTCGAAGATTCTGCGCGGGACCAGTTCGTGTTCGAAGTCGTTGCTAATCGTACTGCATAAGAAGATGCTGTATATTGCACTCTTGAATTTACCACGACTGACCGACTTGGCTCCACAGTACAGTTTTGATTCTTTCGGGAGGACAAACTCTTGAAGCGTCCATACCCGAGTCCACCAAGGTCTAGAAAGGAGAGAGGTAACCGCTAGACAGTTGGCAGAGAACTCCGAGTTTGATAGGTGCTCGCGCATTGCGCGATCGTCGCCACTAAAACCGACTTGAAGGCTACTGAGGTGGTGGAGGAATTCGATAGCGCCCGTACAATCGCTACCGTCCTCTTGTTCCTCCCCCAACCATATGATAGCTCTTCTCGATCGTCTATAGATATCTGCCATGATGCGGACCTGTTGCTCGCGCTCATGCTGATCTGCAAGATTTATCGTGAGACTGTCTATCCACCACCAATCACTATCCTGAAAGTCGTCATGCTGCGTAACCATATGCATGAACGGCACAAGACTGCTCAGCACGGGCAAAGTACCTCCTGACTTTAGACGAATGGTTGTCCCGGAATATCCGTGCACACCCCATACGTAACTGGCGGTATAGAAATGTGGAGCGCTGGCGAGTTTCCATGTTTGTAGTTTGCCGACGAAAAGACCATTTTCGGGCTGCGAGAACCGGAGTAGCCGTATAGAAGTGTTGTCTATAGAATCTTTATAAGCTGAATTACCTGTTTCTGAGGTTGCATGGATGTTCATGATGTGAGGCGGAGTTTGGTGTTTGCGAGCGAGATTTGGCGGACTTTGATCAACCACTAGCTAGGATTGAGTTAGATAAGGCGCAAGGTCGACCGAGCATGTTCACTTCGACGTCGCATAGAGAATGATCCTAATCATAAAAGGTTGACAGTTTAGCATCAATTATGGCATGTATCAAATATCAAAAAAGCGGGAACAAGAAAATTCGCAAGACATGCTTGCTACTACATAACCTCAAACCCCCTAACCTAAGCGATCACGTATATGCGCGCTCACTACTGACAATTGTCGGACCGTCGCTATGCATAGACTTCTCGTTATTGTCTGGTCTTCTGAACTCTCGAGGTTTGCCGCCTCCTCGTCCACCTCCCCCGCCTCCTCGTCCTCTCCCTCGTCCTTGGTTTGTCGGTCGGTTGTTGTTGTTATTGTTGTCGCTGGGTTTCCCTCGACCGATGGAGAATTGGATGTGAATCAACGGTTTCTCCACCCACTCAACATCTTTGATGCCCAAGTTGTTCTTGTCCCAATCGCTTAGCCTCCAAGCCTGGTACAAGCCCATCAGTCGTTGCTTGTCAAACTCCTCTCTACCCGAGCCGACGTTTCGTGTCAACTTCAGTCCTCGTAATTCAGGAACCCATGCTTTGATGTATTCCCCGTGTGGATCGTAGTCAAAGGCCTGTTTGACTGGATTGAATGTACGACCCTGTCTGGGATCGTTGCCCACACCAGCCACGTACATCCAGTTACCCCAGTTGCTGGCTACATCGTAGTCGGTAAGCATGAATTCGTACCATTCAGCTCCAATACGCCAGTCGATGTCAAGATGCGATGTCAGGAAGGAGGCGACATTCTGCCTGGCTCGGTTCGAGGTAAATCCAGTGAGGAACAATTCTCTGTTCGAAGCATCAATGAGACCAACTCCAGTACGGCCCGATCGCCATCGTGTGAAGGTTTCGAGCGTCTTCTTGGGATCATCTCCCGTCCCGCTGGACTTGTCGATGGACCTCCACTTCTTCTTTGGTAGCGTGGTTTGATGGCCTTTGTCCTTAGTGCTCGCACTCATCTCGTCTTGAATGCCGTATTGGGCAAACATCTTCCAGCCAAACTTCCCCATACACAGCCGCATGTAGTCCCTCCACAAGAGTTCAAATCTCACAGCGGCTGTGCCTGGGTTCTCCCCTTTCCCGTAACCTTCCACCCCACCTCCTACGCCTTTGCCTTCCTCGAAATCCATCATAGCCCAATGTATCTGTCGTGCGGTGAGGTGACCTTGCGCTAGAAATGCTGAGAGCTTGGTGCTGTAGTCAAGACCAAGCATGCCATTTCGTGTAGCCTTATATGTGCTCATTGCTCCTCTGGAAATTAGGTGAGAAACACGATCCTGGGCTGACGTTTCTCCTCCCTCGAATGGATGTGATGTTCCAACGTCTGTGGGCCATTTGGGTGGAACGGAGAGGGTAAATGTTGGATCTTTGTCGAGGGGGAACATAAGTGCTTTCTTCAAACCAAGCAACGTCGAAGGAATTTGAAATGGTGATTTGGGTGGTGGTATGTCATGTGGCAGAGGCAGGAGCTTGGTTGGTGTAGGCAAAATCTTTCGTGGCTGGTCGCGAAGTGGTTCAAGAGATTTGCGGTATGAAGTGTAGATATTAGGGAGATCAGAAACGTGTTTGAATGGCTGATCACGACTGCGCACAGTTAGCCAAAACCGCTCCTAATAAGTATGCAATGACGGGTGTGCGGGCTCGACGTACTCATCAATGTAATACTTCTCATCGTTCCACAACTTGAAATCGGCTCCGTGTTGCTTTGCTAGCTTCTTCACAGCCTTTTCATCAGCCTTTTCCTCGCAACCCTCGTCATCGGTCATCCAAACTCCTGCGATGTCTGTTTTCCTGCCGTTTCCACCACTGCTTATCGAGTACCATTCGAGGATGTCCTTGACAACGTCTTCAATCGATCCAGCTCTTATCTCTAATCCGGATCCACACTGTAGTCCTTCGAGCTTATTTTTCAAATCCCACACGCCCTCAGCAATAAATTTCAGGCGATGAGGTCCCGTGCGCCATACTCCTGCAATTTGACTTCGCGCCTGTGGATACGGGGATTGATCTGGCGAAGATACGAAGCCTGAAACTTCGATTTGGTTTGCTGGAAACACGTATACCGGTAACAAATGTGTGAACGCCGTGCTACTGGAATCTGATATAGGGGAATCGTCTCTTTGACGTGCGTTTGTGGTTTGTGGAGATGTGGAAGTTCGTCTTTGATTGATTTGCTGGGATACTGAATGGAAAATGGGATTGTCGGATAGGCGAACGTCGCGGCGAAGGATGTAGAGTAAAATACGTGGGCGTTCTTTGGTCATGACGGGATGCTTTTCGATGGAAGTAGAGTATTGGCGCAGCGAGCAGGAAGAACAAAGAGATATATTGCAGAGATTGCACAGAGGCCAGGAGCTACTGCGTCGTAACATCAAAGAGAAGCGATTCATGTAGGTCATTGCTCTAAGATGGTGGGTGCATGGCGGTGGCACCGACAAAAGAGAAGCTTGAAGATGCGGCACGTCATTACCCTACGGCGATACCGAAGGTAGATGAGCTGTTCCACCAAACTTTTAGGGCATGAGGCCGCTACGCACTAGAAGAGGCCTGGAGCCAGGCGTGTCATTTACCAATACATCGGATCGCCTCCGCACTGTCCAGCGAGTGCAGATGCGGTTGCGAGGGACTGAGGAGATCCCTTTGAGGATTGGTGATGCCCCCAGCAGCATTTTGCACCAGGGTATGACGTGGGGCGCGTGCTGTCATCAACGTGCCATTGGCCACTGACAGCTGCAGGGACGCAGGTGAGAACGAGTTGGGGCGGGCCGAGAAACTGGCGCGCAGTTTTGTCGCCGCGATTATGGTGCTGTCATGGAAGAACGGTGAGATCGAGAGCGGCGATATCTCGATGAACTATGCCTAGATCAGCTTAACGCTTTGACGATCCAGACTACTGGGCGCCGAGTAGATGAGAGCAGGGGCCGGTAATCGAAATCTCGTGCCGGAGCATGATCTTGATGTTAATGACTGGGAACAACCATCGCCTCTAGTCTAGTGGCCTTGCTTACTCTCCGTACATCCACGAATCATATCGCCAGCGCCAGAGAGCTCCGTAACAGCCTTGTACAATGATCGAGAATCAATAGCGGTATTCCGTACAAGGCGTTGCAACTCTGATCTGGAGGCTCATCTCAGCAGTAGCGTCTCGCGCGAGGGGTACCACACACAACGAGGATTACGTGGACAGACATGTTACCATGGTTCTACACACCGTTCGGTTTCCTTGCCTAAGAGTGTTTTCGGCAACGGGCCAATGGCGGACAATTGGGACGATTCATGGGCCTGTGCTGAATTTGAACTGTTACCAAACTTAAAACACCTGATCATCAGAATTGTACAAGTCATGACTGCAAATCTAAATTCAGTATCGCAGTGAGGTTTATAGCCGGTATCATCTCTAAGCAGAAGGATATGGCTCAAGACAGTGATGTGTCAGTGGGGCAACTACAACATGGACATGCTCTATTAATAGCAATATGCTGCTTCGTTGTAGTCTCCTGCTGATGAGTAGCCAATGTAACTCTCTATGTTATTTCAAGTCACTAGACAGAACTACCGTATATTCGTGGTACATCGTGTTGTCGATCAGCAAGTACTACAAAAACGTCTAGCTCGTAAGACAATCCTATCGCACTTTTTCTCCAACATCGAAACAGCACATCATTCCCCCATCAGCATACAGTTCGATGCACACCCTCACTCATAGGTCGCTTAGCCTTGTGCTTGTGCTGCGATGTCAATCCTTGTGATCCGTGCTTCTTCTCGACGCTAGACGAGGAAGGCTGCCACGCTGCAAGATCAACTGCATCCGTGTTCATCAGGGTTTCTGTGATGGCGCAAATGTCGGTGACTAGTCGATCAATCATGTCCAAAGACAAGCTCTCGCGTACGACCACTCGAAGAATCTCAGTCTTCTCCTCGTTGGGCGGTAGCGGATAATCTACACGTGTCAGCTTATTGCAACTAACCGTACTTTTTGGAACTTACTGGGGATAATGTATTGCTTGGCTCGCAGGAGATTGCTGACAGACTCCTGCTTCACATGGGGATACTGCTTGTGGAATTCGTCTGTGAGGGTGAATGCTACAACAGGTAGACCGGCATTGTAGTCGGCACTGTTCTCTCCCTCTAGGTACGGCTTTTGTCCTTCCACAAACTTGAAGTCACCCTTCTTCCTGTGGATGTCGCTGACCTAAGCAAGTATTAGTGAGGCTTAACAAGAAGTGCTTAGATTCACGTACACAGCGGTACCAACCCGTGTGCTCCAAAGCTCTGCTCAACAACCTCGCGTTGGCGAGCATGTTTTCCATGATGCTGCGATATCCGCTGAATCCGAGATGGATCAAATTGTCTGTGATGGGTTAGTTCCATACACGCCTTTGATAAAAGCTAGTGACGTACAATACTGTGCAAGAATCTGCGAGCCTGGACGAGAGAAGTTGAGAGTGTACGACTCTTCTGTTCCACCCAAGTAGTGCAGCTCGAAGATCAAGTGCTTGGGGAGGTAGCTCTCGTCTCGCCAGATGATCCAACCCACACCAGCGTACACCAAACCAAATTTGTGGCCAGACACGTTGATCGACTTGACTCGAGGTAGTTCGAAATTCCACTTCTTGCCAGCCTTGGCGTGAGTGAATGGAGCAATGAAGGCTCCCGATGCACCGTCAACATGGATCGGGATGTCGTTTCCGGTTTCCTTCTCGAAGGCGTCTAAGATATCGGAGATTTCCTCCACGGGTTCGTCTATACGTATTGGTAAGCAAAACGAACCAAGCTAGAGGAGTTTGAGGAACACAGTGTGCTTACAGTGACCGGTGTAGGTTGAGCCCAGAATGACGAAGATGCCAATGGTGTTTTCGTCAATGTTTTTCTTCACCAACTCAGGATCCAGCCGATAGGACGAGTCTTCTGTTACAGGCAAAATGCGAGCCTCGACTTCGAAGTAGCGAGCAAACTGAATGGTCAGTTAACAATCGAGGACCGGATGAAAGGAGGCGCCTCACCTTCTCAAGAGCAACTTGAGCATTAGCTCCCATGACGATGTTGGGCTTGGATGTGTCCTTGCCCTCAGCCATACGCTTCTCTTGCCAGCGTCTCTTCATAGCTAATCCACCCAAGTGGATGGCCTCGCTGGAGCCAGTCGTGGCTGATCCAATGGCTTTCTCACCCTTCTGCACACCCCACAAATGGGCCAGAATTGACACGCACCTCATGTGTATGTCCATCATAGCGGGGTACTCATCTGCATCGCTCATGTTCTTCGACAAGTTTTCAATCATGAGCTGCTCGGCCTCCTTCTCCATGTACGTTCCAACAAAGGAAGCCAGGTTCAAGTTTGGCCGCCCGTCCAGATCAAGCTCATCTTTGATAAGTTGATGAACCACATCTGCCGGTGCGCCGTCACTGGGGATCTTGAACTTGGAAAGCTCAGCACTGGCGGCATACCGACTGGAGTAGGGGGTGGAGTGGGAAATAGCGCGATTGGCGTGGGCGTGACCTCCTGCCTTGTGAACTGGGTGATCTTGAAGAGTTTTGAGCAACTCCTCAGGGTCGATGTGTCGTGAAAGAGACATTGTGTAGAAAGTATGATAGTAGACTGAATTACAGAGTTCGAGAAGTGTAGCAAACGTGTAGAGTGTGGAGAGGAGGTATTATTTGCGGTATATAAGGACACAGTGACGGCATGATTAATACCATGCACTTAAGGTACCAATACGTCTCCACAGCATCACGCAGGATGCCAACGCTGAAAAAAGCTTGACAAATGCTTAATTTTTGGTTATTGTGGATCCAAGGGATCATTTACAGTGGATGGACTGACGAACAAGTTGTCCTGAGCAAGTAACTGCTGCATTGTGTCCAATGCCAACCAAGTCCCAGACTACGTGTACTGTACTAACATCGTCCGCGAATTTTGATTGGATGATGAAGACAGGACGAGACGCAGAGTGACATGCGCATGACGGAGGACTTATGTTTGAGAGATGCGGGGAGGATGTGACTAATCAGGTTATCTCACGTGATACCTGATCTATCATGATCCTGCGGTGAAAGGTCATGATCGACGTAACAACTCGTTGCGTAGAAGTTTGCGACCCTCTTAAACATACATCTTGTAGGTACAAAGCAGGTGTTGCAAGACTTTCCTTTGTTCGCGACGATTCGGGGTTATAGTATGATGCCGAGAAATTTCGTGCGTCATTTCCCCTCCGTCTGACACGCCTCGACACGCGTCGCCACAGTAGTTGCGCGGCTTCGATACTCGCGGCAGCGACCGCGTGTCGCGATGTGTGCCTATTTCCTTGGAGTTCATAGGTGTTGGGATACTGTTACTGGTTGACATTGGCGCCTCTTTTTTGATCGACAGGTCTTGTAGTTGCTATCTTCTGTTGCCTGGTGAGTATTCACAAGCAGCGGTACATAACCGAAACATCCGTTCCCGACCATCGCCACGCAGTGGTGTTGTAATCGATTCGTCTTGCGTCTTAGTCGCTAAGGATTGCTTATTACATATACTCCTTCCTTGTCCTCTCTTGCATTCTCCACTACTTTTCACTATCAAACATCATGCGGTTCGCTCGTGTCGTACCGTTCATTCCTTTGGCCTCGGCCTTTGTCATCACTGAAGCTGAGGTCTTTGAGAAGATCGACAAGCTTGATAGGCCTGGAAGGCAAGTCGTCGACAATGCACGACATGTACTCGACAATGCCCAGAATGTTCTCGATGACGCCTTTAGCAAGGTGAAGCATGGCGCGTCGGATGCGTACAGCAAGATACACGCTGCTGGTTGCGATGTGGAGTCTTGGCTTGAAGGCTCCTTCGACAACTTTGAGGACGAGCACGACCACCCGCATCCTCCTCACCATGGACCACCTCATGATGGACCACCCCATGACGGACCCCCTCCTCCTCATCATGGACCTCCTCCTCCTCATCATGGACCTCCTCCACCTCACCATGGGCCTCCTCCCCCTCATCACGGTCCACCCCATCACGGCAAACCCCATCATGGAAAGCCCAACATGACCGTCTACGAGCTTATCAGCAAGAGCAAGTACACCACCAAGCTTGCTAAGCTTATCGACAAGTACGACGACCTCGTCGAAACCCTCAACAGCACCAAGGCAAACTACACTATCTTCGCGCCTACAGATGAGGCTTTCGAGAAGATTCCCGACCACGGCAAGCACCCCTCGAAGGAGCAGTTGAAGGACATTCTCCTGTACCATGTCAGCGATGACTTTTACCCCGCCGGTCGTGTCCTTCACTCATACACCATCCCAACTCTATATGAGCCAGAGCAGCTTGGTCACAAGCAGCGCCTCACTGTCCGAGTTACGCTCAAGGGCCCTGCCATCAACTTCTACGCTAAGCTTGTTGCCGTCGACATCTTCGGCACAAACGGCGTCGTCCACGGCATCGACTCCATCCTCGTGCCTCCTCCCAAGGTCGCCGCCATTATCGATTTGCTCCCCGGCGAGTTCAGCACACTCGAGTTGGCCCTCGGCAAGACGGGTCTCTTTGACGCAGTCAACAACACCAAGAACTACCCCCACGAGGGAGGTACTCTATTCGCCCCGTCGAACTTCGCCTTCAAGAAGCTAGGCGTCAAGGCCAATGCCTTCCTGTTCAGCAAGTACGGCGAGAAGTACCTCAAGGCGCTCCTCGAGTACCACATTGTCGTCAACCAAACGCTCTACACTGACGCTTTCTTCGACGCCACCAGCAAGGATAGCGCGGACGTTGCTGACCGCCCGCCGTACTACCACTTTGACTTGCCCACGGTGCTCGAGGGCAAGTACCTCGCCATCGATGTCACCAGGTACGGACCGTTTGTGTCGATCCGCATCAATGGCTTCTCGCGCGTCACTGTCCATGATGGCGTTGCCAGCGATGGTGTCATCCAGGTCGTGTCTGATGTGTTGATCCCGCCTAGGAACGCTGCGGACGGTGCACAGGTCTTCTGGGAAGGTGAGGAGTTGACTGTTGAGGACCTCAAGGAGCGTCTCCAACCTTTCGTCGAGAAGGAGACAATTGAGTTGTAGGTTCTTCTTTCCAACGGAGAATACCCAAGGTGGAAGATATAAAGGTAGCATGACTCACCGTCAGTGTGAAGGCGGAGAATGTATCGAAGTGCAGTGATTATTTCACGATCTTTACGATGAACTTGTATCTTTATTCCCTCTTAGTGTAGCGTTAATATTGTTTGATCCAATGCGATTTGTCTATCTAGTTTCAGTACACGGTCATGTCTTCATTAATGATGCTAAATATTTACACGCTCAGTCTGGTTCTCATTACGATCAAGCATTGACCTTATTACCCCCTCTCTCCACCCACATACGATGACTATCACGGCCTCGAGTGCCTAGCAAGATAACCAACGTATCGAGGCTGAGACGACGTGGTCGGGACAGGGATAAACGACTGATAAGGCTCCGTACCTGTAAACGGTTCATACAATCTTGTTTGGTGTTTCAACCCCCAGTTCGGATCTTGCCGTCTTGCCTCTTCGAGTTCCGCCTGTCTTGCAGCTTCAATCTCCTGTTGTCTCGCCGCTTCAAGCTCTTGTTGTCTTGCGTCTTCAAGTGCTTGTAGTCTGGCTGCTTCGAGCTTCCGTTGCTCCGCTGCTTCGATGTCCCGCAGTCTTGCGGCCTCGAGTTCGCGCTGCACGGCTGCTTCGATCCCTTGCTGCTCCTCTTCCTCTTCCTGGACAGTGGGTACTTTAGCGTTGTTGCTCAGAGCACTGTCCTTGCGTCCATGCTTTGATTGCTGGGTCAACGCGCCCAGTGCACGTGCACAGTAGACTGAGTCGTATGCTTTGCGTGATTCAGGGTCCAGCAGGGTGTCGAAGGCCTTCTTGGTTGCACAAAATCGCACTGCGTCGGTTTCGAAGTACAGCTTTCGAACCTTGCGGAAGGCTTTTTGAATATCGGCTGGTGTGGCCTCGATTGTTATGTCTAGAGCAGCGTAGTGGTCGACGAATTCCTGGGACTCGATGTTGCTTGGTGACAGTGACCGCAGTGATTCGAGTGATTTTGTGGGCGAGCAAACGGAGTGCCTGTTCGAGAGGACGACAGACGCTTCGGAGACGTATATCGAGGACGTCTTGCGGTGAGGTGTGGAGGTCATGATTGGTTTTGTTCGTTGGATAACTTCCGAGCCGTGTCGTTCGTGTTCAAAGCGGGTTCTTGGTTGGTATGGGCTGGTGTTGAAATTGTACATCAGAGGATCTGGGAGGGCAGAATAGGAGAGCATTATGAATGGCGTGGGAGGCTTGTTCACTGGCAGATACAAAGCCGTTTCACGAAGAAAGACTGTATTGCGACGAAAGATTAGGTTGTGAAGAAATGTTGCACTGTGAAGAAAGACGGTGTTGTGGGAGAACAAGAGTGTTGTGTTGATAGAGCAGAGATGCCAGGATGCGGTAGGGTGGTCATGGTTCGGCTGCGGGTTGTCAGGAGCAGCTCAGCTGCAGGAGCCAGGGGGGGGCCGCCAAAGCGAACATTGTTTGGTTGCCTTGTGATATACGGAGGGGTTGCGGCGCTGATAACTGAAACGCAAGGCTGCTGTTGTTTGGTGTTGCATCCTGGCGCTCGCCCCGGAGATTATCTGGTTGGCCCTCGGGTTTGGTGAGTCGTCGTGGCGTGCCTTCGTGCATGCATGGCGCTAACCCCCGCGCAGAAGCTGGTCGCGCTAGACATTTTCAGACAGCTACAGTGCAGTTGCAGTCGTTGGCTGCCATTGCGCCGCACACGCCCTCCCCACAGTAGCCATGGCCGACAGTTCGAGGAAGAGGAAGCAGACCTCGGACGCCAATCCGCACTCAAAACGCCCCCGCTTCCCTCACCGACCACAGCATCACATCCCCGCCCAGCCAACCAAGACGGCGTACCCCAATGGCGAGATCAACGTCAAGAACTTCCTCGCGTCGCACGAGAATGAGATCAAGTCGCTGGAAGGCGCGATGAAGGCCGCGAAGAAGGGACTGGCGAGACGGGCGTTCCAGGACGTGCCGCGGGAACTGCGCAGGAGGACGGCGAGTCACAATCCGCAGCGCGTGCCCAAGAGACTTCGCGTCCGGGCTAGGCAGGAGGCCAAAGACGACAACACTCCGATAAGCAGGGGGACGAGTGGGAGTGGTGTCGGCAAGGGCAAGAAGAAGTTTCTGAGGAACGAGGGCAGAGAGAAGAGCAGGCTGGTTTCGGAGGGGAGGGCGAAGAGGAGGACGGAGAAGGGCAGTGGGGAAGAGAGCCCTGGAGAAACTGGAAAACACGCCGCGAAACCCACTACTCGACCAAAACCCAAGCCCAGATTTCCAGTACTGGCCACGCCTGCCACGCCTGCGTCTCGATTTCGCAGGCGACAACGAGACAAGACATGGCTACCGACACACATATGGCATACAAAGCGCTCACGCATGACGGATCCAAAAGAACCCCTCTGGCGGTTTGCGATCCCGTTAGCGCCTGCCGTAAAATCGTACCGTCTTACACATCGCGCGGCATCACAGCGAGGAGCCGTCGCCTGGGATATGAGTTACATGTCCACGATTAGCCTCGAAGGCACCGAAGCCAGCATATTAGGACTATTGAAAGGCTTGCATTTTGCTGCCGACGAGGCAGAAGACCCATGGCAGGTCAGAGGAAAAGGCAAGAAGTGGAGACATGGTACCAGGGTTTGGGAAGGCTGGATATATGAAAGAGAAGCGAAACCCCTAAAGAAGGTCGCCCATGTTGCTGTCATCTGGTGCGTACCTGACGCAGACAACTCTAAGAGGAAGGCTTTCATTCGGGTGCATCCCGGCGCTTTCCTCCAACTCTGGAACGAGGTCGTCAGGGTTGCGAAAATGCAGAGGCCTGCTGTGACTGTGCAAGACCTCCGTTTCGAAATTGGATCCATTGAGCTTGTTGGACCTGCAGCAGCAGAAACCCTTTGCTCTATACTCTCTCCTACCACCTCTGCCAATGCAGCTCCTGACGCGCCCCATTCGCTATGGTCCGCGCTTGCCTCTGTCACAGATGTCGGTTCATTGCCAGCTGGTGCCTTGTTAGCCTTCAACATCACAGACCCACGTCTCCGTGATCCGCCAGCATGTACTCAGATACGGCAAGACGAGCAATCACTCCAGTCTCTGACCGAGACCTTGGCACATTGGCCGATTGACAACACGCAAGACTCGTCTTTGATATTCGACCGCAACGCTCGCCTACTCGCTGCACGTCTCATGCCCTCTCAGAAATCCATCAACCATCGAAAAGGTGCAGAAAGCCTGGGCGGATATCCAGAAGCTAGAGCAACCGACCCGCAGATCCCAATGCTCTTGTACGTTTCACGGGAGAGCAGGTCGTGGACAGTCATGCTTCCTTGGAAATGCGTACTACCCGTATGGCGAGGCATCATGCGCTACCCAGTGTCGACCGGCGGGAATCCAAGATTTGGCGGTTTGAAGGAAAGACGTCAGGTCGACTTCGAGCGATCAGTACCTAGCTTCCCGTATGATCACCCCGGTACGGACGCAGGTTGGACATGGGAGCTGCGAGAGCGTGAGGCGAGGAAGCATGAGTGGACCAAGCGTCCCAAAGGGAAGAGGATCGAGTGGTCTACTATCGACCTTGGTGGGGGTAGAAAGGGCGAAGTTGGTGATCCCTGGGACTGTGACTGGGTAAAACTACTACCGTCGCAAATCAACGCTCCCACATCAGGAAAAGGGTCCACAGAGTCGCACTCTGCATTTCGGCAGCTTTCGTCTCACCAAGTGTCTGCCTTTATTGCAGGGACTTCTCCTCCCTCGAACCACCTCGAATCCCCACATCTTTTCACGGTCAAGATCACAATGGCACAGCGTGGCACAACTGCAGACTGCGCTCGTGTGTACCGGCTCCCAACGAATAATGTAGAGCTACGAAGTAAGTGGCTGTCCCTCATGTCAGGACCAAGGCCCTCGTCGAAGGCAAAAGGAGGTTTGAAAAAGCAGAACCACGTCACTAGCAATGCACCGGAGCATGTACAGCGCAGGGAGCTCGCAGCCCAACTCTTGCAGCCAACAAAAGCTGGGGATGACGACTACCCTGTAGTCCCCGACGAAGAGGATCTAATTGGTTTCATTACCACGGGAAACTACAACCTGGCTGAGGGGATGTCGACTGCTGTAGCAAACCTCGCTCTACACCGAGTGATTGGTGGTGAGGAGGGACACGGCGTGCAGAAGGAGAGGCATATCTGCATTGTGCGAGAAGCTGGTCGAAACATAGGGAGACTAGCGACTTGGGAGGTCGTGTGACAGGCTTCGTGCTTGGTTGTGCCCAAGTTCAAGTAGCTACAATATCAAACCATCATCTACCTGCAAAACCACTATGATTTACAAACAAAGTGCATTTCGAACTCCCTCCAACGACTGCTCGGCATGTGGGGTGCATTAGTCCTGTCACGACTTTTGTGCTAGCAGGGTCTACCCGGCTCCCGCGAAATGAAGCTAACGTCTCAGAAGTACCATCCGCGTATCCTCAACAGGAGCGCCTTCAATTCACCGTCGAGACTCGGCAACATGTCGGAGGACCAGCCAGCAGGCGAGCAGGGCGAAGGCCTCGAGTCTGCTGTCGACTTCTCGCCAGAGGCGCTGGAAGAACTGGTAAGGCTACTCACGCCTCGCGCGAGCTCGAGGAGCCATTGCTAAGCTCACATGCGACCTACAGACCAAGGACGTCCTCGACAACCTGCTCACCAACATCGTCGCCACCACGGTGCTGGCATGCCACCGCTCCGAGAAGCTGCTGCGCATGCAGTCGGCCGCCACCCAGGCTGAGTCCATTGCCCTCTCCCACCTCGAGCCGCTGTCGCAGAAGCAGGCCTCGGCCAGCCAGCCGTCGATTCCCGCCGCCGACACGCCCGCCGCCAAGTACGAGAACGGGCGCGTGTTCCTCAAGGGCAACCCGCTCAAGACGACGCCCGAGATCATATGTCCGCACTGCAAGCTGCCGCGCCTCATGTACCCCATCACGGGAAAGGGGATGCAGAACCCAGACCTGACCAAGGAGTACTGCATGTTGTATCCGTGGGTGCAGCGATCCGGCCATGACGTCTACGGCAACCCGTTCCCGACCGACATGGCGAAGAGCAAGAAGGAGCGCGAGCTCATCAAGCAGCAGCAGAAGAACGCCGAGAAGGAGAGCGTGGGCACGCCAGGCTCACAGGACACAGACATGGCGGGTGGCGAGAAGGAGATCAAGCTCAACACGGGCGGGAAACCAGCGTCCTACATCCCCTGGCACACATGTCCAAACTGCAAGCGCAGTCTGCTCATCACGCGCTTCGCCCAGCACCTCGAAAAGTGTCTGGGCATCAGCGGCCGCCAGAGCTCGCGCAACGCAATGGCCAAACTCGTCGGCCACAACGGCACCGGCTCAGGCCTTGGCAACACACCACTCGGAAGTCGCATGGGCACGCCAGCCCCCAACTCTCAAGACACAACAATCTTCAAATCGAAGTCCAAGGGCATCAGCCCCATCAAGAAGTTCAGCAGCCAAAACGACGACGACGACGATCTCGGCGACGACACCCCCGAACGCAGGCGAAAGAAGCGATCCTCGTACATCAAGAAGGCGGATCGCGACAAAACGACGCTGAAGGTTAAGCTCAAGACGGGCAGACCAGACCTCGACAGGAAAGTTAGCGAGTCGAGCGAGCGGAGCGAGGGCAAGAGAGACCGCGAAGACGACGGCGAGGACCGCCCCATAAAGAAGAAGATCAAGCTCAACATGGGCAAGGCCGACAGGCGCATGGCGAGCGAGAGCGTGGAGCCTGGGGAGTAGGAGAACGTCGATCGATTGAGTGGAGTGGGTGTGGGTGGGGGGTAGAACTTGTACAATGATCACGGCATGGGAGGCGTTTTTGGCTTTCTAACGCATGGGACGGATAAATACCACAACGGATAGGGCGGGCTTAGGGCGTTCTTTTCTTTTCTTTTCTTTCGGGCTGCTTTTCTTACAATTGCTGGAGAGTGGGTGGGTTGGGGATTCGGAACAGTGTGTGTAATTTGTTACGCATCATGATGCGGTTGAGCATGTAGATGCAACATGCATGTGGTGTTGCGTGAGAGTGACGGTATGAGTAATGTCATGGCTTTTGATACGATTTTCACATGTTCTGTCGTTACATGGCCCTGTTCACATGGGCGCTTAGGGCATATCCGCAGACGAGAACTCACGCGCGCGCAAAATTTTGAAATTTTTGAGCCTTAATAGGTTTCTTAGCTACAACTATTGTCATAAAAGCCTCGGCTCGTTGGTGTAGTTGGTTATCACGTCAGTCTAACACCTTGTTAGTTCACTGAAGGTCCTGAGTTCAAGCCTCAGACAAGTCACAATTTTTTTGCTGGCTTCGCCGCCTTGTCATATCAGTGGAAAGGTAAAGGCTTGTACGTTTTTTTGGACTGTTGTTGTGTGGTGGTTGTTGGGGCTGTTGTCGCTTTGACTGTTGACTGGATGGGTTGGATCGCTGGATCGATGGATTGGAGTATGGGATAAGGATCTTGGGATGGGGAATGCGGTGGTAAAATACTTGTCTCTTTAGCCTGTGCTGGTGTGATGTGTTCTTCTTGTTGTACTACGGCTTGCGTGATGTAGAGTTGGATGTAGAGTTGGATGTATGCCAGTTACCTTTTTTATGTGGTGTTACTCTCGAGTCTTCTCACCTGCCATGCCTCTGTAGGCGTTACTCCTATCTGCTGTATTGCCTGATAGACCTCGTTGTAACTACTCTGAAAGCATGTTCGGACATTTTCACGTATCAGGAGAGTTGGGAAAGTTGGGAGAGTTGGGAGAGTTGGGAGAACCTTCGAAGATTTGAATGGGAAAATACCGTTGAACTTGTAGCCGCACTGAAAGACATTACTATGTTTATACTTTCTACTCTTTCCATACAGCCTTTACTCGCTGCCACTGTAGTTCTAGCACAGCCTTCTGGTACTCGTGAAGACAGAGTGTATGTCTTGGACGAGCGTGTCGACTGCAATATTGGCAGTGGTGTAGTGTCGGTTCTGAGGCGAACTTGTTCTTTAGCAAGTTCTGCGGCGACTACATACCTGGGGATATCACGCACGCGGGTCTTGATAACAGTTATAACGCAGTCCGCAACTAGGCTCTCAAGACTCGCTTCATGGTCAGCGCCTGGGTTAACTTCATCGTATCCTCAAACGCGGCTCTTACTGTGACACGCTCTTCATACTACAATAGACGACGGGACCTGCTTCAGCTGGAAAGCCATCACTTCGAGGAATGCGATCCTGAACCAAATGCGTTCAATGGCACTGCGGACATTGAGAACCGCAACATCAATATAGTTTCTCTTCTCGCCTTCGCTGCAGCTCTAGTTTCGTCTGGTTGTAACCGTTTCGGTGTTTTGCTAGGACTACGGTCACGGCTGTGATAACTGCCTTTGCAAAGGAGATTTTGTGAGTTTGAGTATCCAGTCGAGGAAGCGTCGAATTCAATGGGTCTGCAAAGACATTGTGGCTTGATTGCTATATGGTCACAGTGCAGCACTCACACTACTCCTATGAGGTTTTCCATCTTCTGAGGCTTTTGCAAGTGCGATAAAATTGACTATTACAATCCCTATAATTACGCAGTTGATTAACTATGTTCAGCAACGCTGAACATCTCGTAGCCAATTATACGTTCGGAGTGTCATTGTATCTGCTTGTAGTCGTTCTACGATGCCTGCAAATCGAAAGAGAATTGGAGCTGAGTTGAAGTAGGTTGAAGTAGGCTCGTAGTTCACTCATCGTATATGTTCACGACTTGCTGTCCAAAGAGTAAAAAGAGAAATACATCCAGCTCTTGCCCTGTTGCGACCCTGACAAGAAAGACCTCTACGTCACTCTATGATATATTTGAGTAAGCCTCTAGATTCGACGTTTCTGGTGCTGTGCGGCTTGACCGATCTGTGGTAGACATTGGAGGGGGGAAGAACTCATGGATCAAGACTTGCGTGGCCAGAGTACTGATAACCTCCCAAACCAGGGGTTACGAATGCCATTACAGTCCACGTTGTTGATAGAGCTTGAAGTGCCAACTTACCGGCGCACATCGATAGACAGATTAAGGATTTCACAATCAATATCAGAAATGTTCGTCAAGTTGCACAACTATCATTTTCAAATATACAACATGCTGGGATTGTATGGACTTATATGTCACCTGAGTTCAAGTGGATTGGTGGGTTGTCGGTCGCGGCCCGGCCAAGATTCACAGATTACCGAATACATCTGTTGAGATGCAATCCGATGAACCTATCCTTAATGCACAGTATATTAGAATTGAGGGGAAGGTGCTGAAAGTGGCCTGATTGAATGCTACCCTGGCACCTGTCATCCCACGCATACGTCGCTGCGTGCATGACTTGGTAAATTACCCCCTGGCCACTACACGTCAGTCCCTGATATATTAGCACAACGGCCCGTCGTTGCACATACTGACTAGCAACGCGGTGCATCCACCATCTTCATAGGCGACAAGAATTCCAAGCAATCACACCGTTTCGAATGTCGTTCTCTCATGCTCCTGATTCGGTGCGACTATGCCCACCCACACGTCCGTCTGATTCCACCCACACTCCACATCGCGCAACACTACTGTACCTTCCCTGTTAAAGTCCTCGCTTAGAAGATTACTTGCAACCAATATTACATTAAGTTGTATTATTTCTGTCGCTACGTCTCACCACAACAGAGGCAGAAATCCTGGTTTTTCTTATCAAATATCAACTTCTTACATAAAAAGATAGTAGTCTACCGCTTAAAAAAAATTATTTTAATGGATTTCAGCTAGATACAAAGGTACGTGACGCAAAGCTGTGCCAAGAGTACAAGATTACTTAGAAACTTTCAATAAAAACACGCCAAGAAGAAATCTTACGTAGCGGGAACTAGGGACTTAGCGCTGCAGTAGTGTTGCGCGATGTGGGGTGTGGGTGGAATCAGTCAAATGTGTGGGTGGGCATAGTCGCACCGTCCTGATTGAACGCTCTTACTCGTTAGCCGTGACTTGACAGTCTAGGCGCATTAGGACGTCTTGTGTCGCTGATCTCGTCTGTCGATCCCACGTTCAATTCACCCCCGTCGAATGCGAAGCCGACTAACCGAGTCTTGAGGGGGATTGCTTTTTAATAGATTTGGAGATTACAAGTGTCGATCTCCATGTCAAACCGTAGTACGAGACAGGGCTTTGTAGTTGCATACACCACACCTTTTCAACAAAGCGTTGTTGACTACAGGTCGTGATCAACGAAACCTCGCGCCCTCAGAAACAAACTAGCAACAGTAGTCAGCTAAACTTGTGGGGAAGATTGGAGGCGTTAAACGCTCCTGGGCTTAGTCCCCGGGTTGAGCCTCACATTACGTCTGTTACAACAGCACAAGCCCTGCATCTTCTCTCGGATATCAACTCTTCCGCCATTCCGTCCAACGGGTACAATTCTCCGACCAGCAGAGAGGGTCTCGTGCCCAGCGCAGTGCCAAGGGCTACCACGTACGCGACCTGAGTACCACACCCTTCCGATGTTTTCAGCATGCCGGTTGTACTGGAGTTCCGCACTCGCCGTACTTGCCGTATCCAGCGTATACACCGTATCCCTGTTTACCGTATTCATGTCCACCGTATTGGTGTACTACCGCGTCACATAGAAAGCTCGTCCTCATGTCTCATATAGCGGAGAAGGGGAATAGGATAAATATATAGCCACCTTCATGGACCCTTTCATTGCCATCAGTCTCACCTTTCAAACACGTTGTCGCAATCATGGAATCCCAGACACTCACAGGACTGTCACATGTCGTGCAATCGGCAGCAGTTGCTGCCCTGGTCATGATCATATATGCTCTGCTACCAACAATCAGCTATAGATCGCAGCTGGCGAAGCTGCCATCATTCGGTGGCTCTGTTGGTGACGAGAAACATCGTCAGGCATTTCTCAAGGATGCGAAGGCGATGTACATAGAGGGTTATAAGAAGGTAGGTCAACCCCATGTCCTTCTTAGACGCTTCGTTGCTTACAACTTCACAGTTCAAAGACTCTGCATACCGCCTCGCAACATCCGATGGTATACCTATCCAATCGGCGCCACTTCACATTTGACGAGGCTTATCATTCTACAGGAGAGGACAATGTGGTCGTTCCCTACCATCTTCTGCCCGAGCTCAGGAAACTTCCTGATGACGTTCTCAGTTTTCACGTGGCTATTGACAGTGTATTAAGCTCGCCCCTTCGCGATAGCTGTCGATACTAATCCTTGACAGACCATCGAATCCAAGTACACCGGGCTCAAATCGGATACACCGCTAGTCGTACATACTGTCAAAGCTGATCTGACGCCTGCCTTGGGTAAGTAATCACCGGCTCAGTTGTCAACCACAATGCTAACGCATACTTAGCTCGATTGAACGCCATTGTAGCCACCCAGGTTGACGCCACTGTGGAAGAATACATGCCGCCGTGTGATGACTGGAGTGAGGTCTACATATACAAAACACTGGTTGATGTTGTCGCCAAGGTGACAGGTCGCGTCTTTGTCGGCGAGGAGCTAGGCAAGGATCCTGAGTATCTGGACAGTGCTATCAACTATACCATGGACGTCATGAATGCAACCGACGCTATCAAGAAGATCCGCCCTCTTCTGAGGCCGGTGTTGGCCCCTCGTATCAAGGAGGTTCGTCGACTTGATGAGAGACGAAAGTCGGCAGAAGCCTACTTGCGACCGATCATCGAAGAAAGGCAGAATGCGGCAAAGAACGATCCCAACTGGCAGCAGCCAGACGACGTCTTACAGTGGATGATCAACCGAAGCACGTCGTTTAATAAGGCTTCTCCTGCTGAGCTTGCCCAGTACGTTACCATCCTCATACATATTGTATTGTATAAGCTGCTAATGACGCTTGTTCAGATCACAGCTCGGACTAGCCTTTGCAGCCATTCATACCACGACACTTACTGCCACCAATATCCTCTACACTCTAGCCGTCACCCCAGAGTACATCCCCGGGCTCCGGGAAGAGATCTGCGAAGTCATGGCCAATAACGACGGCAACATCACATCGCGGGCTCTGCAGCAGATGGAGAAGCTCGACAGCTACATGAAGGAGGCCATACGCTTCTTCAACCCAAGTGCTAGTACGTACTCACTTACTCACCCAACCCCTCCCATCCCGCATTGATCCGATCTAACGGTAACCGTTCTACAGCTTCCTTTGGCCGCCGCGTTCTAAAAGGCATCACGCTCTCAAACGGACAGTACCTGCCCCCCGGCGTGACCATCGAAGCACCCTCGCACGCCGTCTACGCCGACTCGCAGAACTACCCCGAGAGCGAAAAGTTCGACGGCCTCCGCCACTACAAGCTCCGCCACAGCGGTACCGTCATCGACAACGCGCGCAACCAGTTCGTCACGACCAACGAAACGAACCTGGGCTGGGGCTATGGGCGCCACGCGTGTCCCGGCCGTTTCTTCGCCGCAAACGAGATCAAGATGATTCTCGCGCGCTTGATCCTGAACTACGATTTCAAGATGCCTGACGAGCAGACGGAACGCTACCCGCAGATCGAGATTGGGAAGACGAGTATGCCGAATCCCGCGAAGACGCTGTTGTTCAGGAAGGTGTGAGGTTTGAGTACAGGGTTGGTGGGTGGGGGTGGTTTGGTCGGGGCGTTCTGCTGGTTAGGTTGTTCTTAGATCTCATTGCATAGATTGGGGACCATAAGGTCTAGTAAAGCAGCGCTCAAGAGGCTCTCGTCAAGGCTCTCGTCGAAGAAAGGCCTCTAAGGGTGTGCTCTCCTATGGAACTATTTATACATAAGTGCTACAAATGCTTTCCTCCCCTATCTACACAGTGAAACTTACATCCACGAACCAAGGTCTTACGACCTACAGTTCGATCAACGGCTGCCTGGGCTCTCGAACACGCGTGCTCGCATCGGCATATTTACAGTCAGTCACCCAGAAAGCCGTGTACTCCTGTTGATAAATATCTTACATGAACAGGTTAGGTGTTATCTCTTATGGTCCATCATAATATTGGGATTTTACTGTGTTGCGTTCATGTGCTTCTATGAACACGCTGAATACTAACATTCACGATCTTGCTTCGACATCCAGCATGAATACGCTGAGATTGGAAAAAAGGATGTAAACACACTATAACATACACACTACCCCATCACCCAAGTCCTCCAAATTGCCACACCGCAACGCAAATATACCTACAAAACCGTCTCAAACCTCCCCCTCCCCCCAGAAAGCACACCCTCACACACAATATGCCAACAAACAGCCTCTACACACAACTTCCGCGCCTCCGCCCAACTTACACAAGAGCACACCTACACAGCCTCACCAAGACCCACACCTCCCCCACCATCTCCGCAGACGCAGACGCAAACCCACACCCCTCGCCACGTCCAAGCTACAAATTTAGGTTCCGAGGACCTGCGCATCCCCACTACCAATCCGTCAAGCCGGATATAAGTGAGTGCAATATGTCTCAGCTAGGCGAGGTTCCGCGGAAGGGGGAGGGTGAGGTGCGGCGAAATCCTGCGGCGGGGTGACGAGTACATGTCGACTTTGTGTTTCCACGGATTTGTGTGGCGGGATGGGGTAGTTGAATACGCTCAGTTTAATTTGTTCGTGGGATTGTGTTGTGTTTTGCTTCGTCTTTCTTTGCACTGTGTTGCTTCACTGAGAAAGATCGGGGTTTGGGTCCGGTATTTCGACTACCCGGGATGGTGAATATTGCCGACGTAGCTACGGGAATACCTACAGGCGGTGCGCGAGGAGGGATGTGTTGATTGGCTGAACATGCAATTGGGGGTGTTTGATTGGTGGACGGATTTTCGACCGTATTCTCGCGTGTCTGTTTTGCAATTGGCCGCACCCCTTGTAGGGTTTGGTTTGAAGTAGGCATTCATTGGGTAGAGGGGAACGCATCAACATTGTATGGTCTTATTCTGAACTTGGTTTGATCGGACATGTGTAGTTTCTTGATTCTAGGTAGACCTCTGCATGTGCATTGGACAGGGCACTATTCAACCAGAAACGACAGCAACGTTCAAGCACCCAACTACATGAGCGAGCGAGCGAGCGAGCGGATCTCTACATCCAGCCGGGGGCGCGAAGCTAGGCAGTAGCTCACAAGACCCCCGATCGTCGAGCGTGGGGTGAACGACCAAGCCCGGTATTCCCAGTCGAGCAAGGAAGCGGCAAGCTTGAAACCTCGTTAGTTAGTACCGATCTGCAAGACATATTCGAAAGAACATTCGTCGCAAGCCATTGCCGAACTCTTGAGCGACAGCCATGTTGTCATTGTGCATTAATGCCGTGTCTTGGCGCGCAATGCTGCGTCGGCGTCTGCGGATGGCTGACGACTACTTCGAATATGGGCTTTGCAGGATGCATGCAGGATGCGGCGGGTTACGTCGGTCTTACGGGAAGCAATCCTCGTGCGTGGGACCGAGGGCCAAGGTGGCATGATGTCGAATGGTTAACGTGGGTGGCAAGTAGTGAGTGAATCCGGCGCTTGTGGTGTGGCGGGGATGCAGCCAATTCCGTCCACAGTTCGATCGCTCCAGTCCAGGGCTTTGAATACGTCTCCGTGGAGTTGCACTGCTGTGAGGATAGATCCTTGGCTGTGGAAACCAGATTTGGATGTGAACCTCGCTCAATTATTGCGAGCGCGATGGCACCCATGCGGCAAACCACCAGGTGTTTATGAAGTCGCTGTGCCTGGTGCAAGTTGGACGTATAACAGGATTGAAATCGAGCTGTCCAGAATTAAGGCTTAATGACCAGAGAAGTGGCAGTTGTGTGCTGTTTCGCTGTGTACTCTCGTCGTGGTCGGATGGTACATGGATGTACAGAGGAATCTCGCGGGGATAACAATGGCAACATCCTATGGCCAATGAACTGGCTGCCAGGTATATAGACGTCCCCTCTTGCTTCGTCGGATCCAGATAACCAGAGTCGTTTGGCTTAGCTCTCATGTCTCAAGCGACCTCTCAACGGATACCACCCTGTCCCCTGTGTGAACTAGCTCTTGGATGACTTTCACATCACCCACCAGGCCAACTCATTCGGACTATCCCTCTCTTGCCCTGACTGTCGTGTGTGTATTTTTCGTGTTGCTCCCTCCGCCTTGGCTCATCGAGTCATCGCTTCTTCCGTTCTTCCATCTCTTCATCTCGACCCATCCTGCCCCTTCCCAAGATGACGTTGCGTGAAATTGTTGATTTTCCTTTCCATCTCATTTTTCTTGATAACCAGATCGGCGCGTGCGACTTCGAGTTGAGCGATCATTTCTTCCGGTGACGTTTCCTGCAGGCGTGTTCTCTCCTGCAAGGTCCCTTGTCAGTGGGAGGTTCACCTTCATCGATGTGATATGTGTTCCACAGAGCAGTCCAGCGACAGCGAGATAAGTGGGTGCGACAAACCTGCTTGACATCCCGTTGCCCTTTCAGCCCAGCTCCGTACATGGTCCCGGTAATAGTGATCGAGGCGACGGCACCGGTCATGATCCAGCGCCGGACAGTTTGCAGCGAAGCCATAGTGAGCAGCCGTTCGAGGGAGACGTGACTTGATGCGTCGAGCGAAAAAAGAGTCGAGGGGTTCCAGCTAGCGGAAAGACTCTCCACGCCAAGCTTCTTCGCCGCGGGAATCTCGACGCGATGCGCCTTCCCCACCTTCCTTGCACGACAACAAACAACACGACGACACCTCCTCTTCCTCCCCCGTACACAGCAACGTGACGCTCTCCTGCAATGTCAAACTTTCCACGCTCCCAAAGCACGTCCTCCCGTGTCAGCACCGTGCCCTCGCAAAAACCACGGCAGCTCTCACACCTACAAGCCCAGCTCGCGCAGCTAACAGCAAATATGGCGGATCTGGAAAGTCTGATGCGGATGACGGCGGGGCAGGCGCAGGATATGCGGGGGCTGGGCGGATATTCAGGCGCAATGTAAGAGGTGCTTGAGAGCCAGATACGGGGTTTGGAGGCTAATAGACGTCGGCAGGTTCATGGCAGCGAGTAAAGTGCTTGGCGAAGAGACGGTCAAAGGCGATGGTGCGACGAAGGATGGTGGGAAAGACGGAGAGAAGTGAGGCGGAGAGCGAGAGGAGTTGTATACATCATCGAAACGAGAGCCCAGGCAATGACGGAGAAGGACTATCAAGATACTCGTCGACGCTGTGCAGCGAAGAGATAGAAACGTGGCACCCGCACCAAACGATTGCCCCACGGGGCCACGAGCGCGGCCTTCGATAAGCCTGGCCGGTCGTGTCATCTGGGTACGGGGCTGACAGTTATCTTCGCGCGTCAAAAGAATACTCGTCGCTCATTGCATGCTGCAGAAGGTTGAGGATGAGGATGACACCAATATGTCAAGAACATATAGATAGCTCCCGCACCATGAGCGCGCAAGGCCTCGTACCTGCAGATCTGCGGCTCTGTGGGGGTTGATCACAGTTCACATTCCATCGTAAACGTTTATATCCAGCGTAAAGCTTCATCTCCGTGAACATCGTGATGGCCGACGGCCATCTTACCCATCATCGTAGGACATGCTCATCTCAGATCGTCCAAAAAGCATATACGTTCAATAACCATTCTCCAGCCTCGGCACAAAGTCCGCTCCTTATCAGCCACGGACAAGATCCAAGATCAGCGCTCGCGGGGATTCGCCAACCACAATTCGAGTTCCAACACAGATAAGATACGTCTTGCAGCGTCCACGATAGGAAGCTGTATACCCTAGTGAGATACCGCCCAAATGTCGACATCCCTCTGTCATTGGCGTATAGTCGCAGCTGGTTTGAGAGGGGAAGCGTGTCGTTATCAATCGCGCAATGATAAGCGACAATGGTCTCACCGTCCTTTGTTTGGTGGATTTCTTTGAGCGCTATGTATAAAGAGCCAGACAATCCGCTACAGATTTGCGAGTTCATGCGAGGTTGCATATTTCGATCATTCCCATCCCCGCGTTCCGCTCGCTCTCCGCCCCGCCGTCATTAATACATATCCGTGGACGCCAAGCCCACATCGCAACTTACCTCTTTCGGACGCCTGATGGATTGTGACATGGACGCGTTGGAAAGGTCCAAGGGGTGCAGTTGCTGCTCGTCTGAACCTATGGCGTGTTTTGTCGGGTTCGTGTTGGTGTTACATCCGCGTTGGGTCGGCCACTCCTCAGACCCGCACGCAACAGTGCCTTGATGGCGCATCTCAACACGGGGAGACCCGTTTAAAACTAGACGACGATCCAGCACTTGCCACTGCAACCTCGCACGGCTCCAGTTCCACAATATCAATGGGGTTCCGAGCCGAGTAGACTGACCGACGCGTGGCGACAGAGCCTCACGACGGAGCCACGAGTAGACAATCTGTCTCCGCCGGCCCGTCGTCTGTCCACTTCGCTCACACAAGGAAAGTTGACCATCCAATGTTCCGATATCTACGCGCGAGTATAGCGTCTAAGCGAATCACGTACTTGACCCCCACGACATCCCGTGCAGGATCAAGGATATGGCTTCCAAGGTTTCGCCTTGCTGACGAAAAGAGCAAGCAATATGTTGCTCGCGGCATCCCCGGAACAAACACATGCGGTTGTAGCAGCGAGATGGCAGCGCTGGTTTCGAGAGCATGAGTTAAAATACAGCACCGAGTGTCAGGCATTTCCGCGCGGTTCCCGGAGAACTCGCAAACTGCAGGATTTGCGAGAACCGGAATGCCAATACTAAAAAAAGGGAACAGAGTGCAGCAGATGCATGTTGGATGCTCGCTGCGTCTGTAGCGTGCGAAGAACCGAGAGCAATTCACTGCGAAAGGTTAGTGTTGGGCAAAACACCTGATCCAGGCCTGTCGTGCATGCAAGTTAGGTGGGTGGATACGAGGCTTGCAGGTAGCAGGGGAGGTCCTGGGCCACTGGTTCCCAACGGAGAAAGTGCGTGGGATGTCGTGCTGCTCCTACAACCACTACTTGTGAACCCTTGTCTCTGCATGCTCCTTTATGTATGGGCCAGTGAGCAGGTGTCGTAATGGTTCCGTTGTCGTACTGTTGGAAATCAGCTGCCATCTGTTTTATGGTGTCGGGTGAACTCTACCTCTTCGTTGGAGCAGCATCGGTGTTCACATGTGAGAGCGCCCCACGGCGTGGTTGAATTGACTAGGGTTTTAGATGATCGTTCCAGGTTAGCGGACGCACGACATGAACGACCAATGCAGACGAGTCGGGTAAGAGTCGTGCCCTAACCAGCAGAGTGGTTATCGTCTACCCGTACTTGCCGTTCGGGTTGTACATTGTACAATGTACATGTCTAGAATGAATTGAAGCAATTGTCTTGACGAGACTGGAGTTGTGCATTCCGTTGCAGTAGTGATGGATCTGTGAGGGCCTCGAACCTAGAGGGAAATTGCGACTTGCATGACTTGACAATTTCCCCTACTGTGCACTTCCACGCTCTCGGTGCATGCTTGCGACTAGAGTTGTTACTCGTATTAGAGCCATGCGGAATGGAAATTTCCGAACATGAAAGCGATCCCGACCGTTTTCAGTGCACATGTAGGTCGCCATAGATCGAGACTAGAGGCTGAAGGATGAAATTAAGATGGCTTCTTCGTCAGCGATGAGACGTCGGAAGGGACGGGCAGACGTCCAGACAATTGTTGCATTGTAGAATGCAACAACTAAAGGTTGCGCGTACAATGAGGCTGATCTAGTGAAGCTCGGGCTGCCCCATAGAACTCTTGGACTAGGCGATGGAGATGGAGCCACAATGAGAGTTCCCTGCCGCATGTGGAGCATGTGTCGCTTCTCGACTTCGATTCGACTCGACAAGGATGTGTTTCTCCACAGTAGTCGGCGTCCCTTTGCGAATCTGGATCCAAAGCAGGGAAAGTTGGAGAAGACCGATCTGCCGAAGTAAGGGTCTTCTAGGAGGGAACTAACGTCGGTAGTCTTCTCGCTGTTCGACAGCTGCAAGGCCACAGCCGTTTGTATCTGGGCTTGGAAGACTCGGCGAACTTCCAGTCCCGCTCCAGTCGTCGCTGTTGTTCTGGATGTTGAGGGCGCCACTTGCGTATAGCCGCGAATGCGCTATACAGTAGACAGCCGGCTCAATGGTGGAGCTATTAAATAGTGCAGTGGGTCTGAGTTAAGGACCCTGAGGCGGTTGGGTATCATCGGGAAATGTAGGGAGGGCGAACGTGGTTCCGGGGAAACATCGGAACGGCCCTCCACACAAGTGGGTGAGCAATGGATATTTCGAGTAGGCGTATACGTGTCTCTAGACTCGTAGTGAGATGGTTTTATGAAGACTAGGATGCATACTGGCCGCCGTGGTCGATGCGTGTGCACAATACCTGGGTGAGTGCGGAAGGGCGTGGATGTGGAATAGCAGTTGCGCAACCCGCGCAGTGGGAGTTGGGGCCCCGCTAGTGGGATTAAGCGGACTTTGGACGTGGGCTCAAAAAAAAAGCAGCCAATAGAAATGCAGCTTGTATATGCCCATAATCATCCATGTCTGTAGTCGCGGCGGCTGCGATTGATGGATCTGGCTTCGTGCAGCAAACATGTCCCAGACGGGAAGGCCAGCCGTGGGATGGCAGACGGGTGACGTCCAGGGAGCAAGCCTCTCGACGACCAAGCCCTTTCGTATTGTGCATGGCGAACCTCACTTCTGCTGCTTGGTACACGGCAGGTCAGCACGCAGGTGGCCGAGAAACCCCCCAGACGGCGCCAACCACAGCCGCCCCAAACTACAGTGCGAAGTACGCGAGTTGCATGGTGCTGTAAATAGTGCTGTGAACAGTGCTGTGGACAGACAGGACCTGCATCGCCGCCAACCAGCGTCGTCGCGCGTCCAACACCCCCAAGCCCAAGGCCGTGAACAGGAACGAGCTGGCCAGTGCGATGTGTTGTGCGGGCTGGCGCGTTTGACGAACATTGACGACATTGTGGAGGGCCGCCGACTCCCAGGCCAACGAGGCAGTCAGCGTTCTGCGTTCTCGGCTGCAGGTGCAGGCATGTTCCCAAGCACGGCGCACGGACGGGGGCGTGATTGGGCGGAGGGCGCTGCGAGTGGGGGTTTGTGGGCGCCGAACTTGCTCCATGCTCCACACATCTCACGTCCCAGCAGACTCACGACTCGCCGAGTGCAGCAGCAGCCGTCGTCGCTGCGGGCCCGAAAGCAGAGTGGAATTATTGCGCCGCTTACTGGTGGTCCTGGAGGCGTCCCTGTAGTGCGCCGTGTAGTAGCATCACACGCAGCCCACTAAGTCTCCACGCCTGCTGCCGCCCCAGCACAAGGCCACAAATCCACCACGTCGCCCAGTCAGCGCAGCAGCACTTTGGCCTCGATCGGCTGTGCTTGCAGGTAAAGCCGCAGCGTGGGGTGTTCATCCGACTCAGCGAGAGCACGCGCCGAGCACTGCTACATCATCATCTGGCCAGTGTCCAGTGTTCAGTATCCCCCCCCTCGACAGAGGCCAACACCTTGCTGGGCACCATGGACTTGCACTCGCTACCACCGAGCAGAGCGGCGCTGCTGCCCGCCGACGAGGCCGCCCGTCGCGGCGTGCTCGAGGACTCGATGTTTCCGTCGCTGGGGAACGACGCCGGCAGCCCCAGTGTCGAGTCGCCCCAGGAGATGCAGAAGAACGACCCGCTGGGCACGCAGATCTGGAAGCTGTACTCGCGGGCAAAGACGCAGCTGCCCAATGCGGAGCGCATGGAGAACTTGACATGGCGAATGATGGCCATGAACATGCGGCGGGCCGAGCTCGATCGCAATAAATGGTACGCAAGGCGCCATGTGCGAGCGACCCCCCACCGGCGACGGCGTGCTGACTTTGTTTTGTGCGTGCAGGTCGAGCCAGGGCAGCATGGACATGCTGATGCCGCCGCCAACCGCGAGCGTGAACATGAACATGAACATGGACGTGAGCACAGGTACAGGCGCAGGCACACGACCAGCGCCCAGCACCGCACCGAGTGGCATTGCGCAACAGCTGCGCAAGTCGGTCGACCGCCAGGCACACGCCCAGCAGCCGCAGTCAGACGCCATGAACCTGGACGATTTTATATTCCCCTCGTCAGTGGGAAGTCCCGCAGGATTGTCGCCACACATGTCGGAAGAGGTGGTGGGCCCGTTTAATGCGACCGCCCCAGCGATACCGATAAGGAAGCCACACCAAGCCAGCGACCATAACCTCTCCCTCGCCCGCGCATCTGCGCCCTCGGTCCCTCCCCTGGTTGGCAGAGAGAATGATTTTGGCTACGTGCCCCGTCACGTCCGCAAGACCAGCATTGACGAGCGTCGAGTGAGTTTCTTATCGCTGCATCTGGCCCAGCCCTGTCCACCCCAACTGACACCTTATCAGCCACCCAAACGGCGCGCAGAGGCCTCTCCCCAGGTCCCGCCCGTCAACAGCATCATGATCCCCACCGACGCCCAGCAAGAGGCCGACCTGCACCACTACTCGCTCGACCAGCCCATGCACCCGCCGCACTTCCCAGCCTCGCAGTCGCACGTTCCCTACTCCATCGACACCTTCCAGATGCACGACGACCCCATCGTCAACTCGGCGGGGCCCTTCCAGCAGAACTTTGGCTTCTCGCCCGTCGGCTCGCCCTTGATGAACCACAACCACAACGCCTCGTACTCCAACATGTTCAACCCAAACTCGATAGCCTCGTCCCTCAACTCGACCGACTACTACTCTCCTCCCAGCTCCGCCTTTCCCTCGACCGTCTCCACTCCCCAGCCAATCCCCGACGACAACCACATGTACTTTGACCGCACCGGCATGGACATCCGTGGCCAACACACTGCTTCTTCGTACGGACCCCACCGCCCCTCAGGTCTGTCAGCTTCAATGCAACCGCACTTCATCTTCAACCCCAGTGGTGGCGGCCCAGACACCGTCTTCAGTCCCGTTACGAGTTCCAGCTCGTCCCTGCCCTTTTCAGCGACCTCGTTCGGTCATGCAGGCCACGTCGATCCGTCTCAGGTGCTGCACAACAACCTCCCTTTGCGACAACAGCAGGAGATGCAAATACCACGGCACGAGAACATGTTCACGTTTGGGGCCGACTCCGACGCAGAAGACGAGGATGGAGGCGCCTTTGCAGATCGCACTATGCCATCACAGGATTATTCCCCAATGGAAGAGGGGCCTTTGGACTTCACCACAGGCTTTCAGTGGGAAACAAATCTCTCCAATCAATTTAACCCCATGCCAGCGCGATACCCGGCAGGGCCCCCACGCAAGACGGTTACGATTGGTGGGACTGAAATGGTGCACTCACCGCAAGATCACTGGAGTCCTGGCAGCCTTGGCCGAACCCACGGCTCAGCTGCCTCTGTGAGCGACATACGTAACCGTGGAAATGACCCACGCCGCCAAAAAATACCCCGCATTAGCTCGACGCCAAACGCGGCAGGAATGGTGCACCAGGGCATGTACGGCCGACCGCAGTCATCGCCAAATTCACCCCCAGAATCGGGTCTCAATTCTGCAGCGCCCTCACGGCCTCAAAGTCCAGGCGGCACAAAACAGGGAGAAAGCAGTGCACCCACGACTTGCACCAATTGCTTTACGCAAACCACACCCTTGTGGCGCCGCAACCCAGAAGGTCACCCTCTTTGCAATGCGTGTGGATTGTTTTTGAAACTGCACGGCGTGGTCCGGCCATTGTCGCTCAAGACGGACGTTATCAAGAAGCGCAACCGAGGGAGTGGCAACGCTCCCGTTGGCTCTGCTTCGACACGATCGTCGAAAAAGTCGTCTCGCAAGAACTCAATCGCACAAACAACGCCAGTCACGACACCAAAGGCAACGGACTCGGAATCTCCAAACTCGACAGGTTCTGGAGGTGGTGGAAGCGCCTTTCTATCTTCAATCACCCCTTCAGCTTCAAAGTCTGGCGGTGTGGTTCCTATCGCTCCTGGTCCACCCAAGCCTAGTAGTTCAACCACCCCAACCCAGTCTCGTGGGGTCGCTGCAATGCCTAAACGCGCTCGAGGTCAAAGCAAGAGCGACTCACAGGAGTTGGAGATGGCCGACGCCGACGACACGAATGGAAGAGCCCCACTGCGGAGAAGAGATACCGCGATCGCGGCGACATCGACCGCTTTCCCGAGTCAAAACCTTAGTGCTCTTCCCATGGGTGCTATGGGTCAAGGGCTACAATCGTCTGGTCCTGCAGAATGGGTAAGTGGCATCTGCCTGCATATCGCTGTTTATGTGCTAATCAAGTTGCTTGTAGGAATGGCTGACAATGAGTCTATGATCGATTTTCCTGATTGTCGTATTATCCAGCGTACCATCGTCTATTTGGACATACATCCGACTCTACGAGCTGCCAGCACATGAAGGCTAGACACTTCGGAGCCCTACCGACTAGGGAAGGTCGACTGGTCTTGAGACAAGGAAGTCCCGGGATCATGAGGTGACCTTCGGCGTTTGGAGTCCAGCACACCTATCGGTGATTTACTCGGGATTCTCACAACCCATTTTGCTCCGGCTCCTCTCGATCGACTCTGATACCACTATTTTCGCGATGCGCGTTACAACAAAGATTAGACACGGACCGGCTCTCTGTTTCTTGGCATACCCACTTCGGTACCATTGCTTGCGGCAAGATGGAGGAGGCAGGCGCTCCATTACGCCGTGTGTCGCTCCCAATAATGATATAAAGATGAAGAGGACTCGATTTCGGTTACTTTTGCGTCCGGACGATGCTCTCTTCGTCAGACGAGTTTTACGAAATATTTGGGATCCCAACCAAAGATGTGAAAGAGAGCGGATTCCCATGGGGGTTTGTTTTGTTTTTGTCTTTTTGTTTTCTTTTTTGGCAATATTTGGTGCACTATTGATCTGGTACCCAAATCTACACCGGGGAGCGGGCGCGTATTGGAGTTTTTTTTTTGGGGCTTGCAGCGCACACGCACACGCACTTACACAATCCACGGATATAGAAGATGGCTTGCGTGTGTGTTTGTAGATGTGTGTTTTTATTATGATATCCTCGATGACACTTTTCCCTTTTGCTGGATTTAAACACAGCGACCCCAGATTTACAGAAATCAATATGTTATTTTTCTTCTTATGAGGTTGTTGTCGCACTTTGCGAGATCTTGTTGTGTTGTGTTGTGATGCTGAAATGAAGAACTCACGAAAAAGAAAAGAAACAACACGACACGGAATGAGACAAGACGAGACGAAACGCATAGACCAACCCCCCGTGACACACATTACACTTCGACGTCGACATGGACATGGACACCCCAGCCATCCAGGAACAGGAAACACATGACAGACAACGACCTACCCATAAACTCTCAAGTATATCCCCACTCTATGCCACCCTAACCATATTACACTATCCTCCCACACCGCCCCGCAACAAAACTCACTAAGCAAGTAAGTAAGCAAACAGCGACACACTACCGCGGAAACGCAACGATACAGTCACAATCGCAGTCACACGACGAAAAGAACAGATTTCATATCACGCTGTATTGTTTCCGCAGAACATCGATTCGATATCTTTCTATGCCTACTGCACAGTGAGATTGATCGGTTGATTTATATACGCGCCGTTTAACGTCAGGATAAGTCTTGCTTGGGAGGTGTGGCGTTGGTATGTGCTGTGCTTTCTTGGGAGTTGTTGGGGGTGTCGGCGATGTGATGCGATGTGATGTGATTTGGAAATTAGAAGTTGAGTAGTGTTATCTTGCGTGATGTGGGCGTGTGTTTTGTGTTTGATGGAGAAGGGATGATGTACGTACTTATCAGGTAGACCATGGGGTTGTTGGCGGGGTAGAGGAGATGAGGGTACGGGGATGATGGATGATAAATGATGCTAGTGAAGAGGATTAAGAGAACCGATGGAGACGTTGGGTAGGAGAACAAGTGCAGTTCTGTTCAGACGCAACATGAGTGTGGCGCCGTAGTGACTAACGCAAGAGCAACGAATACTGTTTCTCTTCACGAAACCATATGAGCGTGTTGTTCTTGTTTGCTTGCCAGATAGTGCAGAGTGCTAACGCCGAGTGAGTGTGAGCGTGAGCGTTGACACAAAACTACACGAACTACACCGACAATCCAAAACAAGACAGAGAAAGAGTCACACGTCAACCCCCACTACACCGCACAGCAACAAACAAATCGCACATCAACAAACACATCATTTCAAGCGTATACTTCTTTTGATTCTATCACATACAATACGTCCAAGTCATGTGTTCTATGAACTCACGTCATCAATCAATCCCCTTGTAATGCACTATCCTCCCCTACACGGTGGATTTGCTGAAAGCAAGCAGCCTCTTGACACCAACCTATTCCAGATTAGCATACCATCTCACTAATTATACACAGGGAACTACTCACCATCCAGTTGCTCCCCTCATCCGTCTTGTTAGTCATGATATCCGAGAATATCGCACCTGCCTGGTCATGCTGCTTAGACTGGATGTGGCCTGCCAGTTCGTTCATTTGCTGGATAGTATCCGGCCTCAGCAGGTCTTCGTTGTTCAGATGATCAAAGAGGATGTTGAGGCGCTTCTCGGTATCGACAATGTGCGCCTTGTACTGTGCTGGTGCCTTGGCCTTCACACGCTGGAGTTCAGCGTTGAGGATCTCGTAGATGGGGCGAGAGGCATCGGGAATGTGGGATCGATCACCAGAAGCTGTTCAAAATTAGCATGCAAGTAAAAACTTCAAATATACTGTCAACTTACGATGCTTCTGTGCAACCGGCGCGGCCTGCGACGTCGCGGTGCTGGGTCGAGAATCCGGCCTAGGGGGTCCAGTCTGGGGTGGGCCACCCATTGGAGGACCAGCGCGTGGCGGGCCTTGAGGCGGACCTCTAGGCGGCAGCGCTGATGCTGATGCTGATGCTGCGGGAGGCGCTTGTTGGAACGACGACGGCAGTGCATAAGGCGATGCACCAGGCGTGAACTGACCTGGTGGCGGCGCGATATGACGGGGCGGCGGCATTCCCATACCCTGCGGCGGGGCGGAAGGCTGTGAACCTGGCGCAGGAGCATAACGACTGGATGGTGGAGCGGCGGAAGATGGTGGTTGGTATGGGGAAGCTCCACGTGATAGTGGCGCTTGTTGTGGAGACGCGAAACCAACAGGCTGCGGGGGAGCGTATGTGTTCGCTGGAGCATAAGGACTCGGCCCAGTAGCGCTCTGTGGTGGCGAAGTCATCCGTGGGGGCCCTTGGGGAGGTCCTTTAGGTGGAGGCGGAGGAGTCGATCTTGACATTGGTTGGAAAGCCGATGGAGGACCCTGAGGGGGCACACCATAGCCTTGTTGCTGGTTGGGGAATGGAGATGCCACAGCGTTCAATGGAGTACCACGACGCGAGGCTGTCTTGGGCGGACCAAAGTCAGGAGTGTCATTCCAAGCAGGAATGTTGGGTCGGTTGGCTGCTGGTATGATTGCAGGCCCATCTTGGAAGTTGCGTGGTGGAGGTGCGATTGAAGATGGCTGAGGCTGTCCATAACCGCCGTATCCAGGTTGAGGAACGGACTGTTGTGATTGCTGTTGATAGCCAGCTGGTGTGTATGCACTTCGACCTGGGGCTGGAACAGCTGCCTGCGCTTGCGCTGAAAGAGGGTTGACAGGAGCGTAGGGTGAGGCTGTTTGTTGTGTTGCGAGAGGGTTAGGTACGGCATAAGGTGAGTTTGATTGCTGCCCTATCGGAGGCTGTTGTGCTTGAACAGGTGTGTAGCCGGGTACTATACGCTGGCCTCGTTGAGCGGCAGCAGGTTGCGTCTGTCTCTGAGTAGCAGCAGGTTGCGGCGCAGCTTTCCTTGTAGCTTGCTTGACCCGGTTCCTAGCTACATCTGCCGCTGGGTACTTCTCTGGGAGGAGGTCTAGGTATTTCTCCGCAATGGCCAACTGTCCATGAGAAGATGCAATGTCGGCATATTCAACGTACTTCGCGTACAGTGGCTCAAGTTTCCAGTCGGCATCTTTCTGCTGCTCTGAGTCCTTAAATCCAGTGACCTTTCGGAAGATGGTGACCTTCTCGATAAAGTCTTGCAGCGACCGCGCATGGATGGAGAAGCTGTTGTCTTCCTCGGACTCCTCCACGCCAGCAGCCTCGCTCTCTTGGAGCTCTTGCGCCCAGTTGACCACCACCTTCTCCAACTTGGAGCCAGCCAAGTAACAGAATGAGGCGTCCTTGCGATAAGAGTCAGTCTCCTCTGTGATGGCTTCCTCGAGTCGGTCACCGAGGGCTTCACAGAGGTCAGGAAACTCGGATTGATCGGCAAATGTGCAGATGGTGGCCATGACTTCCTTCCAGTCCTTGAGATCGGCATTGTACACTACGTCCCAGAGGTTCTTTCCCACCACAGAGGCAAGCAGACGCAGATAGTTTGGTGCATCTGATTGCTTCTTGAAGTATGCAGCTTGGGCCTTTGCAATACATTTTTCTCCACCGCAGATGGCGATCATGAAAGCATCCGACAAACGTCCCTCTTTCAGACACACATCAAGTGCCGCATTGAAATTTCCGAGCATGAGAGCACGGGTGATCTTTGTGTCGACTTCCGACTCGGAGCCGGTGTACACCTGGAACGGGTTGTTTGTCTTTGCACCCTTTGAGGCCGCAAGATCCGAGAGGAAGTTGCCCTCATCAGTCGACTCGTCGAAGAATGAAGCACCATCATCGGCTGTTCCGTTGGTATCTGCCTCCTTCTTCTCTTCGACTGGCGCTTCCTCTTTCGTGTCTGAAAATCCAAGGTATTCAACAAGCTTGCTGCGTGGGCTATCTGAAGTCAGAGTTTCAATGACCGTCCAGTCTGCCTTTTCCTCTTCGGTGGTCGCCTTTGTCATTTTCGACTCGCAGATGGCGGAAAGGTCGCCCTTCTCTAAAGCCTTGTTGAATTCCTCGCTGGCTGTGCTGATCTCCGAGTCTACCGCAAACGTCGAGATGGTGATCTTTGACTTTGAATCTGCAATGCCAAATCGAACAAGCTTGCCACCAAAGCCGAACGAAACACCCGCTCTCCGTTTCAGCCATTTGGGAGGCGTCTTGAGCGAGAAGGAGGCACCCTGGGGCTCGACATGCGTCTGGGAGAAGAAGTCCTCGCCTTCGGGGGCCTGAGAAGCGGCCTTGGCCTGGTCTGCTGTAGCCCCGGTGTTTTGCAGTGTCTGTATCGAGATCTTTCCGTCAAACGACGCGGTAGCGAGCAAGTTGGGGTTTGAAGGGTTGAACCGTGTCTGGAACGTCCAGTTTGTCACGACTGGAAATTCGCCCAGCTGCTCTCCGCTGTGCGGGTTCCAAGCAATCGTCCGGTTGTCCTTGCCGCAAGACAACAAAATGTCGCTATCTTGCACACACCATGAGAGGGAAAGCACGCCCTGGTCGTGCGCTTGGAGCGTCTTCTCGGGTGCGTTGGTGTTGCGCAGGTCCCATACCAGCACGAGTGGGTTCTGATCGGTCGGGATAGCGGTGACCAGTCTGGTGGGCACTTCTGGATCCCAGGATACAGCGCTCACAGTCTTCCTTCCAAAATGGTTCAATGTGAGAGTCTCCTTCTTCGCCCTGACATCCCAAACAGTGACAAATCCGCCGCTGCTGCCCGTTGCTAGGATGTGGGGAACCTTTTTGTTCCAGTCCAGCGTGGTGTACTCGTCGGGGTTCGCGCCGGCCTTGCCCAGGCGGAATGTCTTTGACTCGTCATCGAGATCGTGGATGTAGAGCTCGCCCTTTGCGCCTGCGGAGGCGAGGATGTTCGGGCGGAAGGGGTTGAACTGGATGGCTGTGATGGGACCTGTGTGCTTGTCAAGCTGCTCGATCTGGGCGTCACTACAGCGGGTCAGCACTCCTGGCGTGTGTCTATGTCGGCGTGCCTCCTGACCTTGCTCCCGCCTGCAGCTTCTCCGCATCCCACAACACGAGCGCACCGCTGTCTAATGCGCCCGCTATTATGCCCCGCGGGTACTGCTCGCTGGGCTGGCTCCAGGCAATGTCGTTGAATCTGCGGTGTAGTTAGAACCTGCTCCAGCTTCCGTGTCAAGAATTGGCCATGTACCTCGACTCCACATCGACAGTAGCAACAGGCTCGAGTTCAACGTCCTGCTCCGCATCGTCCAGCTGTAGCTCCCAGAGCTCTAATTGCGTGTCGTTTGAGAAATCGGCGTCCACTGCTCCAGCCTTGGTTCCTGTGGCTATCACAGGCTGGGTTGGGCCAGGCGACCAGGCAAAAGTGGCCGTCCTGGGAATCTCGCGCAGGCGGACCATGGCGGTAGTCGCACCAGGGCGTCAAGTGTAGCGAGTTGTGAATAGGAAACGCAACCAAAATGAGGGGGGAACGGGAGAGTCTTGTGAGGTTTTCTGGGGAGATGTACGTGGAAGAAGCAAGATCCGCAATGTGTCTGGACGCCGACGCAGTTGCAAGGCAGCGATGTGCTTCCCTTCTAGCATCCACCACCTGTCCTCACTTGGATGGTATGGTGGGTCCTCAGCCACTAACCACATGGGCACGTGACATCAAATCCCCATCTTCCTTCTCCAATCAACGACCGGAACACGTTCTTACGCAGCAGGAACCCTCGACACCAGCAGCCATGTCGAATCTCGCAGACACTTCTCGCCTAAAAGCTACCGTCTTTGTCGGTGGCCTCGATCAAGCCGTCACGCAGCAGACCGTGTATCATGCCTTCCTACCCTTTGGCGACATCGTCGAAGTCAATTTGCCAAAACCGGACCTTCCAAACGCGAAAGAAGAGCATCGGGGATTTGGCTATGTCGAGTTTGAGACTGCGGCGGATGCAGCAGATGCCATCGACAATATGGACCGGAGCGAGCTGTACGGCCAGGTTATCAAAGTAGCAGCTGCCAAACCGCAAAAAGAGTCGAATGAAGGACTTGGGAGCAAGACGGCGATTTGGGAGCAGGTGCGGTTGACATTTGTTTCAGAATTAATGAAAGACGTACTGACAGGTTGCAGGAGGGCTGGTTGGCGAAGCATGCTGTGAGCGAAGAGGATCGTCAAGCCACGGAGCAGGCACAGGAAGAGTCAAACGGGCCTATGGACCCGATGCAAGGGCTGGAAGGGCTTGACGAGGCTGGGCCAAAGCCGGCGTGAGATGAGATTTAGTATTGTGGTGGTTTCATTTACGTATGGCGAAGCACGGCGTTTGGGGCGTACGAGTATGATAGTCAGATACCTCTTGTCGCGACACATGGTGTTTTTCACTCTACGATTCTAGCACAAGTTGTGAAGTATCGCACGGCAATAGTTCCAAAACCCTAGCATCAACAAGCAGTTCACAAGATAGCCCTAGAGGAGTGACGGATGTCTTCCGGATGCATATCTAGATATGCATTTCAAGTCGAGCACAAAAGAAACCTTTGTTTTTTATTTGGACTCTTGATGATAGACTTGACCACCCCGACGTCATTTATACACACGGCTCTTCCATCCCAAGCCCCTCCAGCTCGAATCTCAACGCATCTACTCTTGCTTGCCTCGTCTCTTCAGGCGGAGAGTCCTGTCCACGACGAGCTTTCGAAGGAGCGAGAAGATGGCCATTCCCACGGCGATGCTGTGAACATGTTAGACCACCACTCCAGACCCCAGGGCGGGCGGGCGTATTGGGGGCTTACCCGAGAACCAAGACTGGGGGTGTGTTAGCAATGCTTCGAGAACAGGCAGTAGAGTAAAAGACGTACTAAGAGGCCAAATCTCAGTGGGGATGTTCTTGAGCTGGCGCAGACGCTGGGACGCGGTATGAGCTGCACACTGGTTAATCCAGGTCCGGGCATGCCACTCTTCAGCCAATTGGCTTACCGCCGTGCTCCTCCTTCTGTTGCCTTGTTAGCAATCAGCCTCAGCGTGCGGTGGCCGAGGAACGCACCGGCACAGGACTGCGCATGCGCAGCGTCTGCGTCACGAACAGCTGCGGGCTCTGGCGCATCATCGTCATGCGCGAGGGCTGCATGGCCATCATGCGCGTCGGCTGCATAGCCATAACCCTGGTGGCCTTGAACATGGTGTCGGTGTCGGTGGGAGTCGAGTGTGGTGCGTGGGAGAGTCGGCGGGCGTGGCTGCTGTTGGCGGTGCGGCCTCGTCGTGATGTCGAAGTTGGGGGGAGCTTGCAGCCGGAAAACGCCGCGTCGCTAATTGAGCCGGCCGTGAGTGGACAAGGCGCCCAGTCAGCCCATCGCCAACCTCAGTTGAACTCCGTCACGACGCCTTTGCCCTGCCATTGCCGCTGCCCCCGCCCTCCAACCACGAGCCCACCCACCGCAACCATGTCCGACAACGAGAACGGCGACGAGCTTGTAACCAAGCCCTTCAAGTTTGTCACTGGTGAGCCCTGCCGCGCCCCGGCCTGCGCTGGATACCGATAGCTAACTTGTCCCTCCGCAGCTGGTATGCCGCCCCCACAGCTTCCATAGCGCCTGCACGGCCTGCACCACACACCCGCCAGATATGGGCATGCGACAGAAGATACTGACCAGCGCCCGCGCCCTCTAGGCTTCGACGCCCGCTTCCCCAACCAGAACCAGACCAAGCACTGCTGGCAGAATTACGTCGACTACCACAAGTGCATCACCGCCAAGGGCGAGGACTTTGCGCCCTGCCGTCAGGTGCGCCTTTCTTGTAGATAGTCCGGGAGGCGGCGAATACTGACATGAAGCAGTTCATGTTGGCCTACAAGTCGCTCTGCCCCAGCGCCTGGACAACGCGATGGGATGACCAGCGTGGTGAGTCGCGGGAAGCACGCTGAACGGGGAAATGACTGACATGTTACAGACTCGGGTATCTTCCCTGTCCGACTTGACCAGTAGACAGCTAGCTACGGCATAGCTTGGAATGGAATGATGTCGAAGAAGGGGACGCGTGGATCACAGTCTAGAATTTGCAGCATGCAGTACCTGTACATATCCATCAACGTCAAAATGCAGTCTGGATCCATGAATGTGCTGTGCGAGCTGTACGGGATATTGTGATGTCGTTGAGCTTTGCACCCGTAGCCAATGGCACATATGTTAATCTCTTATCTACCATATTCAGCTCAATCTGGAGGCTGATCGTAAAATAGCATGGAGAACCAAAGCTGTCAAGCTGTCCAAACCTTACGTCAGCGTGATGTACCTCACCAACGCTCTATCTACATTCTCTTACTCCCCGCCATCTCCATAGGATCGACAAGATGTGAACCACAATTGATAGTCATGCGACCACACAGGCTGACCCGAGACCAACAAAAACAACAGCTGTTCGCCAATTCACCAAGAAGAAATCACTTGTCGCTATCACTACGCAAGACGTATCTGAAGTCGCAAGTACCAAACAACCCAGCGTCCCGTAACAGACAACCGCATTCGAAACAACAAAAAAATACGTTCACAGCAGCTAGGCGAACATGACACCCAGTCTGAGGTATAAAAAGCACATTTTTCTGTAAGATAAATCATTGCGGTTGTCTTTGGCATCATCATGTCCCTGCATTGAAGCTTCATACACCAAACAAGTAAGCCATTGACCTCGAACATGTTGTTACTCTACCTAGCCAGCATTAGAACACTAGAACCTCCATACTGCCTCTCAATCAAGTGTAAAAGTAGGGACTAAGCTGCGTTTCACCATGGCTCCTACAAGTTGTAAACTCCCGCCAAAATAGTACAAAAGTGCATACTAGGCGTATTGATCCAGATATAATTCCTACCCTGATATTCGATGTAGTTGTACGGAATCTCGCTGCTCCTTGGTTCCGAGTATCTCGACTAACTGACCGAGAGGCTACTCGTAAGTCGGATGTACTCTGCTGCTATTCCGACCATCTCGACGGTACCATTACCGTTTATGACTATCGTGCATGATAAGATATGCCTTGATCTATCCATTTTTATCGTGGTACTACTCGCCTGTTTGCCTACCTACCGTCCTAGTGCAGACAGTACAATCCATCCGACCCGCGTGTCACGAACCATATGCATTCCCTATCCGTCACATTAACCAAGTCCACGTAATAATCGAAACACAAAAGTCTCAGATTGGCGTCGTTTCTTTTCCGCCGTGGTGAAAACCCTCAGCAGTGTTATTGTGTGCATTGAATGGAATCGTGTCTGTGTAGATTTTGTCTGATGTTATGTATATTGATTTCGCTCGTCTCTTGTATCTGCCTGCCCACGCTGCTGCGATTACGCGGTTGAAGGGTAGCAGGCTGCGCGTCGGTGGAGTATCGTTATCTATGATGTATGTACCATGGTGTATCGTGTCATTGGTGTGTGTTCTGTGTTCTTTTGGCTTGTCGGTCTCTGTGTAGGAGCAGCTTGTATTGCTTCCTGGAGATGGACGGCGTGATGTGAGATGAACATGAGACGAAGATGAGATGATATGAAAGTATACGGATATAACGTCCAGGGCAGGTTAAGGCTATAATCTTTACCACATCTGCGCGATGCCTCCCTCCGTCTTTGAGGAACCGTGTTGTTGAATCACGTATATGGCTACTTGTTGTAGAAACCTGGAAACCCCAGCAAAGGGTATGACGTGGTGACCCCGATATACAACAATATGGGGAAGAGGCAGAGGAGGATTCAGGCTAATCAGAAGCGTCCATTTCTTCGGAATATTGCCAAGGGTGGTCATGGGGAAGTTGGGGGCGTAGATAAGAAGATATGCATTTGTTTTTTATTATTCCGCCGAGATACATTCAAAAAGGTACATCTGCTGTGCATCCTACTGGGCGCGTGGAGATCCGAACAACACCGAGACGATGCTTAAGAGCAGACATGAACGAGAGTGTGGAGTAACAGATCCAAGTGGGTAACACTCCATAAAAAGCGTTATTTGTAGACACGCATCTAGGGGAAAAGAGCTAGATACAAGCCGACTCCTGAGCAAATCCGCACTGCTGGATGCCTAGCTGCAGGTAAGCAGCATGCATGCGTCCCGGAGAGGAAGGCAGGAGCCAACGGTGTGCCGCCCATGCTCCGACCTGCCAGCAAGCGATGATTTTCCTTCCTCTAACCCCCCCCCCTTCCCCCCATCCAGGCTGCATGCAGCCTTGGTCATCAAATTAGGTGTGCAGCCGTGCAGCCATTTCAACAGTCGGGAGGGACATCCCGGATGCAGACGCAGACGTGGTCTGGTCCACTTTTAGTACGCACCCCGCACGTACCTACCCGCGGGACGCGAGTAGGTATTGCGAAGAGAGAGGAAACACGCCGGCATGTCATGTCGAGGAGCGATGGGTAGCGAAATTGAGGGATCCGTGAAGCAAAAAAGGGAAAATTGCGTCTTTTCTCGACGACGATGTCTAAGTAGGTAGAACGCGTGGTTGCGAATCTGGCCCCCGACCCAGCAAATGTTTGCTGGGAAGGAGGATCGACAAGCAAATATACTGTGGTACCCGGCATAAGTAGTGTACAGTGGAGACTGTGGCGTAGTGGCTTACAGGGTTACAAACACAGACCAGTACAGGCCTTGCAGCCAGTCGAGGAACTCGCGCTTCTGCTCCCGCCGTAATTTTACTGTTGGCGAGCACACAGACCACTGTCCCCACTGTACACTACTTATGCCGGGTACCACAGTATGTATACCCAGCGTTTTTTCCATTATCGCAATGCTTGTGTTCCGCACATACCCCTAGGAAACCTTGCCGGGGATCATTAAAGAGGCACAAATCTCTCTCACGGCGTCATGCACAACCTGTCACTCAACGCCCTGATAGCGAATTGTCCACGACGACGCCTTGCTCATTACGTCAACCCACGCGGAGGGCCGATCGACAACAATATCTACCTAGCGGCCTGCAGATGTGGACTCTCCGAGGGGTTTGCGGAAAGGAAGAAGCAACAAGCCAAGCAACACCTAGGTATGCAGATCGCGGACAGGGCGAAACGTACGTGGTTTGCAGTGAGTAGTAGCGAACTCGATGTTTCTCGGAGTAAATACTGCGCCGTTGGCTATGAAATCGACAGTCTATGCAAGTGAGCACAGGCATCCAGACGTTGTGTGACATTCGGATGCGTGTGTGGTTGCGCCCAGCCATCTACCAAGGCGTAATATGCGGATAGGAATGTAGATCTCAAACACAATCAGGGTTGTACTGTGGTAGGTGACTCGTGCGACCATGTCTCGCACGTACAAGACGTAGAGTAGGAACGGTTTCCGTGTTCCATCTTGGGCTGGCGCGTGAGTGTTTGTTTGTCCGTAGAGATACGAAGGCTGGCTTGGCTGTACAAGAAACGCCAAATTTGGCAACGCGCTTGGTAGAGCTTCAATGGTCAAGGCTTGATGAGTTGCACAAGCCGGATGTGGCTACATGGACGATACGACGAACGTGTCTCATCCATTAAAGTTTGGCCCGTCTTGTGGTTGTTCCCCCGTTAATTAGAAGTTCTGCTCTGTTTTGTCACTTTTATAGACTGCGCATTGTGTATTCGCCATACTGCATATCTAGTCAGTCGGCTAGCATCTCGAAGAGTAGTTTATAATTCCAAGAAGTTGAGAAGGACTACAGTGATGCTGAAGCAACAACGCGGACCGTGTTAGATATAGATCCATCTGACCACTCCGGGGTTCAGCGCTGTAGGGCTGTTAGAACACGATGAAACGGAATGCTGGCGCGTTTCGGCTCATGCAGACTGCCGGTTAGTGACAGCTACCACCTGATCAGTTGTCGGTGAGCTGCCGCACTTGGAGAACAAACGCCACCAGCGGCACAAATTCAAGAGCCTCATTGCCAGTCCTCGATGGAAGTATATATACGGGACCTTCCCTTTTCGTCTTGCTCAGTTTGTTTTTGGCCCGGCTCGCTTCCGGGTGGGTGAATGACGCGCAGTCCCCTGGATGGATCCACTCCACAGTCTGTGGCGGTGGACCAGTGGACCAGCTTCCGTAAGGTTTCACGTGGACCCGGCGCACGCCCAGAACTGGGAGGCCGGTCCACGGGTTCTAGTGGCGGCGCAACATCTTTTTCCGGTCACAGTGCTCCGAGGACGCCAAGTCCCGGAAAGAGCATCGACAGATGCGCCTCTCGTCACATCCTCGTTCACGGTGGCTGCAGGACGGCTAAGGTGGCTTTGCGTAATCATGCACCAAAGGGGCTGACAAAGGACCAAGCCAAGGACCAGGTACGTCGCAATGCAATGTCGACCTGGCCGCACACACCCCGGCTACACGCTCGTGCGCCAGCAGACAGCAGGCTCTTGTCAGAGTGCAGGCGGCAGGGTTGGTTGGGTGTGACACGAGCTTTTTTGCCGGCGACGGGAGCGGAGGGACGATGTGATGCATACCAAGGCGACTACCGAAAGCTTGAGCGAGGCGAAGATTGATTGTGGAGAGAAGGGGCTTGGCGATCCGTCCCCTTCGTCAATCGTTACGTCCCTGCTCGCTCGTCTCGTCGTGCGCTTCGGGGCAACCACCTTTTGCATCCCGTCCAACGCTGCGAGGAGCCGTTTGTTCGAGGCCAGCATTCTGGCGGCACCATCCAGCGTATCTGTCAGTCTAGATGCTGTTGTGTGACGGGCTTGTCGTCGCGCGCATCGCTGCATGCTCTTCCTGTTGCGGACACAATACGTACATGTATGCACTGGGCTCCTGGTTGCCTTGTCGTAAGTCAATTGTGTTGTTTGTCGGCTGCAGCGCAACACGATCCGCGTGGTGGCTGGGGATGCATCCTCAGCAGGTGGTCAATGAAGCCCCGCAACAAGACGATCAGCCACTCCTGGCGCAGATTGACCGTGGTGCACTGTCAGTGAACATATGAAAAGCAAAGAATTGTACACGTCGGAAGAGGGTCTCTGGTTGGAACTGGCACTGGCGACCGTGACGATGCCTTGCATGAGGGTCCTTTGCGTGATCACTCTTTACATGATACTACCTGTCCTCATCGACACCAGGCGGAAGCGTGGTCACAGCCAACCAGCCGAAGAGCGGAACCGACACACGAACTTGGGTCGAACGGTGCCGAATCGTCATCTGGACTGGGTACCGCGGACAGACCCGCGCCAAACCACTTGCGGCATCTGGACTGCACAGGGCGAGGCTCATCACGTCCCGAGCAGCATCATGTTTCACCCAGCACGGCCTGGGCAGGCGCGGTGGTAATGAAGGCGCGCTCAACGACAGCAAAGGCGGACGAGGAGCGAAGACGGCGCGCCGGGCGAGCTGCTGCGAGCCTCGCAATTTGCCGTGACGGATCCTGCAAGCTTGGAAGCACGCTCTCTGTGGCTTGGGCGCTAGAGGGCTTAGTGGGCCCACAGCTTAGCGAGTCGTCCCTCTACTTCAGACATCCTTGCCAACCTTGGGAACCCTATCCCACGCCCATACTAGTCTTCCTGTGCGCCTCTGCTCTTCTGCTTTCCGCCAACTTCCTCAGCTCCCCCAGCAGCCCTCGCTCCCTTCGCATCAGCCTTCATCTCTTGCATCCCCCCCCAACGCCGGGCTGACCGAGCATTGCTGCATTGTCCCTCGTCCTGCCCACTCGTGCTCAGCCTGCCCCGTCCGTGTTCGTGTGCGCGCTGCCGTTGTTCTCTGCGCCTGACTCTCCGCACCCCGACCAGCTCCCGCGCGGTACGCTCGCCAGGCGCGTACTCGCACTCCTTGTATGTCCTCCCACGCCCACCACGCCTTGATCACGCGTGCTAACACCTCGAGCAGCCCGGCGACACCGTCATCGCCTTGCATCTCGTCCCGACCTGCTTTCTGTGACCCGTCCCGTTGACGTCGGTCGCGACGTTGTTGTCCAGGCGCGTGTCCATCTGCAGTAGCCACCATGGCGAGCCACCAGCAGCCTTCACCCACGACGGGCATGCCTCCACATCACGGCATATCGCATCTCGCTCATGCGCAAGCGAACGGCCATCCGCCGCACGCCAACCAGCCAAAGACATCGACGCAGTATCTTGCGCAACTAACCGAGGCCGTCTGGAACCAACTGGGTATGTAATCTGTTCACCGTGTTGAAGCCTGCTGCGGCCCGCTAATCATCTCCAGGCTCATTGTCAGAGCAGATGCATGACTGGGATGGTGCTATGGAATGCTACCAGCACGCCTTGAAGCACAACCAATGGTCTGTGCCCGCGCTGCAGGGCATTGCGTGCATCTTGCGCACCAAAGACGCCTTCCCGCAAGCTGTCGAATACCTCCGCATCGTCTTGAAAGTTGAGCCTGCCAATGGCGACGTCTGGGGCAGTCTTGGCCATTGCTATCTGATGATGGACGACTTGCAGCAGGCCTACTCTGCCTACCAGCAAGCACTGTACCATCTTTCTGATCCCAAGGTAGGCCCTACTCGCCGACTTTCGCATGTCGAGTTCACTAACCACTCGTTAGGAACCCAAGCTCTGGTATGGCATTGGCATCCTCTATGACCGCTATGGATCTCTCGAGCATGCCGAAGAGGCCTTCTCGCAGGTTATGCGCATGGAGCCCAACTTTGAAAAGGCAAACGAGATATACTTCCGTCTCGGTATAATATACAAGCAGCAACAGAAATTCAACCAGAGTTTGGACGTAAGTACAACTCCCATCATCGTATGCAGGAGTCGCTAACGTCGAAACAGTGCTTCAAGTACATTGTTACCAACCCGCCTCGGCCATTGACCGAGGAGGACATCTGGTTTCAGATAGGCCACGTCTACGAGCAGCAGAAAGAGTTCGAGGCTGCCAAGGGCGCCTATCGCCGGGTTCTCGAGCGCGACCCGAACCACGCTAAAGTCCTCCAGCAGCTTGGTTGGTTACACCACCAGCAGAGCACCAACTATGCCAGCCAAGAACAGGCCATCGAGTATCTCGAGAAATCGGTCGCTTCGGGTTAGTCTCATATGTCCCCTCTAATCATGCGCGTGTTTCTGACTCCTTGAAACAGACCAAAACGATGCACAGAGCTGGTACCTGCTGGGTCGTTGCTACATGTCCCAACAAAAGTACCCCAAGGCATACGAGGCGTATCAACAAGCCGTGTATCGCGATGGCAGAAACCCAACGTTCTGGTGCAGCATTGGTGTGCTTTACTACCAGATCAACCAATATCGTGATGCGCTCGATGCTTACTCACGAGCCATTCGATTGAACCCCAACATTTCCGAGGTTTGGTACGATCTTGGTACTTTGGTAAGTCGTCATCAACAATCCCTGCGAATAAACGTCTCTGACCATTGCCATAGTACGAGTCGTGCAACAACCAGACAGCCGATGCACTGGACGCATACCAGCGTGCTGCAGACCTCGATCCATCCAACGTACACATCAAGGCTCGCCTGCAGCTCCTGCAAAATGGCCAAGCCTCAGCAGGCGCGCCCAACCAGGGCCATGCTCCTATTCCTCAGGATGTACACCCCCAGGCTTACCAACCTGCTTCCGTTCACGGGCCTGCTGCTCCCCAATGGGGTGCTCCTCAACCTCAGCAGCCTCCTCAGGGACCTGCTCCGCCTGCATTGGGAGCCCCCGGTTGGGATCGACCTTTGGCTCAGATTCGCGACCCTGGGCTTCCACCGCAGCAGTTGAACCCTTACGAACAGCGCGAGGGTGTTCGACCACCTGCTCAACATGTTCCCCAGCGACCAGTGAGCCCAAGACAGGAGCCTCAGAGATCGTATCCTGAGCCTCAGCGACCTTCCACTAACGGCCCTGGCCCGTCTGGTCCCGTTGGCCCTCCTCCCCAAGGTCCTGGATCCATGCGTCGTGGCATGTCGCCTTCTCCCAAAACGCATCACGTCGTCCCCAGCCCCTACCACCCTCAACCGTCTCAGCTCACTCCGCAAATGCCTCATGCTCAGCCGCAGCCTCCTCATCATCAAGTTCAGCAGCCATCGCAACCTAATCGTATCTCGAACCCGAATTACGGTCCTCATGCGGGTAGTGTGCCACCTCCACCGCCACCTCCTCCTACCGCGCTGCAGGGCCCGCCCGGCCACGGACTTGGTCAAGGACCCATGCCGCCCTACGGACGTCCCAGCAGTCCACCACCGGAAGTCCGTCCCATCGTAGAGAACCGCGCAGGGTCTCCGCGCAATGCATACCAAGGACCATACCAGCATCACCCTGACCCTTCTGCTAGCAGTGGCATCGCTAGCGGCGCTCCTCCACCAGCATCTGCCCTGGCCGCAGCTGAAGCAGCTGCACGAGACCGCGACGACCGCCCGCCAACCGCACCCCCGAAACGAATTCGGGAATGGGAAGGAAATGACCACATGAGCATCAAGGCACCAAGTAACGACGAGAAGCGTCAGAAGCTTGAGGAGTCGCACAGCCGTCGCCCGACTCCTCCACACCGAATGTCATCTCCGCAAGTGCCTCGTCATAGCCCTCAAGATGCTCCTGATCCTCGAAGATTCAACGACGGATATCATCCATCCGAGGCTGCTCACCACCCGCCGTCGCTTCCGTCGATGGGACCTGCGCCGCCATTGCCTCGCATGACAGAAACACCGAAGCCGAAACAGGATCGCCAGGAGCATCACGAGCCAGCAGCTCGTCGTATGGACGTTGACGAGGACTACGACGATGAGGGCGATGATGCCAAGGTCAGCGCAGCAAAGCCCGAGCACGAAAGCCCGCGGAATCCTACTAACGGAGTGGTTCACGCGCCCACCCCGGTCGAGCAAAAGTCCTGAGTCGAGTTGGTGCGATGGGCTCTAAAAAGGCCAACCTAGTGTTGTGCTGCACAATGGTATATCCATCATACGTGGGGTTCGAATGTTGGTACAGGACTGTTCGGCACGATTGTCATTTGAGAAGGAACGACCGGCGTGTCCTCACTTTTCCGTTGAACTGTAATTTTGCTTTCAAACCAGTTGGTATCTTCATTCATGATTCGAGCGATTTGGACTAGAAGTCAAGCGAGGTTGATGTCGGATATTCACCGAATTTGAAAAGCGGTTTAGCAGGGTAGGCGATTGCCATAGTGGTGCAGATTGGCTCATGATCGTTGCCTGTTGTCTATTGCGGCAGGTACGTGTTTCTTTGCGTTTGTTTCCAAGAATGAAATAGCAACTTGATTGAATATCAATCCTTCCTGTGTTCTAAATATGTGTGAATCTCGTGAAGCGAAACGACGAGCAAAGAAACATCTGATGTTTTGCTTCCTGATCCTTGGTCTCTGGGGTCTTTGGTGGGGGTGAGACTAGAGCTCCCCACCAGGCCGCCCACCATCGCACCTGCCCTGCAGCTCTCGCCCGTTGCGTCATCGGGCAACCGCGCGAAACCATGATCAAGCTTCCACAACACTCATCACGCGCCTTGCTACCGTTACGAAACCACAGATCACGAGCGCTACCACGAGCCTTTCCCTTCCACCAGGATAAAGAACGCCCCAGCTGCAGAAATCTGCACTTTTCGACAGCACTGCGAACGCGTGTTTCCACACCAGCCCACCGCACACATACTTCGAGTTTCTACACACGAATAACTATACGCACGATGTCGTCTGACGCCGATTACGCTGCGTTTCTCGAGAAGGCAAATCAGGACTCTGCGCCTGTGGAGCAGCAGAGTGGAGGGAAGAAGACGTACGGCACTAAGAGTGTGAATACGGCGGTGCCGCAGGTGTTGGAGGGGGTGGAGGAGTACTATGTCAGCGATGCGGATGAGCCGTTTGAGCCTGTTGCGCTGAAGTATGAGGGGAGCAGTGTTTCTGCAGGTACGTTCAAGGATGAGTACATGGAGGGATGAGAGGGGGCTGACATGTGCATGTTTAGATGATCTGAAGAAGGTGCTTGGGGGCGAGAGGGAGGTTGAGCAAGTCACGCCCAAGGGGTTTGAGACACAGTATAAGACTGTTGTTGATGCGGTGAAGAAGGCGGCGGGTGGGGAGGTCAAGGTTTTTAGGGTGGGGATTGATGGGACGAGGAGCGAGTATTGGGTTGTTGCTGTTGATGGGAAGGAGGGGAAGATTGTGGGCTTCAAGGCGTTGAGCGTCGAGTCGTGAGGGTACGCAAGTTCATGGAGATACGAGGTCGGTACCATGGTTTGTAGACGAAATGGCTGGTATGACTTTCGACGCGTGGGAAACGTGTTTGGGGTCAGATTCTCTTTGATGTGGTTCAGTCCCAGATGAAGGAGCTGATCTCACCTAACAGAGGAAGGTTACATTATGCTGATAGGTTGCATCTCATCTCTTACAGCACTGAGCTTTGTCTAGCCAAGCATTAAACGCTCCGTCTGATCGCTGTCCTTGTCAATTAGAGTAGAGTGGGGCGGCTGTCAAAGTGTGAAACGGTTGGTGGACATCATGCACATTGTACACACGGGTCTTTTGTGGGACGATACAAGCACTATGTTTTGAACACAACTTGTGGTCGGATGCCGAGATGTACAGACTGTGGTGTTTTCCGCTGATGACGTCTGGCACACCATGATATCGTGGACGGGGCTCACGAACGGTCACGAACGGGCCAAGTGCTTACGCAGATCTCCCATAGTTTCCGGCGCTCCGCAGCAATACGACGATGGCGACAAACTGGAATCGAGGAGCGTCCGAGTCGAACGCCACGCTCGGCTCCGACTATTTGTTAAACACATGACATGAATAGACACACACTCGAAGATAGAGGGCTCGCGTGTTCGAGTCGTCGGGCAGGGTAATCCATGATATGTGGTGCGACGCGTCACCGGCAAAACGAAACCTGGCCAATTTGCGCAATTGTCCCGTACGCATGAACGAGGATCAATCTATGACGATGATCGTTGCGGTGTGTACGGTAGATATGGGGAGCCACTTGCTACTATGTACAGTACAGTGGGTCCGCTGTAGTAGAGTACTCTGCATTCGTTTCCGTAGAAACACGTACCCGCAGCTGCACGGGGCTGACGAAGCAGCACTGCGCAAGACACGATGATCGTGATTTTGCGAGTGGGCGAGGAGAAGGCTGTGCAGGTGTGTCTGCAGCAGCTGATAGCCCGCCGGGTGCCATGTCTCCAACGTCGTTGGCAGGCGGCAGGCTCCACTATAGGAGGCTGGCTACGGCAATATTGAAACTCGTCGTTGAATTGGCTGTTGAGGCGACCTTCTGGCCACGGCAAACATTTAGCCAGGGTAATTTTAGCAAGGCTGTGTTCTTTAGCGCACCAGTGCTGGGAAGCGTCGCCGCACAGGCGCTTATCGTGCTCGATTGGCTTGCCCCTGGGGACATGCGTGCTTCGAGAAAGATAGATCTGCATATCCCGGCGCGCCACCTTCCCGTGCTCGAGTTGCTGCACGCACACGTTCGCTCGCCAGCAGCCATCTGGTCGTTCGCGCTCACGTTCTCACACGCTGCTTGTGCACCACCCTGGCCTCGACTCGGACTGCGTTGCGACATCTTCTGCACCTGCGCAGCCCCCAGCCAGCTCTCAGCACGCCGTGCGGCGACTTCCTCGTTCTCTGGCTCCGACGCACGTCACAAGTGCCAAGTCGGTATTAGCGCGCGTTCCTGGCCAGCTCCGATCCTGCCAACTGGACATCCCGGTATTGTTGGGGCAAAGGAGCGATTCACCTTCCTGGAGCCTCGATCCGCTTTCTTTTCCCGCAACGTTTCTCTCCTGCTTCTCCACACCAGCAGCGATACCGAGCAGCCTTTCGCCTATCGACTGCGAATTGCGAGCCGCACCATTCCACCACAGCCGTTTACCACAAGCACCCCTTCGCTCTGGCACGCCCATCGCAGACACGCCCGATAGCACCCTCACCCCATACGCTCACTTAACATGTTGTCGCCGCAGTCGCCCAGAGGGGAAGGCACTCCACATTTACGCCTCAACTCAGGCACCCACGAGGTAACCACCGACGACAACTCGGCGCCCCAAGTACGACCCGGCACCGCACGCACAACGTCGGCGCGCTCATTAACACAATCAACCCGCCCTGGCACTGCAGGCTCTGGCCTCCGTGGAGTGCCCTCGGTTTACACAAATGGAGGCGTCGCAGAGTCGGCAGAGATGCTGCTGCCGCCAAGGAAGATGAGGCCACGCATGTACAAGGACGAGTCGGAGTCGCCTTCCGCCATGTCGTCGCGGCGCACAAGTTGGAGCTCAGACATGTCGAGAGGGCCCTTTGCCTCGCCTTTCGACGACTCACGAGCGCCCTCACGCGCAGGGAGCGACGATGACTTGAACACACAGACAGTGTCGGAGAAGTTCAACATCCTGCCGTCGTCAGGCCTGTTGCTGTACCCCGAGGATGTCGAGAAGGACGACTACCTACACAACCCAGACCCAAACGATAAGGAGCAGCCAGGTTGCGATATGTGGAACAAAAGAGGTCTCGCCAACGTGGGTGGTCTAGCGTTTCTCGGTCTTGGTATCATCATGCTGTTCATAGGTTATCCTGTGCTGTAGGTATCGCCTCTTCCAGACTCCTGACTGTACTGACTGTGGTGTAGCACTTTTGTCGACAAACTGACAACGCCTGAAGTTGGGCCATGTACCAACAACCCCCTCTGTATATCAGGCAAGGAGTCGGAGCCACTGCTAAAGAATCTGCGCTCGGGACTTATCGATCCTGACACGCCAGAAAGTGCCATGTCGCGAATATCATATGATGGCACCAAGCAGGTACTAGTCTTTTCCGACGAGTTCAATACCGATGGACGTACATTCTACGATGGGGACGATCCTTATTTCGAGGCTGTCGACATTTGGTATGGCGCTACGCAAGATTTGGAGGTGAGTTTGGAAAAGGGATAGGTCGCAGCTTTCACCGCTAACACCCAGCAGTGGTACGATCCGGATGCGGCATATACTCAGGATGGTACCCTCAACCTCAAGTTCGACAATTACCAAAACCATGGCCTCCAGTATCGATCTGGCATGATTCAATCGTGGAACAAATTGTGTTACAAGGGTGGGCATTTAGAGGCCAGCATCTCACTGCCTGGCAAAGGCAACGTCAGTGGTTTTTGGCCGGGTTTCTGGACGATGGGTAACCTTGCTCGCCCCGGCTATCTTGCTTCAACCGACGGTCTCTGGCCCTACAGCTATCACGATGAGTGTGACGTTGGCATTACGCCAAATCAGAGCTCATACGACGGGCTCAGTTTTCTTCCCGGAATGAAGTTACCATCTTGCACATGTAAGGGAGAGGACCACCCTAACTCTGGCAAGTCACGGAGTGCTCCGGAAATCGATGCTTTGGAAGGATCGGTTCAATACCTTGGACCGGGTGAAACAAACGCTGTTGGCGTAGTTTCTCAGTCTTTCCAGGCAGCTCCTTTCGATGTTTGGTATATGCCAGATTATGGTGAGTACTTTCATCCTTGCGGTTTTGCTTGTCTAATGCGTTGTAGACTATACCGAGGTTTACGACAACCAAATCACCATGTTAAACTCGTATAAGGGTGGACCTTACCAGCAAGCAAACTCAGCTCTGACCACTTTGAACAACGATTGGTATGATGGCAACCAGTATCAGCTGTACGCATTCGAGTACAAGACCGGAAGTGAAGGATTCATCACTTGGTACGTCGGGGAGGAAAAGACCTGGACTATGAAGGCAGAATCGACGCGAGCCAACGGCAACATCGGTACGAGGGTGATTCCCGAAGAGCCTTTGTCGATTATTGCCAATTTCGGCATGTCCAACAGTTTCGCGGCAATCGATCACGACACAATTGACAATACTCTGCTGCCCGCTACGATGCGAATTGATTATATTCGCATATACCAGCCGGAGGACAACCAGATCATGACATGCGATCCTGAAAATTACCCCACGACCGAATACATCAAAAAACATCCGGAGGCTTATTCAAATCCCAACCTTACAGACTGGTAAGTTGATAGACATCTGAAAATTCCGCAAATGCTGATTTAGATACAGGGCATCGACTGGGTATGACTGGCCGCAAAACTCGTTTATGAACGACTGCAAAGAGTAATCCCTCTTAAGAAGTACCTTTTGTGCCCTTTTTTCCTCTAATGGAACTGCTGGTCTTGTTCCTGTTCTTCAATTCGATATCTCACGTGGCCACACGGAAAGCGACGATACCCGTAAAATGGACTTAATTATAGACGTTTCCTTATTCCGATCCGGTTTACCCCTTCTCGAAGGCATTGTATTCAAGGAACATGCGCGTTGGAGTCTAATGTCATGCTTTATGTGGCGCTCTGCCTACGTCTCCCGATACACCCAAGATCAACTCTTTGCCACATGGCTCGTCCCCCCGCTCTTTCTCTCCGCAACCACTAGACTACATACGATCGGGTCGAGCATCTTGGCAGCGGCAGCGGCGGCAGCGGCGTCGGTATCATCCAATTCTACACATATACGGCGCCCTTTTTGTATATCACGGCTTGTGTTTCTCTCTATGCGTTTGCATCGCTGTATATAAGTCTTGGGACATGCTTTTTGGCAGGCTTTCTGTTCTTATAGAGCATCATTATGCGCTCTGCTATTCTGTTCCCCTCCTCCCCCACTGTTTCCTGCTCAGTTGCCGAGAAACAGAGTGAGACTAGCGACGAGTTTTGGAGTTTGATGTTTTTCCTTTCTTTATTTTTCTCTTGAATGATGGGCTGTGGGCTTAAATGGGCGGGTCGGTGTGTGGGTAGGATGAATGAAATGGCACACCTTGGAATTATCTTGGCGTTTAATGCTTGGTTTGGGGGCGGTGGAGGGGTTTAGGACGTAGGAAGATGAGTGGGTAGTGGGTATGTAGAGATGGCCGGGGCAAGTAGATGGGGAGATATTATCTTACTCGCCTTAGTTGAAAAGACTACTACGTTTATTTGTCTTTGCATACATGGCTTCTAGTGAAGATGACATGTCTGTCATCGAAGTATCTGAGGGCGGTATATTTTGGATATCACTCACCTCACTCTCATACCCCAGGATGTCACACACTTTTATGTCTACCAACTCTAGGAAAGCGATACCGGATGTCTACCTAGTCCGGTCTTGAAACGTCCTAAAGACTTCGATACGTAGGGGATGGAAAAGCATGTACATTGTCTTGATGACTAACACTGTACACGCACTAACCGAGACACGTCTGGACGACTACGGTACTGTGTCTCTGGAGTAAAGAGTACTGGTCCTGACGCAGCTCTTGACGAGCTGCAAAAAGGTCGCACGGCTAGGTTTGTTGTCTAGATCGGAGGGGGCGATCGGTGTATACATGAATCATCTAGGTTTAACCCGCTCACTCACGCTATGAGGATGAATGATCGGACTTGTTGTTGATTTGCTTGCTCGCCATGGTATGCTAGTGGCTTCGATTACTGAAATGGGATCTTGTACAGAGATGTCAATACGTTTCGCCGGTGGATTCGCGGATGATACTATCGGGAAATCGATACACGATGATACGAGGACAAGCCGGTATGGCGGGCACGTTTGTTGTTCCAGTTGGGTGTCCCTATAGCCAGCTTGCGATCATGCCTGCGAACCTCAACTTCAACGCTAGGGATGGGTTGCAGGTGCTGTATGTTTATCTTTGGGACGCAGTTCCAGCTTTCGATTTCTGTTCAGGATCTACTTGGAGATGAAGTCTTGGTCGAGGCGGAAGTAGAAAGGGATTGTGTCTTCACAAAGCCAGCCTCTCGATCATCCCTTCAAGCTCGCAAACAACATCGTTATATACCGCTTCTTGTAGCTTCTTGTTGTTGAGTTTAGTTCCGAATCCAAAATTGCACTGCAGGCATTTTTCCGCAATTCTTTGGTACTCGGGCCCTAGAGGCGCTCGACCAGAGGCAAGCCGCCGTGCAGCAAACACCTCATTATCAAGATCCCTAGGCGTCATCTTCTGCTCAAGCGGCTTCCAATGAGAAATTTCGAGGAGAGCGATACCGAGAAAGAAGAGCGTCGTGTTGTTGATGCCAAAGCGGACTTGATCACTCACTGTATGTTCAGTGCTCTCTACTCCGTCCATGAGTACCGTATTTGGCAGACCTGGCGATGAGATTTGAGAAGTGAGATGGAGTGTCTTCAGTGCTGCCTGGTCGAAGGTTTGCCGATTTCCATAGTAGCTCACGTCGCCGAGTCGCCACCGTTCGGACAGCCATGGCGTGTCGTTGAATTGGAGTATGGCGAGTGCAGTCTTATGAGCGAGTTTCAGTTGATCTTCAACTTCGAGCACATCATCCGGCTCGTGCCTCATGATGTCGGATATGGTGTAGACCGTAGTGTCGTCAACGGTATTCGGGGTAGCCTTGTCGGCTACCCTCTTTTCTTGGACATAGAACATGTGCTTGTACATTTGTGGTGTTTCTAGGTAACCAACGCAGTTCCTAGTGATTGAGCTATCACACGTTCGGTAGTTGTGCTTGATGTAGCTGCAGAGGTTCTTTGCTTGGCACAAGTCAAACTCAAACGTCTTTGGTTGTGCGACGGCTGTCACGATAACCTGTGTAGGGAGTCCCGGAATGTTTGCAATGTTTCCAAAATGTACCCGTTTTGTCTTTTTCTTGGTAGTTGTCGATTGCGTGAGATCTGAGGAAGCCTTCTTCTTGAGGTGATTGGACGAAGACGGGGTGGAAATTTCCATCGGAAGTGATTGTTTGAAGTCTGTAATTACCTTTGACGTTTTCTCGGTGCAGTCCTTTTTCGCCATGCTCATAGACTGAACATAGAGCCAAATTGGAGGCTCGCATGGCAGCCTGGAAACAATCAGTGATCATCTCTCAAAAATCAACAACACACCCACCTGTTGTCAATAGTGGCCCCATGGCAGGATATGGCAAGATCAAGACGAACTTCTGTTTGCACCTCGGCCTCGAGGCATAATTTGGCGTAATGTCCGCGATGCGCAGAGTCGTCACAGCACCAAGCGCTGCACAGCGCTTCGTGAAGTTTCAGAGATGAATTTTGTATGGATTGAAAGCGTGCTGGTAAAGGTTTGTGCCGTACAGATGTGCCTGTGGTAGACGTGTTTTGTTGCTGAAAAGTACCAATCTGCGATCGAAGCGCGCTGAGGTCGCCATTCCTGTCTCGCAGACTTACCAAGGACTTTTCATATTTAGACTTGTCAAAGACAATCTTGATGGCTCCGCGTAGACGTTTAATGGTTGATCTGATCGATTCGCCCTGTGATGAATTGTGAGCGTGGAGCGGCGGCCTCTAGCGCGGTGCACGAACCGATTGCTTCCGTTCAAACAAGACATCGAACTTCTTCATCTCTTCTTTCATCCCTCCAACCGTGTCTTTCGTCTCTTCAACTATATCACAACATAGCTGAAAGCTATCCTTGAGTACCACGTTCAGTCTGTCATTGAGTTCCTTGCTTGTCCAACGTTGATCTGCTTCGTCCTCCAGCATGTTCTCTGCCCCCTTCTCATCCTCGACCAGACGTAGCAATAAGCGGCATTCATTCAAAAAGACTCCATTGCAGACTCTCATTCGACGAGCAATGAGCTTGACCTCTTCTGAGTAATGGCGGAACGTATGGAAGCTGTCCAACGCTGTCGAATATGCTTTCACGGCTTCGACGAGAATTGGCACTAAAGACGTGGTTACGATTAATAAATATCTCAGATGGTATTTGTACCGGGATCTTGCTTACACACGCCAAAAACGAGACCAGCAACCTCCAACCCAGACATGATGTGGAGAATACGATCCTAGGTTGATGCCCATCAGGCTGTCTATATACGAGGTGCGGCTGAGGATGAGAGGAAGCCTGGTGTCAACCCCATGCACAGCCCCACATGTCGGTAGGCTCAGCCCCCAACTCATATCCCACAACATCCTCCATAGCGCCTGCATTCCCATACATATGAAATACGGTATCAACCTCTTCTCTCGATCCTGCTATTTATTAAGCAGCTCCTCACGTCCTACAGCGCAGAGTTGGCTACAAACCTTTGGTGAAAGCTATTTAGAACGGGAGACAATCACACGACAATGAGTACAGCTTCATCCTCAGCCTCGCTTCTGGGTAGTGAACACAAAATCCAGCAATGGCAAGAGAATGCATCGAGAGAGATCGAAGACGAGGCAGGGATTGTCGCGCGACTTTTACGGGCTTGTCTGGATTCGTTGTCTTGTCTTATCCAGACTTTGAAGTCCAGTTCAACACCAAAACACGACCAGCACATTCTTCGGCGGTGTCATTGTATACTGAAGCTTTGGGCAGACGGTCATGGGGTATGGGTCGGGAGGTTGGATGGAATCTTGAAGCGGTCCAGAAACCTTCAGCGTACCACGCTATCCATCATCAACCCAATGTGCAAGATTTTGCTACAAGGTATGTGATTGGATAAGCCAGAGTTGTCTTTAACTAAAGGCCAATAGCACTCGATAAACATGTTCCATCTCGAGATGATGATACCGTCATTGCACATTTGAAAGTCACCACTGCACAAATCCACGACCAAACTAAGTGGCTCTTAGCGGGTGACGAGGGTACAAGTGATGGTGATGACGACAGCGATAGCGACAGCGACTCGGAAACGTTGGGAGATGAAGTCGGGTCCAATGCGTTTACAAGACTTGTGGAAAACATCAAGACATACACAGACTGCTTGGTGGATCTCAGTCCTGCTCTTGAATGTCCGGCTATCGATCCTGAGCATGATGACGAGCCCAGTGTTTTACGTGTAGAGCAACGAGCGGCGCACGAATATCATGCCGAACTCATCCTGGCCAAGTATCCGAACGCAAGCTTTGAAATGGTAGACTGCTTGGGAAAGACCAGCTGGGCTCGCTATCAGCGTATGCAACAAGAACGAGAACACAATGTCCACGCATATGATTACGAACAAAGGTCACGCATCGCTGATTCAAAGTCTAAATTCCAGGACTCTGGCCTTGGTACCTCGATTCCGCCCGCAAATTCGGCATATGCGGAGACAGTGATCTCTTTTATGACGGGCGTGACTGGAGGGAAGAGAGTTCAGATTCCATCACTTCCAGCAGAAGCAAAAAACGGGTCGCCATTTGAGTGCCATGCCTGCGGGAGGCGCATACGAGCGACAACAAACAGAGAGTGGAGGTAAGTCAGTCTGTCAGCGTTGATTATACATACTCAATCCTTGCAGGAAGCATCTATATCTCGACCTCCAGCCTTATTCGTGTTTCTACACCAGCTGTTCCTTCAGAGCAACACCCTTCGCCAACCATCAGTTATGGAGTGATCATCTTGAGCTGGACCACAAGCTTGGACCTGACTGGAATAGCGTTGAATGTCCTTTATGCCTCGAAACGACGAAGAACGGAAAGAGCGCTCTCCTCGTTCACTTTGCTAGACACATGGAAGATATCGCTCTTGCCGCTCTACCACGTGAAGTTGAGTCGGATGCTGAGTCTGAGGGTGATTACACATACAAATCTCAAAGCGAAGTCGATCTAACGCAGCCACCCGCCCACAACACAGTCCAGTCATTAAAGCTAGACAACGCGAAAAATGTTGAGTGGACCCCTGCGATCCGCGATTACGTTCGACGTGCAACTGATCCTGCCAACGCCGTCCCTGGCATCGCAGGCTCCGAAGTGCAGACGATGGCAGAATATATCACTCGTGTACAGACTCAAGATGTTGACTGGTCTACATACCCACTACCACAGGAGCTTTTGCAGGAGGGGCGAAGAAAATCCGTTATCGCTAACACCTTCTCGGATAGACAGCCACCCTCCCAAGCGGACTGGGTGCTCACTCGGGAGATGGGTCCAACTCTCTTCGAAACCGCACAGCACGTGAGTGAGGGATCACTCAACTCGGATTCCGGATGTGAGGACAGAGAAGAGATTGAGGGACAGTCGCCAATCACAAGGTCGGCTCGTCAAACTCAGTCAGCACTTTCTAGTGCCTTGCAAATGGAACCAGACGAGGTGGATTTCACGCCACGGCCATATATCCAACACACATCAGAAAACCGAGTTGCATCTGCACACTATGATGGCCACCCTAACTTCACTTTCGTAACAGAATCCACGCCTGAAGCGTTCAAATCGAAGGAAAACATGACTAAGGTGCGCAAGGCCGCGATGTCGGATTTTTTCAAGGAGAAAACGAAACACAATACCAAAAGCAAAATCGGCAAGGGAAAGAATTCTTCAGTCAAACACCACCACTCAAGTAGCCATGATCAGCACACTCTTCCACACCAGCTTGTCGATGACACCGACTACGCACCGTTGTCTGCCGAAGCCATGGCGGATGAAATGGCTAGTGACCAGGCAACCATAGGAGACTCTGAGATCAAGCCTGGCGTTATCGATATGGATAGTGATGAATTCCCGATCAAATGCATCTGTGGATTCCTAGACGACGACGGCAACACCGTATTGTGCGAGAATTGTGATACTTGGCAACATATCATCTGTTACTACGAATCCGCCCAGCATGTGCCCGACATTCACGACTGCACCGACTGTCAACCGAGACCCATCGACAGAGAGCTGGCTGCCGAAAAGCAACGTCTACAGCGTCGACCATGGCTCAAAACAGCCGAGAAAAGAGACCGATCGGACAAGAGACCCCAGACGTCCCACGACTCTGGCATTTCACTCAACCCAGCAATAGAATTTCAAGTCAAGGCTTTGAAGAACCAAAAACGTGATAATCAGCTCAAGGAAGCTCGTGAAACAGACGAGGATGATGCAATCTGGGATTGCGCTGACTGCGGTAATGGTCCGATGAGCCTTTGGCAGCCCGCATGTCATAACTGTCATGCAAAACGGAGTTCTGCCTCATACATAGAAAGGAGGTGATTATACAAGAGTAATGTTACCCTCTGATAATGAGTTTTACATCCAAAAAGGTTGAGAGTAACAAATATTCATATTTTTTCGTTTTATTGGAATTTATAAACGAGAGGTTTTCGTTATCCCAAGAGGCAAGGCATGGTACATAGCAGGTTTGTTCTCCACTGATGTGTGTTGGCGATTTTAGGATTCGAGTGCGTCAATAAAGACAGTACTATTGATATATATAGCTACTTGTATCAACGCAAGTGTTTAATTCTTCTGTTGCTGTTAATGTTTCTTTGAGCCAGGACATATTGTTGTTCAATATATGGCTTTGTTATATCAAACGATAGAGGCATTCGAGAATCTTCATGATCAGAGTGGTTTTGAGGAAAGAAGACGTTGCCCTCAAGGACAGAGTCAGGTAATTCTCAAGGACTGTAGGCGCCACCTGTAGCGAGTGCATTACGTATCTGGTAGTTTATGGCTCGTGAGAGGTCAAACATGTCGTAGAACGGCGTTCGTATTAGTTTCCGGGGCCTGTATTTCAACATGATCCATCGATCAAGGAAAACTGTCTTCAGATATCCGAGTGGAGGAACACATGAAAGCTGAGCAGATGGTTTAAAAGAGTTAGCGGATACAAACATGCATCAGGGTTTAGAGAAGACGCTGCATGTCTTCGTCCAAAGAAATTTACGTAGTCTCGATAGTGTAAACAGACGCAAGAGAGAGTCCTTTTCGAAGCATTTCCATTATCCTTGGGCATTTTGACACGATGCGTCTCAAGTAAACAAGCTTGTATAACTCGACAGCCTCACTTACCCCTCATCTATGGATTATCCAGTCGTTCGGGAGTAGCAATTTAATGAGTGCTGATGAGCTGTAGCGCATCGCTTCTGTATGTCTCTCTCCGACTAAGAAGAGTCTGGACAGTGATTTGTCTTATATCTACGATGGTGCTCATCGATCAAGACAATAAGGCGGATGATGTGGAGATGGGTCCTGTTGGGCTCTTGTGGGGTCAAAACTATACCCTGTTCAGCACGACGAGGCTGTCCGGCTTATTCTCCGCTAAGCCACAAACTTGCAGATCTTGCTTTGCAAGTGACAAGGAGATCAAGAGGTACCTGCGTTCCCGGACTGTACCGGGATAGGGGTCTTGGGGCTTTACGCCATTGAGGCCGTTGTTGACGGTTGTTGCTGTCGATGTCGTCTTCGGCGTCGAAATGGAAAATAGTGAGGCTTCGCTGATGGTAAAGCGTTTCGGGATACAGCTAGCTCCCCTGCACGGAGACCGATCAAGATAGTAGCAATTTGATGGTCACCTTGGATTGAAATCTAAGTCAAGGACAACTATAGCAGCCAAGGGTGTCTGGATTTGCTTCGAATTAGGCTTTGGACATTTGAGTATGCCAAGGCGCGTAGGCCCTGGCCGGAGATCAGCCACTTCTGAAACGAGTTTAGGCAACTGCCTAAACAGGTATAGGTCTGCTACGAAGGATCATCTGTGTGCAGGGCGAAACATACTCTTGCAGCTGCATTAGATGCTGCCAAAGTGGATAGGGAGTAAGCATTTTGATGGTCATGCTAGGATGATTCTTATATCAGGGCGTTTCTTATGCAGGTGAGCTGACAGCAGTGCTTTTTCTGGGATGTAGACACGATGATCGCAACTTCCTGTGACCAGCTATCACTTGCATTCTCCCCACATCTTGTCTGCTGCCTCCACACTGTTTCGCCCCAACTCTAGTTCCACGTTTTTTGACATGACGCCAGCACTCCTCTGGGATGACGCTCTGGACTTTGGGCGGCTAGTCGCTGCTCAATACCCTACATCAAGACGCGGCAACTCTCCCACAATCGCCGAATTCCACGCTGCAGCATATTCGCGGGAAGGCGATCTCGTTCAAGATGTCGTGCAGCATTTACGGATATCCGGATGCTGTCTGGTTCGACGGATGTGCTCTGAAGGAACGCTGAACGCAATGGAAGAAGAGATTCGACCATACATTGCCGCAACACGCAAGGCTGAGACCAAGCAAGACGCGATTAATCTTCCGTCGATAGAAACAGTAACTGGCCTCCTAAGCAAGTCTCGCACCTATGCTTCGTCAGTGGCGGGTAACAAGGTCTGGCATGGTATCTGCGAGTACTTTCTGGCGAGCCAACCAACAAAGTCCCGGGTATGTTAGCTACATGCGGTTTCAAGTATGAATACTGACATGTTTTGAAGCAAGGAGAAGAAACTCATAGTAGCGCAAGTCCTCCAGAGTTGAGTTCCACAATGGCCTTCTCTGCCGGACCGGGGACCAGAGCACAAGATGTTCATCGAGGCGACAACACACACCACGTGCAACGTCCCGCAGCGCAGAGATACGTTCTAGGTCGAGACACAACGCTCAGTCTCTCGGTTGCGGGAACACCTTGCACAAAGCAGAATGGCGCAATACGCATTATACCCGGCAGTCATCTATGGGATTACACTATCGCACCACTCTCCTATACTGACTTTCCAGAACAATTTGCTCACGCAGAAATGATGCCTGGAGATGCGTTGTTCCTGCTCGGTAGTGTTTACCATGGCGCGGGATCGAATACGACAACACATGAGGAACAGCTCGTCTATGCGTCTTTTGCAACGAGAAGTCATCTGAGACAAGAAGAGAGTCATATTAACGAACGGCTTGGAGAATACAGAGGGGCTGACGCTAAGAGTTCAATGGGTTGCGGGATTCAAGACATGTAAGCAGTACATAGACTGAGTAATCATGCAATCAGTCGTTGTATGTTGAAGAAATATAATCATCTACTCTAACGCATATATCATAAACATGCCCTTGTCACTGGGCGTACTAAAGTTCAAACATCTACTGCAGGATCTTCTTCAGAATCTCCACTTGCTCAAGAACGGCGCTCTTGCTCGTACCGCCGGTTGCGTTCTTCAACTCCACCGCACGTTCGTAGTCCAAGCATTCGACAACATCGTCGCCTAGCCTCGAATCGATGCCCTTCAGTTGCTCCAGGCTCAGCTTGTCCATGGGCACGTCATTGTCTTCCGCCAATGCGACCACACGACCTGAGATGTGGTGTCCCTCACGGAATGGCACGCCTTTCCTGACGAGGTAGTCTGCGAACTCTGTGGCCAGCATCTCTGGGGCAAGCGCAGCGTGCATCTTCGCTGCATTGATGTTGAGGGTGGACAGAACGCCGGTAGCGATCTGAATGGAGTCGCTGACGGTCTTGATGTGATCGATGAGCGGCTCGACAGATTCCTGAAGATCTTTGTTGTAGGTAGTGGGCAGGCCCTTAATTGTGACATACAAGCCAGCCATGTGCCCGAAGGCGCGTCCACTCTTTCCCCTGATCAGCTCCAAGGAGTCGGCGTTCTTCTTTTGCGGCATAAGCGAGCTTCCTGTTGAGTATGCGTCTGCGAGGCGGACAAAGCCAAATTCCAGACTCGAGTAGATGATCAAATCCTCAGCCCATCGAGACATCTTAAGCATGAAGCTGGAACCCCATTGCATGGTCTCGAATACAAAGTCTCGGTCGCCAACGGCATTGAGAGAGTTTGTGAGCAGCCCTTCGAAGCCGAGCTCTTTCGCCATAGCGTGGCGGTCGATGTTGAAAGGGTTGCCGGCGAGTGCGCCGCAGCCGAGTGGGGAGCGGTTGACGCGCTTGATGACCTCTCGAAGGCGCTCGAGTTCGGAGGCAAAGGCGGTAGCGTGTGAAAGGATCCAGTGTGACCAGCGGACTGGCTGGGCCTTCTGCAGATGTGTGTAGCCGGGCATCTAAGTGCTCATTAGCATGTGTGCCTGCGATGTGGACACGAGTACCATACTAATACGTCAATCTCGGCCTCCGCGCGCTGAACTGAAGTCTTGATCAAGAGCTTGAGATAACCCTCTAGCGTCCTCAGCTGCTCCCTCAACCAAAGTCGCATATCTGTCGCGACCTGCTCGTTCCTGCTGCGTCCTGTGTGCAGTTTCCCGCCAATGTCCTTGCCAATGATCTCGCTCAACCTCCGCTCGTTCGCCGTGTGAACGTCCTCATCGTTTGCCTTGACTTCGAACGAATTCGACGCCCACTCTTCTTTGATCTGCGCGAAGCCCTTCTCGATAGCAGCAAACTCGTCTTTAGTAAGGATGCTGTTGTTGAGGTTGGCACGCGCAAAAGCGATGGAGCCAGCAATATCTTCCGCGTAGAAGAGACGGTCGTAGGGTAATGAGGCATTGTACTGCTCCATGACAGGATCAAGGCCCTCTGCGCAATTATCAGTATACGACTTCTTTCGCACAAAAACCTGTGGATTCGTGCAGCCATTGCTGAAATGTTACCTGTAAACCGCCCTCCCCATAGCATGTTCTCCGCGACTTTCTTTTCCGAGGCCATGTTGAGTTATCTAAGCAAGTAAAGAGGGATAGGTTTATCGAGATTGTGACTGTTTTTCTGAAAGTTATTATGACGCTCCGCAAAGCGGCGACAGGGATTCCCCCACATTTAGCGTCCGCGTACCGTGTGAAGCGAGTGGTTCAGCGAGTGATAAGATTTTCACTGCCACCCTGCGCCACTCTTCTTGTCCAATCGCTGCTTGCCGCTTCGCTTTCTCCAGCAGAATATGGCAACCCCACCTGGATACCTCAAACCGCAACGCTTAAGTTTCTCTCGCAAAAGAGGTGCGACGAAAACATTGACCAGTAGAGATTCAACATTTGGACAAGCTTCTAGTTGAGGACCTTACATGTAGCGCTACGTGTCGTCGAGTAGCTAGGTAAATCTCAAACATCGATTGCATAATGTCTTGAAACTATTCAAGCACATTTACGAGGAAGTGTTTACTTCCCATAGCCGTACTGAAAGTCTCATAATAAACGTCAATAGATTAGCTGGACACAGTAGTCAAGTACACATAACGTCAAGTACGCATTGGGAAACACAAATTGAAGACGATTGGATACATGATAACGCGAGGAGACTGGGAGTACACAAGACGTACTAACACTGTAACTCAGCCATCTCCAATCCCAGAGTCACACACTGAGATGGCAAACCCAACGTTGTAACTCGCACAACGCTTGCCTTACATACCACCGCCTTAACAACAAACAACAAACACAGTGAAACCAGCAAACAAAGCACCCTTCACTAATCTACTCATGGAAAAGACTCATTCCTCCCATACACTGCCACCCTATACCTACTCAACCCCAACCAACAATCACCACCACTCCAAACACACATTCTTACCCAAAAACTGATCATGTGCAAACTATCCAGCATGGTAGAATGGCAGTGTCCAAAATGCAATCACATAAACCAAGGAAACGGAGAGAAGTGCGTTGCATGTGGTCAGTAGCCTGCTTCACAGGATACCCCCAACGACACATCAAGCAGTGAAGTGAGTACGTCTATCAAGGGAGGGAAGGGGGAGAGGTACAAAAATACCCCAACATCCGCTTCTCTGTTCTGCACGGCCTTCTCGAGAACTACGACTACAACTACAACTACGACTACCACCAAGAACGCTAAAAGGTAGTTACTCTGCCGTCCTGCTATGCACATGAAATGGTATGCTAACCGCACTCTAGCAACACCTAGTACAAAACCCCTTCCAAACCCAACCCACAGACACGATGCCCGGCACCGAAGGATGGAAATGCCCATACTGCGAGATGATGAACCTGCACAGCGGCGACAAGTGCACTACATGCGGGCGCTGAGACAAAGCGAGAGTTGGTCTTTAGCTTGATTAGGATAGAGGAGTGAGGAGTTGGCAAATCCCATAATTCATCTTGTGACACCCCAATCCTTGAGTGATAGCCTATGCATGCGTGAACAACCTGACGTTGAACTCCCACCCATAAATGTATCAGATGCTCTCTGGTCTGCCCTCGACGTTCCAGTTCTATCACCGCTCATCGGGCGTTTCTCCGGATGCAGCGTTTCCCTACTTTATGCCTCCCAGCCCAGAAGTGTGACTACGAGGGCCTACATCTACCTTCTCAAATCGATTGGTTTTGTACATCAAGGCAAACGCATTGTTAAGAGTGAACAGAAGTGTCAAGTGGATTCAATAGCTTTATGACTGGAGAAGAATAGAGCGCTTTGAACGCTGTATTGTTACGGCCGTCCAAAATGGAATACCTTATACATACTCTCCATGTAACATATAACGTCCAAGGACATCCAACCACAAAAACGCCGTTTGGTGCATTACGCTTTGAATTTAAATTCTCGCTTCTCAACTCCGTCGCTATGCCCGATCATCCCAGATGCAATCTTGAAATCTATGGTCATTACCAGGTGTCTATCATCACATGCTTTTCTAGTTCAACCTGACACGTTTGCCCGTCGGCTCCGCATCTGGAACTTGTCCAACAACCTTGGTCGGCGCCCAGTTGTGCTTCTCCCCACTTAATCGGTGCGACTCGTCAGGCTTCTGCCCATCTTTAGACATGATTGGCGAGGAAGGTGTTTGCTTCAGTTGCCAGGGCGCTGTAATCGAAAACGAGAACACTTCTCGATCAGACCTACGAGCTCCCACTTGTTGGGTCTGTCGTGTCCGATCGTCCTCCGGTTCGCTGCGTGCTGCGTTGAGTTGACTGGATGTGTTGTTTGAGCTAGCCTTGTCTGCACTGCCGTCTTTGTTACCGTCTGCTTTGTTCTTGTTCTCGTCTTCCTCCTCAACCTCTTCGGTGTAGCTCCACATCAAGCTCAACTCGCCACGAGCTAGAGCAGTGAGCCACAAGCTACCAAGAACGCCTGGAACGAGATACAACAGTGCAGGTTGTGCGTGGTTCCACACCATCATGACACCCAGCGTGGCCAAAAGACCCGCCACATAGCCTACAAGACTGGCTTTGAAGTATGTTTTTGGAAAAGTGAAGGGAGTTTCAAGCTTTGCCTGCTCTTTTGGAGCTATCCACAACGGCCGACCAGTGAGCGAGTGTGTCCAGAAATAATCAGTCCAACGCCCTGCAAGGGAAAAGTATTGTGGTTTCTCGACAGTGTCCACTTCGCTAGTTGTCATAGCGGGTACGCGTTTCTGCCGGCGCAGGTAGAAGAGGTAGAGGTCGAACCGTAATGCGAGGCCGATCATGATACCGGGGAGAACGACGTCGCCTAGGCCAAGCATCGCGTGCGAAGGAGGCGCTGAAGGGCTATCGGCTGGCCCAGGGCGAGGAAACATGAGCTTGATAGGGACATCGAGAGACTTTGCTACTGTGACCATCATAGGCCTGTAGTAGGGTTGTCAGTGAGTTTGTCATAAACCACGGAGCAGACACGAAGACTTACGTGTAGAAGACGAAGTAAATGTCGTAGAAGAAGAGCGCACTAAGTATCATGCTACCTGTGGTAAACGTCGTCGGCGACATGAGTTGCAGAGCGCCGTACGAAAAGCCAAAGCCCAGCAGGTTCGTCAGGTACCACGGCTTGTCCACCAAATTGAAGTAGAGCACGGTACTCAGGCCGATGAGAACGCCAACGATGCCATGGGGCCCAACTTTGAACTTGTCAGCGCCCATGCGATGGAGATAGACTCTGAGCGTCCACTTGTTGCCAGGCATTGCGCGGTCATTCCACAGAAACTGTCTCGCGCCAGCGGACAGAGGTATCCTGGCCAAGAAGCCCGGGAAAGGCGAGAGTATAGGCTGCTTGTCTTTGGTGTCGCCTGCTACTGGCAACGCCTTTTCTTCCTTGTCATCGATGTGGTACAGGGCGCCATTCAAGGCGTAGCGTTGTGGGAAGATGATCGAGTGGCCGGCGTCGAGAGCGTCTGTGATTAGCCGCGACACGGAGAAGACGCCGAAGATGGCGAAGTAAGCGTTGAGTATCTTGTTCAGCAGCGCAGGGTCTTTCATCCACTTGAGCAGAAAATACAGCGACGCAAGGGCCGTGCCTGCGAACAGAGGCATGAGCAGCGCGTCTTTTGGCGACAGCCCCTCCATGACGTGTTGTTCCGGCTCATCGTCGTCGTCATCGTCGTCGTGTGCAGTCAAGCCATCAGTCGTGCGCTTCTTCTTTGTGGGCTTAGCCGCAGACGACGGCCGCGAGAGCGAGGCATGCGCGCCTGCGTAGATGGGAAAGAGGGCTGAGACGATCAGGTGCAGGTACGTGGGCAGCATGCTGGAGGAACGCAGCGTCGAGAACTCGTAAGCGGCGCGCCCAAGAAGCTGGGCGACGAGGCCCGGCTCAGCTTCTGCCATGGTGGGAGCTTTGTCGTGCGTGCCTCGATGTTGTAGAGTGGGGTGAAGAGAGGCGTTCAGCAGCTGCGGTAACGGGGACCGAGCCGTGGAGCTGTCGACGTTTCGAGTAAGACGATCGAAACGCGACGAAGACACACGCGAAGGAATGCTAAGCGATCAGGCATCCATAACGCACACACACCTCCACGAATATCAACTCCGGCAACGCAAGAAGGGCCTTGCGCGAGAACCGTGTTGGTGGTGCTCGTCGACGCCAACTAAGCAAACATGGCGCACCAGCCAGCCCTGTGATCGACGCTGCAGTCCGAATATGCGGGGACGGGACCTTGCATAACATCATGTTCGTAGTTTGAAACCTTGTACTACACGTCACACGTTACGTTGAGGCCGCTCTCGTGGATGACTGCAGGGAGCAAACTCGATACTGAAATTGTTGCATTGTGAAGTCTCCAAATGTGCGCTGGTCAAACCACCTGCCAACCTTTACTTCAATCCACCCACTCGCCCAATATATATATACAATCTCCCAGGTTCAATGTCGCTGAAAGAACGGCATCGTGTGCATCGTACGCTCGTCATGTGTAAGAGGATATCTGAACAGCAAAAGAAACTCCAGTAGTAAAGAAACAGCAGTCGCTGTTGCTGGCAAGCAGGCCAGTCTAGGTGTATCATGATCCTATCCCAAACCGATTACAAGGTGTAATTCACAAACAAGAACATAAGAAATATGTGAAGAACAAGCGAACAAGGCGACGACAGCGTGGCAAGGCCAGCTGACCACAACACATCAGCCTGGATATAAGAACACCGGAGAACAAACGCTGGTAAGACAAATGACAATAGGAAACTTAGTGTAGTACTTCGGATTGCGAGACGCTGATCAGCAGGGTGTTGTGACCCTGCTAGGGAAGGTAAAATCTCTCAACATGTCGAATGATGTACCGTCGACGCATACGCGGTGCTGCGACTCAACAAACACGTTGTGGACGTTTGAAAAAGCAGTCCCTTCGAATGGCGATATGGCAGTGAGAAATTGGCCTTTGTGATGTGGAGGGGTGAGAGCGGCGATGATACGGTCTTTCATATGCGGTGCAATGGAGATTGGTCGCTTTTTGTAGTCGAAATAGGATGCATTGGACGTTGATGAGGTGAAAGACGGCGCTGATGACGATGTGAGCTGTGGGTGCGATGAAGGAGATGAGGAGTAGCTGTCGTCATCCTCATGTAGTGGTGAGTATGGCTCGGTAGAGGGACCTTGCCGAGTGGATACATCAGGTGTGATGAAGCCCTTGAGCTCCAGCATCGGTGTTGACGTGAAAAGAAACGTACGGTTGTTGGAGCTCTGGTAGTACTTCAAAATAGAAGGCGTAGAGCTGGCACTCGTCTTGGACATGGCATCTCTTGTAAATGGCTCGCTGTCTGGCAAGGGAAGCACCGCATCATCAACCTCCTCATCAACCTCCTCATCACCAGTTGAACTCCAAGCTGAGAAGGCGCTTCGCATCGGTGGTCGAACAGCGGGTATCTCGATGACTGTGGGTGCCTCTGTTGTTCTTCGTGTATTTATGGTTGGTGATGGTGGAGGAGAGCGTCGTTGGAAAGAAAAGTCCGGACACGAGTGGGACGAAACCGGCCAGACAGGCGAGGTAGATTCTTGGGTGGGTTTGTAGGTTGGTATGGATTTCAACTGAGTTTTGATGAACTGGGCAAGGTTGGCAGAGTAGTCCCCAAGCGAGTTTACGGAAGAAGAATCGATCGAGAGATGGTCGTCGTTAGGCGTTGGAACTACAGTCGAATCGCTCCGATCTGTTGTATCAGACGGTACTCTGTTGTGGAAGCTTCTGCCAACCTCTGATGGTAATGGCGATGTTTCCTCTTGAACATCTTCCGACCTTGCAAAGCCATCAAGGTACTTCATATGGTCGCGTGGATCGAAGACGGTTACAGCTTCGTCATGGACCGACCGATTGCGTGGGTTACGTCGACTACGAAGAGCTGCCCTGCCCTCGGCCAGCATCAGTTCTGCCTCCACGGTTGAACATCCCAACGCCTGAATAACGTTAGGTAACGAGTTGCTCCTCTTCCGGTTTGGTCCAGGTCGCAGGCTCGTTGCCCTTGTCGATGGCGACGAAGTCTGATTTTCCATTTTGTGATAATCCGGATGTAGCGGATTCAAAGGTCAAATACCATCTCCCAATAAGCCGCGGTACGATGATACTGGAGCGAGGATAGATTCGAGCGTGTGGGACGGTCAAGAGACAAATCAACAGGCTACCAGAGGTGCTGATGTCTTGGAAAGAGAGAAGAGAGAATAGATGCCGTCCGAAGGAAATGGTTGTTGCTTAGAATAGACGAAAACAGGCCTCCAAAAGCGGATCGGCGAGGGCTGATATGGGTAGAATATTTCGTTTTTTAGCTCGCAAGGAGGTTAGCCCACTAGAAATGGAGCGGCCGACCAAGCCGGAAGCGTAGGATGCGACGGGCACATGACGTTGACAAGTCTTCCATTACAAGCATGGGCAGTCTTCTGCGCCTTGAATTTATTGCGCGAACTGCTTATGCATCCCTGTCGGGTCCGCCACAGCAGCGGGATCGCTAGTGTTTCGAGCTCACGAGCCAATAGGACGCCAGAGGACGACTCGAGCTTTCCTCCGATGCCTAGCAAAGCCGGTCTTGCCATCCCATATTGCCATTGCCATGAGCCCATTTTCTTCGCCATATTGCGCTACGGTTATCCTATCATGTAGCGTTCGTCGGCGAAATAGCATCGCCCCATCTGCCCGGACCACAGTGCCCTACCTAATTGCCCGCCCAAGGCCGTGTGCTGCGTCGTGTGTCCACCGTGTGACTGTCTCAGCAAGCGAAGCGAGAGGAGAACGATCAGCAAGATCCACCTTATCCATGCCTCCATTCAAGCGTCTGTGTTTCTCGAGTGCCCGATCAGCCCTGTCACAATCGCTGTCAATGACGTTCCGCTAGACTAGCATGTAGACGATTCTCTCTGAGTGGACCGTGACCAACACAACTAAGATTGAGATGAGTTGATCAGCGCTTGTGCATGCATCGTAGACACCGTCCGCGGTAACACAAAAGAGCCACCTGCCGCAAAAGCAAGGGGATCTCGCGATGAGATGTCGATCGCATACTGCCGCTGGACTGTGCAAAACTAAATGGCTACAGCAAGAGCGAAACCTCGACGCAAACTGTATACACTGCTTCTGCCTCCAAGCATGCGGCCAACATGTGCATCGGTCCGAAGGGATGGAAACGAGGCGACGATCAACGCTGCGGCTGGGCCGCGAAATCTGGAGAAAACGTTGCCAAATCTTAGATGAATTAAACTCTTGACCTCGACGCTAAGACACCTCAGAAACCCGTTGCATCCCGAATCAGGGAGAGGACGAATCTTGAAAGGTTCGCGGCGTGTTGGCCTTTTTGGGACGCTGCAGGTTTGACTCGAACTCCGAACACCAAGCCTCGCAAGCTGCACCTCAGCCACAGAGCTGTCAGCAACCATGTCGTGACGGGAGTCAGGCCACTTCGTTTGGCCGTGCCCTAGCAACCACCATTGTCTCGATGTTGACATCGTACGGTCGGACCCCTTCAGAGCCGCATTTCCGATCCTGCTTGAGCCATGCATGAAGGTCCTGGAACGCGACGACCACGAGCAACCAACACCGGTCAAACAAGGATAACATCATGGGCAAAACATTGAAATATGGGTACAAACATCCACTATACACACAGTACACGACGCTCTCCCTGACACATGAAACGAACTCGCAAATTGCACGCCAAGCTGCGGCTATCGCAGTGTATGCCGCAATTGGAAGCGTCGCCCAAAGCATCGTGTGTGGATCATTTCGGCGGTTGCATTGCACCTTGCCGAGATGCCTCACGTTGTTGCTTCCACCTACCCCTCTCTACTCCACGTGCTTTTTAGACTTTGAAGGCAGCAGCGTCGCTTAGTTTCAACGTCCATGCCACGCACAAACACCACACCCCTGCTGCTATCGCTATTACTCACAACAGCTTTTTATTGACTCGGCGAAACCCTCGCCCTTTCGGCTTCTCTATACCTTTACCGACCGTCCCTGCAATGCGCCCGACTGCTTCAACATAGAGCACTTGAGCTCTGGCCTCTCCTTTTGCGCCCAGTCTCTCCTTAGAATTCCAATGTCTCTTGGAGTATACGTTGCTGGGGTTACGATGCTCTCGATTTTGCCAGTACTTTTCCTACTTGCTCGATATGTGGCAAAGCGGATGAGACGTCAGCCGTGGACAATAGATGATACTCTGCTGATTTTTTCCTTGGTACAACCACAATTATTGTATTGACTCCACTTCCTGACAAAACGAGCAGATCTTCATGTACTTTGTCGTGGCAGGGTTGATCATATGCAAGCGCTTTTTCCTTACCCACACTTGTCCAACAACTGACGAAGCGAAGCGGTGGCCGAAGGGCATGTCGGTCAACACATGCCTACCAAAAGCACAGATGAGCTATACATAGCGCTCTTAGTAAGCAGCCCGCTTTCTTGCATGTTCCGGATACTGATTTGGGCAGGTATTGTGGTGGTTTAGAATTCCTATGGGCCTCAGCATGCTTACAACTCGATGCGCAATCTCGACCTTCTTCATCCGAACCTTGTACACTCGAATGTTTCCTTGGCTGAGACGCATTGGTACATACCATCACAAAACTTTATTTTCCTATTCTGTCAGACGGCCTTGTTGATAGATCTCACAGCGTACTGTTGCATCTACCTGGCCATCGCTCTATGCATTACTGTAGTCTTCGGGATACTGCTACATTGCCGGCCAGTAAAGTGGAATTGGACGCCGCCATTTGAAAATTCGGGACGTTGTTTCAAATTCAGACCGTTCATCATCACGATAGCCGCTGTTGGCGTCGCCATAGACTGTGTTACTTGGATGCTACCTCATTGGGTAGTGTGGAACCTACAGCTCCGCCCAGCTCACAAGGTTGCGATCACAGCTATTTTCGCTCTCGGTACACTGTGCGATAATTTGCGCATTGACGCTCATGTCGGCATTTGTTGACAGGGATACAGTAACGTTGTCATGGGGGGGTTTCGACTCTACCTTCTTGATACAGCAGCTTACGAAAACGACGTAACTTACGGTATAAGTATCACATTGATGTGGGCGCTTGCACATACGAGTACCGCCATTGTTGTCGCCTGTTGCCCACAACTACGGCCCGTCTTTGAAAAGTTCGTTCCGAAGAAGCTTACGCGTATCGTCATACGAAGACCACATCTTCTTCAAGCCAGGGGAAATCCAATCAGGGTCACAATAAGGATCGATATTCACGATAACTTCTGTGAAGTGTCAGAGCCAGCGTCCTTCCATGACGGACACCAGGAACCTTGGGCCCCGACTTTTGAAGTCGAGCGGGGGCCAGCTACTGATGTACAGGACACAATATTCTGTTGTGGATGTCTGACTAGAAGACCCTGTTGCGTATGATACAGCGAGGCGAAGTGCTGTTTGGGACGCCGACTTCACTTTGTGGTGGGCTGATCTCTCCTTTTGGGTATATTCCTTCGAGTTTCAGTGGACCTAACCTGATTGTGTATCGGAATACTCCCCGTTTTCACATCATGTCACTTAATACGTCCTTGAAGAAAAACAAGACCATGACAAGTGAGGCACTGTTGCTCGAAGTTCACTGATCTTGGGTTATTACGAAGCTAGACCATCCTGTAGCTATTAACTGTGAAACATTCTTCCCACTCGGCACTGCTATCTCTTTGAACTCTCTCACGAATGCTCTTTTTACATCCAAACCTAGCTGACCTCTACTGTTATCACCGGCTACAAAAAGAACTTGCTTTCCAGACTCTTGTAATCGTGCGGTAACCAGGATATGTCCAGATCCTACCGCGACATCATACACAATCGCTTCCTGGCCATCGATCCGAACAGTCAGGCACTTTACAAACTCATCTTGCTCATCTTCGACACTAATACCCGTGCTCCTCAAATCTTGGGCGCCGCCATGTATGCTTTGGACAGTGGTCTCTTTCAGCACGGCAAGTTCCTCAGTTGACCCAGGACAAGCCTGGCCCCATAGGAACAGTTCACCATCCATGCTCACTGCTGCAGTCATATAACCCCCCGACGCGATCTTACGGATTCGCGTCTCAGAGAGATAAGGCACGGGCTCGAAGTTATCACTAGCTTCGAAGGGCCGAGCGAGACACTTTGGATACCGCGGATCTCTTGTACATGTGTAAACCTTATCGGCTTCACACAAGGCCGTGGTTGTCGTAGCGTTCAAACACCACTCTGTCGGGTCGAAGGATGAGAGTATGGGACATGACGGGACGTTGTTGGATGTCAGGTTGTGGCGCAATTCTGACAGGCCGTTCATGCACATGATTGCTTTTGTACCGGTAGGATTCCTTTTCACACTGACGAAGACGTCACCAGCACTGGCGACCTTGATGTCGAGGATCTCGTACTCGTTACCGATGGAGTGGGATTGCACTTCCGGTACTCCGAGTTCAACACTTGAGCTACTGAAGATCGTGACTTTACTTCTCTCTCTTTCGGAAATTACAACCCCGAGCAGCCCTTCGTGCATGGTGCTGCCAAAGAATTTGACCGATGCTTCATCTCTGTTGATTGCATCATTGATTACTCGGGATTGGGTGAGGTGGCCTTTTTGCGTTGCCGTTAGGCTTGTCCCTCTGTACTCGATGACCCAGGTGTTTGCGTCGTCTTGATGTGCGATCACTGCATCACACCACGACGACCAGAGAACTTTAACAGCTTTGGCAGTGAGACTTGGTGTTGATAAGTCGAGTGCTGTCGCGGAGTGGCATGGTGAGTGTGCGTCGAAGCCTAACGTGTAGAGGTCCATGCTTCGCGACACGAGCGTGAAAGGGACCGGAGCTTAGGAAAAGGCGATATACTCTCGCATTCTCGCACTCGTGGTGAGAATCCAGTCAGGCGTCGCTGCCAAATATGGATCGGCAGTTGACGGGACGGACACGCCGAGCCGCCGCCCCTTCAAGTTTCGTCGATCTCCTTTACGGCACTCAGTTCATCAGACGTGCATATCTGCCAGAACACGAGCGCAAGCGTCGCGTTCGGCATTGAAACACCGTTGCACCCCTTGAGCCCTTGTTTCGTCTGGGTGCCACGACAGCTCAACACCCGTGACATCACTCGATAAGATGAGAGGCAGGGTTACGAGGAGTAAGCATTGATCTACGCTTGGGATCCTGAGCATCAAAGCATGCACCTGCTACCCGCCGCCTTCAGCCCACGACACCGAATCAGTCCATGCCCGAGAGAACAAAGAAACAGCTGCATCTCCATCCTTGTCAGGGATCTCGATTCAGTGCCACGTCATGCCTAGTCGCTGAAAATAGGAGAACAAAGACCCCTTTGGCACCACCCCGCTGTACGTCGACTGCCACCATGCAGCAAACGAGCCTGTGTTGACCTGTTAGCACGAGTACCCCTCTCTGACTTGTTACGCGTACCCTCAACTGGTCCCTCGGCGGCAAAGCCAAGCGCCTCGATAATCCACGGTGCAATAACGACCAGCACGCCCAGCGCGAGGACAGTGCAAAACACAGGATGTTCGATTACGAAGCCGTCAATGCTACGCGCGACGTCCCAGGCTCGGTGGTACGCGTCGCGCACTGCGGGACCGAGGTTGTCGTGCGCCTTTTCCAGCGCGAGGCTGAGCTTCTGTAGTACCCATTCCGCGAGATTTTGCTTCCACCCGTAGCACCCGACAATAGAATCAAGCTCAGCGTGCAGAGCAGGACCGGCTTTGTTGGCACCGAGGATGGCGTCAATGACGTCGTCTGCAATTTGCGATGCCGTACGCGAGCTGGACGTAGATAGCAAAGCGAGTTTCTCGTCAGGGTATGTGTCGTCCGTGGGCTCGTTGCCTGTGAGACAGGCGATGAGGGCTTGGATGAGAGCTGCCATGTTGGGATATGCAATATTTGCTGTAAGCGAGGAGCATTGGGGTGCATTTGTACGGATAAGAGTTCAGCCTAAGCGCTTGCGGCTCTGCCACACCGGTGAAGATGAAGGTAGGCCAGTGGCATGAAGTAACCACGTCGAACCGTTTTCTGAAACCCCGCACATGCGCTACCGTAGCTGGTCCTCGCTTTGACGACAAGGCTGATTTTGTGAGTGTAATGCATGCTTGCATGAATTCTGTGAGATGCGAAAGGAACCATTCTTCTAGCCTGTATCTCGGTGTCAAGTGCATTTGAACAGCCTCTGCATGCTCTTCCAGGAACTTTCAATCCTAATCGGGCAACCTGCACACACTGAAGGCGTTCAACGCAGCAGGATGCATCTGGCGTACTCTTCATTAGAGATTCTTAGTAAACTCAAATTCGCAGAACACTCGATACAACTATTGGCAAGTAGAACGATAGGTGAATGCGCATTTGGGATGTAGGTATTGTTGTAATTTCCTATACCATTGTCTTCTTCCAGTACTGTGTGTCTCGTTCCTTGTCTAGATCCAGTGCCAAAAGATTACTTCATTTGATTGTTTCATAGCAGGTCAAGCGTGCGGTAGAGAGGCAAGTCCAATTACATTGAGACTCTAGTAGGCTTCACATTTCATCGTGGTTCTTGCACGGTGTTTTGGGCCTCACATGTCCCACGTTATCCAAGGTGAAGGTTTGTTAGAGTCAGACACTGCTATTCAGTTTGCTCTGACTTTTGTCTCCACGAACATCCATCGTCTATGTCTTTGTCTAAATACTTTCACTGTTCCATTATTCAAACCGGTTGCTAGATAGCTCGACGATGGGTAGCACAGTTATTATTATTTTAGGTTTTTAGCTTGTTCATACTTGTTATAGAAGCAGATGGACGCAATACAGTACAAAATAGTAAGAGTACATAATTACAGTAAGAGAGAGACGATCATCAAACCGTCTCTTGACGACTGGCTGCTCAATGTACTGATGCGAGCGCGTGTTCGAGAGCCCAGGCAGCCGTTGGTCGAAGTTTGGTTCAGGTTGTGAGACTTTGGATCGTGAGCCCTGGATCGTGTCGTGAACCTTGGCTGGGTCGAGAAAACTCTTCGATCGACCAGTAATACCCAGCACAATATCACTTTTGTCTTGTGTTCAGCTAATAGCAATCTGGACAATTCAAAGTGTACCAAGTCAGCAGATCTCTCTCTTACCTTGTGGCTTTGCCATCGCTCCAGAACAATGGCCCACATGATCACTTGTTCTGCTGCCTTTACCTGTTCACCAACGTGCTGACCTATATATTCTCATATCTGTGCCTATTTCTCTTCTCCATTCACCACTACCATCCAATCACGACTACAAGACAGGCGGGTTACTGCTCTACGTTGAAGACATCAACTACTTACTACTCTCCTCGTTCTACACGAACGTTTGCTCCGTGTTCGTCAAAATGGGTGGCCACGCTTTCAAGGGCCTTCACTGTCCTCGAATCTCTCCCGACGTCTATGCCAAAGTCAAGACCCAAACCACTACTGCCTTACAGACGATCTTCTCCCATGTCGTGGTGCCCACCGAGATGCCAGAGAAAGAAAACTACGGAGATATCGACTTTCTGGTGTCCGGTGGTTTCCACTCGTCCATCACTGCCGACACCTTCGATTGGCCTAGTACCGTCCACGCAATCAAGACAGCGTTCAACACCATCCATGGACGACGTGGCTTCCTCAATCCTGACTGCATGTACTTTGCGATTGCCGCGCAGGATGAACATGAAGAGTACTTTGTGCAGGTCGACGTCAAGGTATGCTTCAAGCCCGAACTCTTTGAGTGGTACACGTTCGAGTTGAACTACGCGAGCAACAGCAAGATGATCGGAAGTATGGTGAAACCTTTGGGTCTCACCATTGATCCCGAAGGCTTGCACATCCGCGTTGAAGACATCGAAGGAACGAACTTCCCTGGGAGTATGGTGCGAGTCAGCAAGGATCCTAGGGATGTATTGAGGGTCCTCGGCTTGGATCGTAGGATCGTCGATGGAGGCTTCAAGACGAAAAACGAGAGTAAGTTGTTCACTGGTATCAACACTTACAACTCAAGCTGATGTGACATTAGTCTATGAGTACTTCGCCAGCTCCTGGCTCTTCAATCCGGCCCACTTCGCTGCCCGGCTGGCTAAAGAGAAATACAACGACCGACTGGATGATCGCTCTCCTCACTGGACACACTTTATCAGGCAGTGGGTTCCAAAACACTACCCCGACTACAAGTTCCTCGGCAACCCAACACTTGGCGACCGCGATGGAGATGTTGATCAGCAGCAAGACAAGAATCTCCAGCAGTGGTACAAGCAGACTCGGGCTGCAGTCAAGGAAAAAGTGCTCACGATGTTCCCACATGTCGCGGTTACTTACTACACCAAGCGCGCTGCTCATGTCAAAGAGCTTGAGGAGAGAAGACTAAGGAAGCTGATCATAGAGGCACTTCCTACCGGTGCAGATGGCTGGAAGGATGACTTCCCTCGGCCACAAATCATCACCATCAACAACCAGGCAGAACCCGTCACACCGGAGCTCAAGCCGGTTGTCGACGGAGAACTGACACCGCCACTCACACCCACCATACTGAGTGGAAATGCGTTGGACAACACGATCCTTCCTCTCTCAATCTCGTCACTTACTCCTCCGATCGCGTCAACCCAGTCATGGAATGTGCCTCTCTACCTTGAACCTCTCCCACGCTCACCTCCACTGACCTGTACACCCCACCCACCACCTGCTAAGATGTCGTTAGACGCCAAACTTCTCTGCCTCGCACGCTGGACACTCTTCGATCCTGATACGGGAGCTCCTTACCTACTTTCCACACCTCGTGATAAGGACTTCGACATGCATTGGACAGATGCTCGGTATGCGGGTGCTACAGATGACGTCTTGACCAAGTGGGCCAGGGACATGTGGTGGCATGTATGGGTTAGGCAGTCTTATGTCAATTACGTTGGGATGTGGAAGAAGAGGTTTGAGAAGGAGGATAAGAAGGCAGAGAAAGCAAGGGAGGTGGCGGCGGCGGAGAGACAGGCGGAGGAGTTGGTTCGTGCGAATAAGCAGAAGATCTTGAATAGGTTGAGGGCGGTCAATGTAGGCCTGGGTTTAGTGGATGGTGGTGTGGAGACGTCCTGAAGACAGATTGGGTTCTGGTATGGGCGAGCAGACTGCGCAGTCCTTTGCAGATGAACGTGTTGGGAAGTGATGACGGTTCTCATTGGGTTGGAGTTCCGATGAACACACACTGGAGTCTCATGATGGTAAAATCTGGATAGGTTCCTTCTCGATAGAGTCGATCCATTTATCGGTTGATCTATTCACTCAGTTCTTCGTCGCGAATCGAGTCATGATCTTTCCAGCTTCCTCTAAACATATCTAACATTGTAGTATTATCCTGCGTCTTTCATCCTTGAAATTCAATCACCAAGCCGAAAACCTCGATGGGACTTACCCACTGACACCTTCTCGCTCTTGTCAACATGTATGTCACCTCTCCTGCAACATATTGTTAGCATATCTCTCATTATCATGATCGATTGTTCTGCGTGCTGGGCTGCTGATTCCAAACTACTCTGGAGGCTGTAAACCGCACTACATTACCAGTCATACAAGCCGTCGATCCAATTACACACAAGGGTGCGTCTTGCGTCCTGAATATCAGCGTATCTGCAAATCATCCAATGGCTGTTGTTTACTTGGCTTACATAGCGACTGGAACGGTGAACTTCTACCACTACCTCTGATGAATACGCCAGCTGACCAGGCTGAAGGAAAGCTAATCCGTCACTGAATCGGACAATGCTATAGATTTTGGGACTGAAGTGGCGCATTGTGGTAAATTTCTCCACTGAGCCATCATGATGCTGGAATTCAACATTATGTTCAGAATGTGGGAGTTCAAGATTAAGCTGAGGAAGATATAGAAAGATGCAGTGCAAGGGGGTATGATAACAATCACCAAGCAAACGATGAGTAAGAAGGCGTAGATGAACTCTCCAATGCCAGGTCGGAGAGACCTTTTCCAGGAGAAAGGCCCTGATTTTACGTCGTCTCGATCGGCGTTCAGTATGTCGATCATGAGATCAACCTCATGCGGCATGAGGAAGCCCTGTGAGGATTTCGACTTCTCTTTAGCCAGAAAATCGACGAAGCTAACTGCAGAAATAGCCACTCCGCATGTACCAACGCGTTCCACGATGACAAAGCTGCTCGCCTGAACAACTATAAGGACTTATATAGAGGTATTAGCCCAAGAGACGGTTGATCTGCTTTTTGTCACTGTTATTGTGTACTCTTACTGATATTTACTGTGTATAAAGGGGCCGGGTATTAGCTTCTACACTGAGTTACTATACTAGAGTCTTACTGTGTTGCGTCTATCTGCTTGTGCAACAAGCATGAATACGCTAAAAACCCAAAATAATAGAGGTATTAGCGTTGTTATCTAACGTTTCGGGTTAGGCTGTAGAGAGTGCATCCGCGACCTCAATCGTTTTACGTCAACCACCAAATTACGACAAGTTCAGCGGGGTTGTGATCAGATACAGATACCACGAACGGTATGTATATCGAGGTATTAATCTTAACGGAATCGAACTCTCCCAAGTTTTGTGAAGCCGGACCTGACGGTGACCGTGCCATACACTACACAAAATCCATGCAATAACTATCCAGCCTTCACCTCTCGGTGGATGATGCTCATGGATGGCTTGCAGAGCAGGTGTCGAAACTCCATCGTGGGCGAGCCAGGACAAGTACCGATACACCTCAAACTGCCTGGACAGCAGCGCTGGGTCCCTGATAAGATTATTAATGTTAGTGTGCGGATGTTAAACGTCCGGAACAAGTTTGCGGGACCAATTGGGCTTCTTGGACGCGTTCGTACAATGCCCGGCGAATCGGAGTCGTTTGGGATAAGGGGAGCGGTTAATGCAAGCCCATCTCCCTTAAGCTTGCTTGGCTGCAGAATTCTCCACAGAATCAATCTTGATTGCTCAGTGCGTATGCGACGAGATAGGTATACCCTGGCCCACCGCGTTCTCAGGCTACTTTGACCCACGAATCATACATCAATAACGGCTGTTCGCATATAGCATGTGTCCCATGTAAGTGCTCGAAAACACAAGTCAGTAAGATACGTGTCGGCCGGCAGCTGGATCCGGAGAACAACCTGTTGGCAGGAAGTTCCTGCCCAGGCATATCCCCAATGACCTAGGAGATAGCGGGGAAACCCACGTGTCGGCAGCCGAGTAAAGTTGTTGGTAGCTGACAGGGCAGGGCAACCCTACGAAGATCACAAACCGTAGCTATTCTAATGTTCAGGTCAGCTTTTGTCATCCAGTAGTTATCTTGTTTTCTATGCTACCATTCAACAACCAGCCGATTTCTCGTCATATTGAATATCTCTGTAGTTTGAAAGAGCTCAAAGATCTCATTAAAACCAATAGTATCCAAGCACTAATGGTGGGCGGTTGATTCTACTATTTCGTCACATAAACCACGTTGGTTATCCGTCAAAACACTTAATTACCCGGTTGTATCATCTTTTGCATATTTGTTGGTCCTGCACAACGATTTAACCAGAAGACCTTGACATACTCACAACCAAACTTTTCATGTCTTTTATTGACGGGTTGTAACGTCGCAACCCTTCTCATGGCTAATTTTGTCATGTGACAAAAATAGCAAACAGCGATGACAGGAAAAGACCCGAGATTGCAGAGACGCGAGCTTCAGGGGCGAACCACGCCGCACAGTCACATACTTTTCCCAAGCTGGTTAGAGTAGCCGTCAAGGTCTTGTGGCGGTGCAACCGAACATCTCCAGGGATCGGCAAAAGCTGGCTTCAACATTTGCGTCAAAATGTAGCGCACAGTCCTATCTAGTCGAACAATCAGTTTTCAACCCGACATGCATCAGCTCAGTCTCTGTTACACCAACGTTGCTCTTTGTGACACGGCAAGGTCCCATGCTATTGCAAAAGCGCTATGGAAAGTCAAGTTGAACTAGGTCTAGGCGGTTATTGTAAGGCAATAATGAGGCATCTAGAACATGCAATGCAATGTCTGACTCCAAATGCCGTTGACCTTGTGGGATGCTCTTTCCCGTTGCGCTAGGTAAACAGTGGATCCCGGCCAACAATCCCGATATGGCGTCCGATTGGCTACGGTACATCTCACCGAACGTCAAGGGACCGCTACGACCGGAATGTTGAACGCCGCCATGGCATTTCAAAATGGGGAGAAAAGGAACAACACCTACCGTCGCGAGCGACGATCTTTTTTGTGTAAGAGTAACAATGATACCGCCTGAAGCTCCTCTCTTGAACTGAGAAGAGTAGCAAAACTTGCATCCGATAGTTGCCCCACCACCAAGCAGATTTGGATGCCATATCGTGTTTTGTGGTGTTTCTTTACAACATGCAACGATTCACTCAGCACTTTCCTTTGGATTTACATACCAAATTCACTCTATACACAATCCCTATTGTCGTGCAAAATCATGTACGGCCATTAGTGGTAACGAGTCTCAAAGATGCACCTCAGAGAGACTTTTGGTACCTCACTAGTAGGAATACATTTTACACTAGCGGGTACTCCTTGGTACAAAGTGAAATCTTTTCAAAGACAACAGAGAACCACTTGAGAATGTCGCAAAAACGAGCAGCAACAAGCAAGAAGAAGAAGAAAAGGACAGAAGCAAACCGGCCGATAATGCAAGACAGGGTATTAATCCCCCTTATGGTTATGCGGCAATGGTTCTTCAATTCACCGGAACGATGCTGTTCAGGAAGACACAGCAGGAACAGCAGACGGACTTCTAGCCAATCGCGGATGTGAAATGAGAGGAACGCATTCCACCCCTGTCACGCCAATCGAAGAGCTGTCAAATTCCAGCTCCCCTGTGTAGATACTAGCGCCTCGCACAAACTGTTCATCGCGATGCGATACCTTACCGACCCCGATGCACTGAGTAGGTGGCAACCCTTTGGAGTTTGGGGAGTCTCTATACGGTTAGAAATCCATGTTGACTACCCCGTCGGATCGGATCAACGGCAACGACCGTTTCGTTAATCGAAGATGCCGGTCTCTACGCGATTGAGGCTTGAACGGCATACTGAAATTACAACGTGTGATTGGCCTCGGGGCTCATTCCCATCTGTGACGGAGAGTAATCATAAGTGAGAAAGCACGGACAAATGAACCTCATCCGCGAGCGCACGGCACGAAGTGTTACATTTCCGTATGACCTTCTTGAATACTGAGCAAGGCCTGGGCGTACCACTCATCCCATGTTGAGTTTGGCCGCTCGATGTGATACGGCGTACTAGCCGTAGCTTGATTGTTGAGTGGACTTCGCAACCTCAGATATGCGGAAAAGAGCCTATCATGCACTGGTAGCCCTGTAATAAAATGTAGCGAAATTCTCCATAACAGACTGGGTAGTTCAGGCTCACGGTTTCTAGCATAGATCGTCATTACGCACTCGGTGTAAATGGGACCTGCTGGCATTCACCGACACCATCTTCCGGCATAAAGTGCCAGCTTATCGTGTTTCGTGCAGAGTTTGCTTTTTGTGGGTGTTTTTGGGAGCAACAAAGTCCAGGGCATCATATTGAATTAACCAGATACAGTGCGAGTCATGTCGGTTCAGCCATATCGAAAGAAAGGTAGAGGTCAAGCCCAGATAGATTCATGAGGCTGATCGTGCTGGATGCGGCAACATCCTACTAAAACACCGCGCGTTAGAGAGGCGAGCCGGGGGTCTAACGAACAAGCATTCTTCGATCGACCCAGTGGCAGTGCTCTCATTGGTGCGGACAAGTTCTCCAGTGGCCAAAGAGAGTGCCGAGCTGCTTACCTCAGCGCCCGTTAAAACAGCACATGCATCCGCGTCAAAGTCTGGCCATTTCGAGGTGTACTCTTCAGTATCTTAAGGCTGGTTGTGATCGATATAGTTTGCTAAGGTCGAGCGACATGCAGTAGCTGTTCAGCCAGTGACTCGCCAGCGGTCAATCGACGCACCGCCATGCCCTTGACCTACCTACCTTCGGCCTTACCAAATGAACAGATATTGACACAGCACCCACGGCCTTTCGACAGCAAGACATCAAAGCGGAACATGTCTTCCAATGCGCAAGTTTACCCGTCGGATCTTACATCTACCACCTTCGGCCAGCGAAAAGTTGCCATTCCGCGTTTGCAGACTACCGTCCGAGGTCACAGCACGACTAAAGACCGTCGCCGAGTTTCTAGAGCATGTACAGCAGTAAGTATAACGCACTCGAACGCTCCGTTATGAGATAGCTGGTGTGAAGCAGCGCTCTCCAGATGGCGTCGGGGTATCTCGCAATCACCTGATAGGTCAGGCTGCGTTTCCCTGATAACATATCTTCTAACAGCGCCCCACTATTAGTGTCGGTCCCATAAGATCAAGTGCACTGGGGAGAGGCCGCATTGCAAGCACTGCGCGTCTACAAACCGCGAGTGTGAATACATACTTCCCCGAAAAGATAAATTGAAGATGTAGGTTCAAATCTCAACTTCATATGTCTTGTTGCCCTAACACAATCCAGCGTCACTTCGCGATGCCAGGACATGACAGGGCTTCTGAGGGAGCTCAGAGCAAGCGTAAACGTAGAGGAGAGCACCAGGATCGCGGAGATGTTGAGCATGGTACGCAGCCCTCGTAAGATGGTTCTGATGCCAAGTTCGGCACTTGACGTATTCTTAGGTCGAAGAAGAGATATCCGAAGCTCGGCAGTCGACGCCACGGTCGAATCCTGACACTGAGCTAAGCTCCCAGGGAGATAGAGAACTGGGCGCTCCGAACACTCACGAAGAGATGGACACTGAGTCCCTGGACCTTCTGGACGAAAATCTGAACACAAACGATCGCGCTCGTGCTACTGGTTTCGTTGGGAAGAATTCCGAGATACAGTGGTTACGCGCAGCTGCGACGGCAGAGACAGACCGAGCGGACGATGAAGCTAGACGAGCAGGGCATCAACCAAGAGGCTCATATGCGCCGGGTAGTGACCAAGTGAGTTCCTTTAGCTTCTGGGCTGATGACGAAAACGTCGACGTGGACTTTTACGTCGACCCATATGAGCTGCCGCAGCCGGAGACAGCTGAGCACCTGCTGTTGTGTTACATGGCTAAAGTGCAAGATTCATTTCCCATTCTCGCTCGCAAGTTTTTTGAGGATCAGTTCCGGAGGTGTTTCACGGCAGTGCATAACGGAAATGCACCCCAGCTTAATCCAATGTGGCAGGCCATCCTGAATCTGGTTTTTGCGATTGGTGCGAAGTATTCGCATCTTGTCAAGGCAAGCTGGCGAGCTGACGAGCGCGATCATCTCATCTATCAAGCGAGGGCGCGAGCGTTTGGTTTGAATGAATCAACCATAACAAATCATTCGGATTTGTATCAAATCCAGATGCTTGGGCTCCTGGCATTCTACTGGCTTACTGTTGGTCAGATCAATCGGTAAGTCTTCGTATTGTGCGTCGCCGTCTCCAGAAACGATAGCTGATCAAAGCAGGGCGTGGACTATAATCGGGATGGCCCTGCGGTCCGCCTTCTCACTCGGCTTCCACGTTCGCAATGAAGATCCATCCGCCTCGATAGCAACACGAGAGAAACATGTCCGCACATGGTGGAGTTTGTACTCACTCGAGCGAACACTCAGCATCGTGACGGGTCGACCCAGCATCATCGTCGATTCGTGTTGCTCGGTGCCGTGGCCCATAGCAGTCCCGGAAGAGCAGATGAGCGCAATACACCGCATGCGTACAGGTTCTACAACAACTCTCAGTTCCCCAACTGAAGCTCACGCGGGAACGGAGCCTTTCCGAGCCCCAGCGAGTCTAGGAAGTGCTCGTGCCGACTCCGGGTCGTACTTCAAGGCGGCAATCCAGTTGTCAAACATTACCCAGAGTATCTTGACTTCGCTTTATTCTGCAGGCACCATGATTCGATCTCCAGGCGAGATCCAGCTAGACATGGCCCAACTCGGTGTGCGTCTTGACCAGTGGGTCGCAGCTTTGCCCGCCGAATTCAACTTCCAGATGACGCCCAATTCGACCAGCATGACGTTCTTCCGTGAGCGCATGCTCCTTGGTTTCCAACTGTGCAGCGCCAGGATGCTACTGACACGCCCATGTCTCGGCGGTCGGAGGCACACCCGGAAGGATGAACACGAAGCAAGCTCCACACGACGCATTGCGACAAGCTGCATCGACGCTGCAAAGACAGTCATTGACTTTCTCCCCGATGATCCGAACCCTCTTTTTATCTATGACCAAGGTCCCTGGTGGTGCATCGTCCATCATATGATGCAGGCATTGTCCGTCTTCTTGCTGGGTCTTTCCTCGGCCTCGCCTACGTCGAACGGTAACCTGGTACTGGTTCATTATGTTAAGAAAACTGTCCGTTGGCTGCGTAGCATGCCAGACCCTGTGGCTGGACGTGCGTATTCCGTCGCTCTCAGGTCTTCCGAAGGCATAATTAGGCGACTGTCCCTTGATTTTTCCGACCTATGGATAGAGGATGCGATGATGGTCCGGCGTCGAGAGGAGCCAGAACCAGCACCTCCCGCTGGTATACCTGGTTATCTGTCAACTCAGTTCACCATGGCGCCTCCTTCAGCAACTCATGCAACGATGACGACCTTCGCGGCGTATGATGGTATTATGACTGACGCGGATTTTCCTACTCTCAATCGGGTCCACACACTTCACGACCCATATTATGTAACAAAATGAGAGGCCTGTTGAAGAGGGGAAATGTGTTATGTTCTGTGTTGGACCGGCGTATATCTTGGTCTTTAGGAGTTTTTCCACCGGCGCGGCGTTTCCTGGAGCCGGTAAATGAGCACCATGCTCACCTTTTTGTGTATATAATGGCATCAAAGGAGAACAAGAGTGAATCGTCAAGGAGCAAAGGAGGTTTTCGATATGTTTCGATGGAGAAATATACAGTTGATCTAGCTCACTAGTTTTGACGTCATGCGTGGTTGAGGATTGGAAACTGGCACCGCAATCAAGACAACTCTCATATATAGCGTCTAAACATCTGGGTCTCTGTACTCTATATACAATAATTCAGCCCCCAATTCCAGCGTGTGCTGATCCTGTAATCGTGATACACGCCACGGGTGCGCGGCAGCCGACCGTATGTCGTTGACCATTGGACGGTGCATAGAAAAGCGGGAGCACAGGTTTCATGCATTGCAGCATATACCGGCAAACGCTCTAAGCACACTTGCTGGCACGAGCTGATCTACGGATGGTACATCCGTAGCGAATCATGATCAGAAACCCCTTAATCTCACTACCTTGAGCCTGTTCGTGGGATTCACCATCTATAACTCAAGCCGAACTGTATCCATCTGTGATTGGTTCGGAACATTGGGAAGGAGTGCGGATGTGCACAGTGCATAGGAAGTGACACCTTAAGATAAAAATGGCACACCCTGGTATATCTGCAACTTTGATCTGTGCGCACGTAGGTTTCTTATCAACCGGAATTTAGCTGCGCAAACAAGTGTATTATTGTATTGCAAGAAGTATTGAAGCTATAGAGATCTGACTTGGACAAACTACCAAATGTTACTTACATGGAATCAGATATCGAGATCATGCGCCAAGAGCATCTTCTCCTGTATGACTTAGCATGCACGAAATCTTGTTGGGTTTCTCGGACTTCTTCGCCGACAGCTCACCAGATGTCCGCATTCAGACTCAAGTCGCTTCACAATGCCGATATTCTTCGTACGATAACTCGTGTGGCAAACATCGCCGATGGCTGTGTGCAGCTTTGTCCTGGGGCTCACGGGCCTAGTCGGGAAAAAGAGTCAGAAAGAGAGAATTAGGAAGAAAGAGCCGAGAAGAGTGGGACAGTGACCGGATAGTTTGCCGACAAATCATAGACACTCAGCTTGTGGACGTCTTCAGAATTGCTGAGAATTGTCGACTGATCTTGTGGCACTTCGTCAGAGTTCCATTACAACATGCTGACCGCAGTCAGATAGCAGAAATGTAGGGTCGCATCTACCGCCTCATCGAAGCCTGGCATCACCCACAAAGTAAGGCTGTCCGACGAATCAAATATCGGTCGATATTATATCTAGGATAATCGAAACACACTCCAGCTTTGCGATGGAGAAACGGCTCGGGAAGGATAAAGGATGGCAGCATCCATCTGTAAGAACCCGAGTTTCCAATTTGGCGAGCGAGATAATGACCAGCACCCTACTAGGAACGACATGGCTGTCACCCAATTCAAAGAGAGGGACTCTATCACTCGATGATGGTTTATGGTACTGGTCTCTTCACAGCTACGATGGGCGAGGGAACGCCTCCCGAATAAGTGGAGCTCCTTCCCTCCCTACACATTACTCCCCGCTGACTTTTGGGTGACATTACATGACCGTATGCCAAGCTTAATCCACTATCGATGTACCAATATTGTATGCGGTTGTTCTACCCGGTCGTTACAAAACCAACGACCTCCTGCACATACCCTCGTCCCGCTCCGAACGTCCCTACACAACTGCAACCGCATCTCGTCCTCCCCCAATACCCCAATTCAGCACTGCACCACCACCATCACCAGCCTCCTAGCAACCCAGTCCTGCCGATTCAATTCTAGTCGCACCCCACGCATGAACTTCGTCTCCACGGTCCCCCAGTGGCACACTCCTACCTAGTCCCTTCCTAACTTCCACCTTACCCGAGCATACATCATACATTCTCACGCAACCCGCAGCTTATCTGTCAGGGTTGAGTGGGGGAGGGGCTGGGAGATGATGATATAGTTACGGGCTGGTCAGGCAGAGAAGCAGAGGGGTTGAGTATGAATGACGTATGGAAGATTGGAGTGAACATATATGTGGAGTTTGTTTTAATTCCCAAGGCATCCAGGAATTATTTTTGCGTTGGTAGTTGCAGGTTCTCTGGGCACTTGACATGCTTTGGCTGCCATAGTATGCCAAAACGATCTTATTAAATAGCTTTGTCTTGCCTTTTTCTTTTCTGTATAGTGTTAGTCCGATGTGCCCATTCTTTGTACCCACAGCCTCAAGGCACTTCAAATGCACATGCATGTTCGTATGTCCTTTGACCGGGGCCTTGATATGATGTCCTGTAACCTCTTCTACACTTAACCACGATGGAGTCTCTGCCACCATAATGAGGAGATGGGAATTCCTTCTAGATTTCACCCGCGCCAGGCACGAGTGTTGGGTACGGTAATTATTTGGGTGTCATGATGCCTTATGGCCATGATCGCATCCGAGTACCCTTCTCTTTCAGGAACTTACCAACGCTTGGCCAAGTTGCGGAATCTGGGACTGGGAACTTGGGAGTAAAGTAAAGCAGGTCCAGAGCAAATCGACTGCAACGAATGATGTCGAAATCCATGCACCAGGAAGGCTTGAAAGCGTTGGAGTGTTGAACATAGTATAATTATCCATCCATCTCAATTATCCTGAGGTATCCAGTCGGTCGCTAAGAGAAGAGAGACTAATGTTCGGGACCAATTCACGGCGCCTTGATCGTATCGAATGAGCAAGAACTGTCAACAGATTAGTTCAAGTCAGCACCGCGTACAGTATTTATTTACCTCGATAGACCTCAGGCATTGATGTGCCGCATTGGCTCGTCGAGTAGGACAAATCGCAGGCTACATGCATGTAGACGGTATCAAGATGAAGTATTTACTGGAGAAGACTTTTCGAAGTACAGTCTGTGATAGCTGGCAGATACTTAGGTCAGAGCTAGAAGCATTGGTAGATGGCATGCTCTGAGGTGTGACGCACGTGATATGGAATAGCAGGGTCATCCTTGGCAGTGCGTAATGCGACGCAGGCGTACTCCACACCTCGTTCACGTCGCCGCCTACAACTACAACAACAACCACCATTACCATCCGTCGATCGACCCCACGACGCCAAATCGCTTACGCACCTCGCCGCAAACATGTCCAACCTCATCGACGCCGAAGCTGGGACGGAGCGCTTCAGCGGCTACGAAGCGGAGCTGAAGCTCGTACAAGCCGACCTGTCCCAGCAACTCGAGCAGATCAAAGAGACGACTGGCGAACCGCGCAAAGCCGCCATCAGCCGCGCCGAGCGCGCCCTCGAAGAAGCCAATGAGTTGATTGGGCAAATGCGCCTCGAGAAGTCCAATATCCCAGCGTCGTCAAAGTCAAAGTACAACACGCGCTTCCGCAACTACGAAAGCGACCTCGACGCCACCAAGCGCAAGCTCGACGCCTACACAAACGATCGCAGCAAGCTCTTCGGCGGCCGCTACACGGATAACCCCGACACGGATGCCCAGCAGGATCAGCGCCAGCAGCTGTTGTCTGGCACCGACCGTTTGAATAGGAGCTCGGGCCGCCTGCGCGAGAGCCAGCGCATTGCCCTCGAGACGGAGCAAATTGGCGCCGGCACACTGAGCGACTTGCACAGGCAGAGGGAGCAGATTACGCATACAAGGGAGCGCTTGCTAGAGAGTGAGACGTACACGGATCGCAGTATCAAGACACTGAGGGGCATGGCGAGAAGGTGCGTGGTGCCACCATCCCTCTATCTGATTTCCTGTTGATAAGGGATTGCAGATGGATGCCCTTTTGAGAGACGTGCTAACTTGGCGTAATAGGATGGCCACAAACCGCATCATCACCATCGCCATCATCACCGTGCTGGTCCTGCTTATCATTGCTGTTATTTTCAGCAAGTTTAGATGATTGTATTCTCTGATCTCGTTTTGCATGGCGTTTGGGAGTACATTGTAATGGATAACATGGGTTGTGGGAACTAAGGTCGTGATTTTGGGATCTGTGACAGAATAAAGTCCGTTTCCTTGCGCATATGAATTATTTACTCCATAAGTGAAGAAATAGGCAATTTGTCATCTAGGCAACCCTCACATTCAGCGTGGACGACAGATGCTCAAAACCGTGCAGCCCAACTGAACTCACCCGCTGTGTTATCTATGCGTGAATTCGTTCACACTGATAGAGGCGAGCCTACCACGCAACAACGAAGCAGAAAAGGAACCCATTAGCAATGAACATGGCTGGACGATTTTGTGCAGTTGCGCCAGGGATTGTCATGACCCTTCCCCATCAGGGTTCCCAATAGATCAATACTCACCTGCTCTGGCTTGCATGCTCCTTACACTTGCACTCGGCATCTACCAGCGATTCGCTGTGTAAACGGTTTGTCGAGTAGAGTGTGTGGGAAGCGATGGATATTGGGTTTCGAACAGACAATGACGCAGTTGTAGAGGTGATGTATGATGGACGATTGCAGGAGGGAAGGCAAGCGTACGCGTCTGCTGGAGCACGTCTGCATTGGATGTGCCACGAACTCAGAAGCTGCAGCCTCGGCATGTGCGACTGACAGCGACGCACCTTCACAGGATGGCGCAAAAATCTTGCCCAGGCTCCTATTGTCGGCGACGCAGCCTGAACGCTCACTTGAGATAGCCTTACGTGTCGTAACAGGCAACTGGGCTGACAAGACGTCTCAAGAACAATGACATCAACAAGCAAACATGCAAAAAGGAACGACTCTTCCTCAACTCCGCAGCGCAAGCCGCAGGAGACGATGAAAAGCGCGAAACGCGAAAGTTTGGGACAAAAATTCCCAGCCGATCCGAAGACCAACTGGAGCGGTCATAGTTGTAGTTTTCAACTAGCAAAAACGCTACCTCAGACGAATCTTCACTGGTCAGCGTAAAGCCCTTGCACCTAGGATGACGTCAGCAATGAAACCAACAACAAAGGCACCACCCTGTTGAACAAACTGGACAGATTTTATTCTGTGTGCTGCTGACACATCACAAAACTGTCCAGTTTTGTTTGACGGGGTGGTGGGGGGAGCGAGGAGACTTACTCGGATGAGAAAAACAGAAGGGGGACGGGGGAGGAGAGCGTTATATAGGCATCGGGCTGCTGCTGCCTAGCGCTACACGTGATTATAGGCTAACTGTGATAAGACTGGCTTCGGCAAATCGTCGGCAACAGCACGTTTACTGCATTGATCAGGCAAACGACAGAGTGTCTATCATCATTCTTCTGAACGTGACACGGAACGCTCGTTGTATTTGCCAGTACCTACTCCACCTGATTATCTTCTGAGGGGTCTTGGCGTTGTTCATCCTATGTCTGCATCATTTGGTCACCTCGTACGATATCTTTCTACAAATCCCAATATACAGCAAGCGTCTATCTTGGGGGATTGGAGCATACCATGTCTCCAGATATAAGCATACCAAGATCTGTAACGTACGCGTGCCAACGACCGTGCTCAGACTAAATCTTGATCTCTGGTGTCTCCTCATCCTCGATTTCCGTGCCTTCAGTCCAGTGTCGATTCGCATACTACATTATGCAAAGAACAAGCCTTCCAGCGCGTCACCTCTATCTCTTGTATTTCTCACTCCGTTCTTGTGTGTTCAACGCTAGCCGCTTTTCGTAACTGCATGTGTCGCTGGCTCCTACCACCCATTTTCTCTTTCGCAATCTGCGCGAAAAGAGACTAGGTAGCTATCACTCTATTCCGTTCGCGTTCTTATATTACATCTGGTGAAAGGTGTATTGAACGACCGTGATGGGTATGCATATTCATGCAGTACGATTAGACCTACACAGTTCGCCATCCGCGGACGCCAGCGGGGAAATACTAGTATCCGCCATCTGGAGCACACCGTCAATTGCGGAAAACTCAAGAATGAATACTGAGATGTACCTCGAACAACACCTTGGAGGCAGAACACCACGCGCGAACAGGCGGAAAAAGAGAGGCGGGAGCAGGAAGGCATGATACCTTGCATTATAAAGCAACCGAACGGAACGCCTAGGAACGGCAACGTGTACGCGTCAATGGTAAGATTCGTTACTAAGACCTACTAGCCGGCTACTGGGACACCCCGTCAGCGACATTTACTTAGACTGGATGAACTTCATGGCCTCGATCCACGGCTCCCTGACATCTAAACGGTTCTCGTGGAGACTACCGTGTCAAATGTATATTCAGGGACCAACTCGAGGTGGTTATGTATGCTCTTCTCTAGCAATTCTTCAACAGGAGAGACATCGCAAAGTGACTATCGTGTGTGCAGGTGAAAACGGTGAACAGTGAGGTAAGACGAAGGAGTTCGCGGACTTCGTTCAGGAGAACCAAGCCTGAGACAGAAGTGGGCAAGCTAGGCGTATATAAGTAATATGTAAGTTCCTCAAATCATTACATGTAGTTGCCTAGCTGTCGCAAGATTTCCGCCTCGGATCTTTCACACTATCTCGTTGCGTTCCTACGTCACGTTGTAATCACCACCCCCGCTTTTATTTTCACTACATCCGCTCGATCTTCAAAGGATACACACAAGGCCAAGTCGGCACAGCGCTGTACCTACGCCACCAACTTCACGACTTCCAGCTACAAGTACGCAAGCCAGACATACACCAGCAGTTTCCAAGGCGCACAGCTTCCATCTAAAACTCTCGTGTAGTTGTCCAGCTGTTGTGTATCGGGCACATCATGTCTTGAACAACCTTCCGACCAGCCCGGGCGAAAGAGGTGTGCGCTGCAGACAAGACTCTGGAAAATGCGACCACAAGCTTCCATGCAGGAGATGCAAACTGCTGAAGATCGAATGCAAATACGACAAGGTGGCACTGGCCAAATTCACACCAATATCGGAAGATGCGAGGTCCACAGAGTCTCCAAAGGCAGTTACCATCACTGCGTCTGCTGCCAACGCCGACTCCGCTACAACTTCCACATCAACATCATCTGCAGGTACTGCAAAAAAGCCGAGAAAAGGAAAGAAGCCAGCGGCAGGAATTGCCCGTGAGCAGGATGAACGGGAGGAGGATACTCGCGCTACACTGAAACTAGCGTTGAGCAGTGCCAAAACCTACGACTGGATGAGCTGATCGCGTTGTATAAGAATCTGCTGTAATGTTCTACGATGTTTGTTCTTTCCTTCCTTTCATTTTTTTTCTTAAATCTCCACCTTTACTTGAAGGCTAACTCTGTAGCAGACTGCCACCTTGCCCCTCCTACACCTCTCTATTCACGCCGATATCTTATGCTGTCGTAGCGTTCAAGTGAGAGACGCGAGCTTTTCGGTTGGTAGTTCCCATATATACAGCAAAGACTCCCCTCATTGTTCCTCTCACGATCTTCCTTCCACGATCTCTCTTCCACGACTTTTCTTCCACGACTCAAATATTACTAGCATTCCAACAATTACGCATAGACACAATGGCAGCCCAAGCTACGGTATCAATCGCACCCTTTGCGAAGATATTCGTCCGCGAACCACCAACCGTCTTGTGGTCTGATCTACCAGTCCAAGACGAAAAGTTAACACCACGTAATCCGAGTAGCCACGTACATAATGCACCAGAAGTAGCGGCCTCATCCCGCCCAGATGCGATGACAGTTGCCCGCATTCTTGCTATACACTTTTGCAAACTATCATACGGGTACGAAGCTCTCCTGGCTGGAAATACGGCAGATCAACCTGCAGCCCAGAAGTGGGTCAAAGAACACTATGGCAGACCACAGTCAGAGATCTTCGGAGAGAAGGTTGGGAAGAGCAGTCACATTCGTGCATGGATTCGAGGTGAGTTGTCTGCAGACAACTACGAAGTAAGTTCTTAATAACCGATTTGCTACACGTTCTATATTGAGTAGTCTCAGGTCTCAATTACAAACTGGTCGCTGAAGGCACGTTGGTATCGCATTGCTCCTGCCGGCCCAGAGACCGGTCCAGACCGCGCAATCCGCCTTGCAAACGCTGAAATGTACGAAGCCGCTGTAGAAACACTTCAGGGCCAGATACGCACAGCCTATGTCGAGGCGCATAAGTCCGCGTTGACAACTGCCTCTTTAACTTGAGGCGACGACTAGCTGCACGCCAACCGTGCCAAAGCCTTTTATAGAACTCGCAGGGACATTATCGTAGAGTCGCGTATCGACGTTGAGAATATCACGTCCCGCACCATACTCAGTCAAATGAGGCTAATGCCTCTACTCGGTAGAGACCTGGAGGGACGCTTAGACTTCTGGTGTGAGAGGTTTGTCCCAGGGTCCGATATGGTAGCATCGTTGTTTGCAGCGTCAAGGCAGGTAGTTGACATCTGGTAAGTAAGTAAACGTGTCTAATGTATTCTTGCTAATATCTTGTAGTTGGGTTATGACCAATAACACTGAACACCAGTATCGTAACCAGTGGACGAACTTCTTTGCTCGTGCCGCGGATACCCTCTTATGCTGCAGTATCTCCATTAAAATGGAATCGCAAGATCTCAGCCGTTCAGATGTAGATGTCCTAATCCGCGATGCTGCAATGAACATCAAGTGCGAGTTCCCAGCAGTAGAGCTGCGAAGCGTTATCGAGTCTATTCCTAGTGCGTTTGGCGACAGCAACGAGGACACTGACTGGCTAAAAGTGCCGATTGTCGAGACGACCGCGCGGGGACTGAAGAAGAACAAGAACAAGCGAAGGGTAGACGAGATGCCTGGAGTGTTTCACAAAGAGGGTAGCCTTGCTTGAGCGTACTCATCTCTACATAGCATATAAGTGGATGACAAGGAGGAAGTGGCGCTGTATTCTTCACGTGTGGCTCCTACAAGCTGCAAATACACGATCAAGACGTACGAAAGAGTGCACGCAAGGCGCATACAACTAGGATTTCAGGCACGAGATTGCTAGACTGAATTTGATTGTAGTAGTCTAGCATCACCTCCTTCCTCCCCGCATATCTCCCCCTCCCCATCCCCCCATCCATCCCCCATCTCCTCACACACCCTCCCCATCCGTCCCCTCACTCCCACTCCCCCTCAGCCTCCTCCTCCTCCTCCCCCTCCCCCCCAAATCCACCCCCCCCATCCTCACAAAACGGCATCATCGGCCTCTCTGGCCTTATCATCTCGGGATGCTCCATCTTACACGTCCCGCTGTAGCAACGGCGCGAATAGACCCATCCGCGGCGGATGTCGCAGCGTTCGATGTAGCCGGGGCCGTCGCAGCGGTAGTGGCCCGGGAAGCAGGGGCGGGAGGCGGCGGCTGCTAGGGTGGCGAGGAGGGCCACGAGGATGGTGGTTGGGGTGTGCATTTCTAAAAGGGGAGGGGGGGTTAGGCGGATACGATGAGATTTGGGAGGGGGGGGGTTTACTGGTTGGAGTGGTTGTAGACTTTTAAAGTTTTTTTTTTTTTTGGGAAGTTGGAGTTGTTGTGCTTGTTGTAGATGTGCTGTGGAGGATACAATGATAGATTGGGAGGATGAAGGGTTGTTTATATACACTCTGTGCTCTCCAGGCAAGACTGAAGTACCACGGCACGCACGAAGAAAAATTCTCTCATGTTCGCATTCTGGTCCCTGATATCACACCGAACCGTACTATGACACGGGATTCGCGGCCTTTCCCCTCACGAGACTGCGCTGCATTCGCACAACCGTGATCTTTATTTTTCTTTTCGCTGGGTGTGTATGTCTGTATCCACGGATTTGCGGTCACGAGATGGGGATGAGCGGGTTTTTTTGCTGTGTGGGTGTGGTAGGAGGGAGCTGACTAACTGGGTTGTGATTGGGATCTGTGGATTGGGGAAAAGAATTTTTTTTCTCGTTACCAGAGTTGGGTATTATTTTGGTTTCTTCTCCTCCTCAGGAGCGCACGGGTTTGTTCCGGTGTGCGATGAGCTCATTCACTCTGGTACAATGTGTAAGTCAGCATGCGTTGAGAAAAGTCGTAATTTTTACACCAAAAAAGGGCGAAAGAATGAAAGACGACCACACGACGCACATGAATATGAACGAAGAAGAATGCAATTCACGCGCTAATAACCCCCACCAACCACATCACTTCATCCACTCATCCAATCACTCCCAAACAGCCCACTCCCTCTCCACCTCCCTCAGCTCAGCCCTAGCGCGCTCCCACTCGCGGCCCCCCCTCTCCACCCCCGCCATCCAAGCAACAACACCCTTCCGCTCCCTCGCCAACCTTGCCTCCGCCCTCTTCCTCTCCACCGCCTTGCGCTTGAGATACATAAAGTCATCCTCCCTGATACTCGTCTCCCAGACCCTGCGCATACGGGGGCTATACAGCGCACAGCTGGACCCCACATCCGTATCTTCCTGAGGCACGAGCTGGATAGCTTTAGTGAAGAGGCGGGGCAGGGAGGATTTCTGGGTCTGCATAGCAGGCCAGACGACGTCGTCGTAGCACTCCTCGCAGACTGTGAGTTCGGGGAGGGCAGGGATAAAGTGCCATGGCTTGCGCAGGTAGGCTTTATCCCTCGCGCACTCGCCCTTGAAGGCGCTGTCGCGGGCGAGCTGGATGAAGCGTGCGATATTTGGGCGGAGGGCGAGGGACTGAGCCTCGGCGTCGAGTTCGACGAGGAGGTCGAGGTATTTTGGGAAACGGCGGGAGGCGATGCGGAGGCTGCAGAGGGACTTTGTGGGTTGGTGCGAGGGGGGTAGGCGGGTGAAGTAGCCGCGCATGGTGGGGAAGATGGCTTCGATCATGCGGACGTCGCAGGAGCAGATGGCGAAGTTTGCGACGTGGATGCCGTCGCGTTGGTCGGGGATACCGTACCAGTTGATGCGGTCGCTGCTGGCTTCTCGGTCCCCGGGGCACGGCCGCTCGCCGTCTGCGATGTCGGCGAGGGCGTAGAGGAGTTGTAGGGATTGGCGACGTTGTTTGATGGTCAGGAGCCAGGCGAGGCGCATCCATGGACTGCTGAAGTCGCAGAGACGTTCGGTTGGACGGTCGTACAGTCGTGCCTGTGAAAAATGAATATCGAACGGCGTGTCGGCAAAGGCACCCTCGTAACAAGTCGGACAGATGTCAAAGTTGCGGTACCCCTTCAGGCTGTACCAGTCGTTGTACTTTGACGACGGGCTGCTTCTTGGACATGACGGAAGTGGCTTGTCCAGGCTGGGGGGTGCAAGTGCCCGCGTAGACCTTTCGCGACGACCCTCGAGGCTGGATCGTGAGCTGGCGCTATTCGACCGCGATCGCCTCAAGCGTGACGGACCGTCGAGAGTGGCGGGATCGTGCTTTGGGACGGGTGGGCGAAACGTGGCGCTGGTCTCGCGGGGTGTGCCAGGGATGGACGAGGAAGACTGTCTTGGTGAGTCCGGGTACGTTTGTCGCGGGGACGCCACTGCCGAGTGGTCGAACCGGTAATGCTCCTCAAACGGCATGATGGTGTGGACGGCGTGGTCGTCGACGGGGTAGGGCAGGGTGATTGCGGGTCTCGCCGACGGAGCAGGCTTGACGTCTGCTCGCGGCGCAGGCACAGGCATGGTGTCGTGGCGCCCAAAGCGGGACGGCGGGCGTGAGCGGTCATGGGCACTGACTGGAGGGTATGTGGTGTGCCAGTCGGCCTCGAGGATGGGCGCGCGGCCAGGAGACGGCAGTCGGACGGTCGTCGAGAAGGACAGCGGCGTGGAGGGGCGGGTGCTGGTTCGCGAGGGCGGCCTGGAGCTGGTGGGCGACTCGCGCAGGCGTGAGGGCAGCTTGGGGGAGTGGACAGGCTGGGCGGGCGAGCCAGGGCGGGTCGGCGGGCGCGACGTGTTGGCGTGGGCCGTGTCGACCGGGACCGGCCTGGACTTCCTGCTCCCGTTGAGCGAAGACGACGACGAGCGCGGCGACTGCGGGTACGAGTTGTCGCGGGACGACGTGGGCGAGGCGTCGTGTCCACGTGGTCCTGCCGGCCGTTCTCTCGACTCCCGCCTCTTGCGTCGAGGCTCTGGCTGGCTGTCGCTGAGATCGGTCCTGAGGTGCTCCCGCTGCAGGTCGCTCTTGACGAAGCTGTAGCGCGCCGGCTTCCGCTCGGCCCGCAGGCGCGTCGTGTCTTCGCTGTCCACGTCCGAGTCGTCGAAGGCGTCGTTCCTGGGGGCCGGCTGCGGGCGGGTCAGCGAGTCGCGTCGGGTGCGCGCGGGGGCAGCCTTGGGCGGGCGGGCATTCTGGTCGGTGGGCGGCGTGTAGGCGTAGGGCGTCGAGGTGCGGGTTGTGAAGACGGGCGGGTCGTCGTCGTCGGGGCTGGTCTTCCGGTGCGCCGTGTTGCCGCGCTCGAGGAAGCTCCTCCGCCGGCGGTCCCGGGACTTGCGGGGCGTGCTGGCGGTGCTAGAGGCGCTCGAGGAAGCATCGTAGGTGCCGGGCTCTGAGACGAGAACGAAGCGGCGGTCGTCGCTGGGCGGTGGCTCAATGTCCTCCAGCAGCGTGTCCTGGTCAACGGCCCCCCGCGAGTGCGCCGGCGGCTCATGGTCCTGCTCGACTCTCTCTGCGCCCACCGGCAGCACCTCCTTGGCCAGCGCCGCTGTCTCGTCCTCGACGCTCGCCGAGGGCGGCCATGTGCGCTTGCGGGGCGGGGAGGCGCGGTAGTACGAGTGTTCGTACGAGGGCTCGGGCGAGTATCGGGAGCGGTTCGCGCGGCTGCCCACGTCGCTCAGGTCGTCGTGCCTCGAGTAGCCGTAGCCGTAGCCATAGCCGTCCGTGTCACGGTACGTCGGGTATCTGTCGTGGTGCGTGTAAGACATGTACAGGGTGCGAGGTCAGAGGTGCGGGTGTGGCGGTCGCTCTGCGTGCGCATCGAAGCCGGGACGAGGTGAGACGCGGATTCCAGGGAGAGGTATAGGATTACATAGCGGGGCGAGTATCGACATGGTTGACCTGCTTCTTTGCTTAGTGACGCCAGCATCCCGGCAGCCACTCCCGCCGCCTTGCCATGCGTCTCACGCCCTACCCAATCCGGCCAAGCCTGTCGGGTCACCCGCCACTAGGGTCCAGGAATGGAATGCCTGAAAGCCTCCCACCGCCTGTTGGAACGTCTTGGACGTCGTGAATAGGCTTGAATCGTCCAGTATGCAGTAGTACATCCATCCATTCACACACGACTTTCATGTGCATTGAAACAGCACGTGTTGCAGCACCTGTTAGGGAGAAGCCATGCCATGTTCACAACTCACCCCCCTCACACACTTCCACCCCGAACTGTCACTCCCACTATCCGGTGAGAGACGATCTGGCAATCAACACGTCTACACCACGTCTGCAATACCCACACTCAACCTCCACGTATTCACGCGGGCCGTGGCCTCTGCATGAGCGGTCAAGCATCTACCCATCGCCCGACACCGCCACCACCAATCTCCACTTACAACCTCACCACCCATCGCATAGTCGGTCAAGCGCCTACACGTGTACCCCAACCCCGCCATCACCAATGCAATGCAATGCGACGTGAACAGACACAGACTGTATTTGACTAATCATCACACATAAAAGGGTATACCGCGCGAAACAATCCACACGCAAAACACAAAAAACCCTCCCCAACACTCAAAAGTAATTTCCCCTCGGAATCGCACAGAAAACACCAACCACAACCCCCGACATCACAAGCGCGCCGAGGATCGCCTGCAGGAAAATGGTGTCCTGGATCTGGCGGAGAGCGGGCTCTTGAATCCACACCTCGCGGTCGAAAATCTTCCTCACCACATTGCGCTTCTCGTACCGCGCCACCCACGGCTCGTCTTCCCATGAGTTGCTCGATGCATGCGACGTCAGACTGCCCATGGAATCCTCGTACCCCTTCAGCTCCTCGTCGGAGGTGAATAGCTCCCACGGACGGAGATGTCGGTGGTGCATGCCGTGCAGGACAACGCACATGCCCTTCCACGCCGCGATGAGTGTCGAGATGCCGATGAGGAAGCCGATGAGGGAGATTACGCGCCAGGCGCGGCTTGCAGAGCTGAGCGTGAGCAGGATGGCGATGAGGAAGCCAACGGTGATGCCGCCAATTCCCAGACCACGGGCGAAGATGACCCGAGGACGATTGCCGTTGCAGATGGTCCAGCGGATGAAGTTGGGATGCGCCTGGCAGCGCAGCGACCACTCGACTGTCGTGACGATGTCGTTGAACGCAGATGGATGTGTTGTGTTCTGCAGTGCGTGGAGCAGCGCAACACGCTCCTTGGACGAGAGATTCAACTGGCGAGCTCCCCCATCCGCGATGTAGATGGAGATGACACGGTTGACTTCCTCCCGATATGGTTGGACAGTTACTGTTGGACATGAGCATTCGATAACCAACTAGATCTCGGAGAAAACTCACAGGGCTTCCACTTGAGGCCAGCACTCTCAAACGCTCCCGAAGCACGTTTAACATGGTCCACCTTACCGCCAGTCTGCATGCTGTCTTGATACGTATCGAACGACGCCCCCGTATCGCGGTTCGCCTCGCTGCTCCTAGCCGGCGTGTGCGGTGGCGTATAAAACGGATCGCCCTCGACCTTCTCCTGCTCAGCCAGATTCGTCTCACTCGCAAAATCCGTCCCCTTGAGAATGGCCGCTACATCCGGATTGCTCGTCCTAGCCGCCGGCTTCTCACCACCACTCTTCTCGCCCGTCCACTCAGGCGAGAGGCTCTTCTCCGCCGCAGGCAGCAGGTCAAAGCGCTTGCTGTAGTCGCGGAACCAGAGGAAGAACTGCAGATTCTCGGCAGACAGCTCGATGTACTTGAGGAAATTCATAAAGTCTCGCACTGTGCATGGCTAGTACTAATCAGCACAGCAACTAGGGGAAGTATGATATCGAAGAAGACTTACTGGGCAAACACCCCCCGCGATGATGCGGTCGAAGGACAGCGCCTCGGGGATCCCGTGAGACATCCCACTACTACCTGAGTGAACAGACTCGCGTATCGATTGTTGCTTGCGGTCGCCAGAGAGGGACTCATGCGATGCAGCGCGAGCAACCTGCGCAGGGCGACGGTAGGAAATCGGATAGACCATGATGAGTGAGTGAGTGATTGGTTGGTTGATGGAGCAGATATCGACCAGCGTAGCGACTATCAAGGACAACACCAGCAATGTTCTTCCTTCTTCAACGGAACAAAAAAGCCCAGGAACGCGGGAGGGTAACGCCCTATAAAAGACCCGACGCTGTGGTCGGGGATGGCGGTGCGATGAAATGGTGGAAGCTAGCTAATCCCTAGGGTCGCCGAGCGCACGCTCACAGACTCAACAACGCCACACAGACAGCGTATGCAATCGGTGATAAGTAAACAAGCGGAGGAGGGTGGGTACTGAACTGAACTGGACTGAACACACGGAACCCAAGCCGGAGCGGCGCGCACACCGCGCTGTTTAAGTACAACAGCACTCACACCGGCTTAAGTTCCATACATGTGTTCCAGCCCCGCGAAACAAGCCATTGACATCGTATCCACCATCCGCCATCTGCATGTGCATGTGCAACAGTTGGAGTATGACGCACTCTTCGCTTGAGTAATGGTCAAGATGCAACATGCAACACGCAACTCACAAAGCCGAGCCGAGCCAAGTCAAGATAAGTTAGCTTCAGCCACGGACGTTTTTCCATCCTGCACTGCATTTGCATGGAAAGGGTAAAAACAGCGTACTTAGTAGCGTCGCCGAACTGATAATGCACTAGCTGGCGTCCTCTGATTGGTCGCGATTTGCAGGGTATTTGTAAATCTCGTGCAAATCATTATGTGTGGTTGATCGATGCGAGTTTGACCCCTTTGCTAGCTTGTGTTTGTGCTTGAGATGCACATCGCGTGCTTGATAGCGTGGTGATGGTCGTGGGGCATGTCACTTCTCCGTGGTTTGGGTTTGGGTTTCGATTCCAATTGCAATTCTTCCGTAGCAAGTACACATGTTCAGCAGCCGAACCGAACCAAGCCAGTGACGTTATCTCAGCCAGCCATACGCCATGCCATGCGCCGTTCCGAGCAAGCAAAAAACGCCCTTCGTTTGATTGTTATGGCACAGGCACAAGCGAGAGTGAGTTCAACTTCGCTATCCCGTCCCGCTGCAGCACGACGTCAAATTCCAATGCCAATTCCAATCGCAATCCTGATCCTGAACTCCAACACATGGCCCGAGTGCACTTGTGCTAGTTGATTGGCGCGTGGGGGAATGAATAGATATCAAGCCCTGTCGTGGACCCGTGTGTGTATGTATTGTACCGGACTCCCCGCCGGTTGAGCGAGCTTGTATTCTACTATCCCGCTGCACTCCACGCCATGCAATGCAAGGCAATGCCAAGTCGAGCACCGTTCTCACAACCCCGGACCGAACTGAACAGAACGGAACGGAGAAACACACGTTCAATCGTGCATCATAGATCGACAAACCCTCGCACATGCAAGCGACGAAGATGGGGGACAGGGAGAGGGAGATGCACACGGGACGGCACAAGGAAAGTGAAACAACACAGGGTATCTACCGGTATGCGTGTGCGTGTATGAACATGGTATGTGTGTGGACGGACTTTCCGTGCAAGACGGCATGGGCATGGCACAACAGAACAGAACAAGAACAGGGTGTGCGGATTCGGCGCGGTGCTAGATGCGGAATGACATGCGCCACTTGTAGGTACTATACAGGTAGTGGGATGAAGAGTCGGATCTGGGTTCCGCGGCTTGCGGGGCCAATCATTTGGGTTGATAGCTTGGTAGCTGGCTGCTTGCTTGCTTGTGGACTTGACTGTACGGAAAAATACAAGTTCGTCCTTGCTGTTTCCCTGCCGTGGCAGATACCTACCTAGTGTAAGATGAGTGTTTCAACAAATTCTGCTCCATCCTGCTCGCTGATATCTTCCATGCCTGCGTGCATGCATGCGTGCAGGATCGATCGACGCCATCACGGACTTCCCCACTTGGATCGCGTGTGCTGTGCATTGGGTTTAAGTTTCGGCTTGGTTTGGTTTTAGCTGAGCTGAGCTGAACGACGACGGACTGGCTGAGCTGGCTAGCTGGGACCACGTCAACCCACGGCGCCGATTGCAAGAGCAGGAATATACGCACGCAGAAAAATGCACGAAACTTTTCTCAGCTCTGCATTCTGACATTTGCCCACTACCCATCCATGCCGTCCAATTTCACATCATCCCGCCTCGCCCTGAATAAAACCCGGCTAATCCTCCCCTTGTCGCGTATCCATCCACAAATGACATACATACATACAACCCTGCATAACCCTCCAACAAGGTCAAAGTCTAGCGCACACGCAACCAGCCCGTCCCATTGGCGCAGCCCGGGAAATCAAGAACAAGGACAGAACAGTCTAGACGGATTTTTGTGCTTTGTTTTTTTCTGTCCCGTCGGTTGGGGATTGTGGCGTTCGGGTGGTTTACTTGGTTGTGCGATGTATCGGCGTGGACTCGGCGAAGAGAGCTGGCAGAGAGAATGTTCCTTTCTCCGTGCGCCAAAAGATAGGTACAGGATTGAGTCATGGCGTGTCGTGAACGCATCAACATGACTTATATTACGACGACTACCGAGCTATTCCGTCGATCTTGAGTCGTGCATGCAACACACTACCTTTGTAGTAGGTAGCCACGCGGAAGGCGAAAGCTTAAACACATCTTCGCCCTGTTTATCTATCGACGGGTAGATAAGTAGCGCGAGAGTGCAGTGCGTTTCGACGCGTATGTCACGCGGACAGAACGAGGCTGGTAAACTTCCGCCCGTCGAGAAATGGGCCATGGGGTTGCGATCGGATGGGACTACGAAGCACTATAACACGCTCTACTCCCCAGACAGGTAGGAGATCGCCGGGTGGTGAACTTACTTGACTCTTTTGAGGTACGTATCACGCCATGCTCCAGGTAGGTTTGCGTGCTAAACGGGGTAGGTTGTATAGGATCTTCGCTTCGTGACCCACACCCATACGTTCGCGCAAATCCCTTCCAGCGGCGGGGATACCCTTTTTTCTGCGTACGGTGGCTAGCGGCCGTGAGAGGAGGACGAGGTGGTGAATTCTCAGTCGTTTGCCTCGGGACTTGGCTTCGGGGACTAAAGACGAGCATCTTGCTGTCGGGGTAAGGTCGCTGGTATCTTACTGCGTGGAGCATTGCCCTGAGGATGTTGTGGAATCTAGCAGAACTGGTTGAAACGGCATTCATGACGACAAAGGCATTCGTCCAGGACAACTCAGAACACAGACAACGGCGATGGTAAGGAACGACACACGCGAGTACAGATACACAGTGCAAGGTTGTTTAGACTTTGCACGAAACATGGCGAGCAGGCGGATGGTCACCAGTGGGAAGATCTGTCGCGGATTCTCCCATCTCCGGCCTCCGTCTCCGTTAACTATGGGGAAACTTCCGTGTTCAGTCCAAAAAACTCCTGCCCTCCCGTCTTCTTCTCTTCCACGCCACACTCCCCGCGTCATCGCTTGACTCTCTGAGTTTGAGACGTAGTTTCAACTAAACGTTTTCTCACTTGCCAGTAGATCCGTGACGTCTAACTACTCGCTAGCTCGAACACTCTCCTCCCGCGTGTTCTGTAACGCACTGCTTGGGTTGTCGATGAGGGTTTGCTCAGGTGTCCTAACACTGCAGTGCAGTCTCACGCTAGGGTGGTGCGGCTTCTACCTATCACCAGTGATGAGGAACGCTTTCTATCAAATTAACCATTGAGATAGGAACCATCAAGGTGTCTGACCAGGGACATGTGCCACATGAAGGGATGTTGTTAGACCCGCCAACCCGCCAACGTAGAGCTAGCTACAATTCTTTGACACAGATATGCATCACAACTAAAGTCTGTATTTGTCACCCCACTCACTGGGAAACGGAAGTTCCAAACACATGATACCAACGTCCCACGATAGCTAGCACAGCGCCATGACCACGTGAGTGATGAGGGTCTCGTAGCCAAACGCATGATCTCCAGACATGTAAAGCGGGTATGCAGGGCAGGTGGATGAAGATTGGAGTAGCGATGCCGACGACGCAAAGAAGTGAAGCAAAGTTCACGCTCAGCCTGTTCTCTTTTCACTATGAAAATTATCCCCGTAGGGGAAGAGAGTTGTCTATATCTCACGAGCTTAAATTGATACCACATGCCGTAACGGACAACGCAGATACAAGAAAAGCCCAGAAGACGGCTTTCGTTTCGATTACTAACAACCAACCGTCTTGTTTTGTGGAGAAGACTGACGTTAATCAACTGTCTGTTGGGTTGCAGTTCATGAAGTATTGTTTCGAGTGATAAGAAAATTCACAATCGGTTCTACTAGTCTATATAAATTCTTTGCCCAATGCATTCTGATCCTACTGACAAAGATACGAGAAACAAGATTAAGATGCCGACTTGGGTTTCGTCTATTCCATGCGCATGATAACAAACACGTCAGTTAGTGTTCCAATACTAGAAGTGTTTCTTGCCGTAAGCTTTTCGTATAAACTGGTTCTGTAAGCCCTAAGGACTATAGTCGGTTTTAAGTAAACCGAATTCGCGTAATTAGTTTATAGTAAGCTAAATTCTCTTCAGTTTACTTAAAACTATACGTTAGTTCTATAGTAAAATAAATATATTATAGTTATATAAGAGCTTTTAAGGCTAGAAATCCTTTATAATAATTTTAATTACAGTAATTTACTCTTAACACTGCTAAATACTACTAAACGCCCCTAAACCTAAGTAATCCTAAGGAAGAAAATCTCTAATTAATAGACTTTAGTATACTACTTATATTCTTTTCCTATTAACTATAGAGGGTATAAGCTTAGTTAGAGTAGTACAGCACTTAGTATTATATAAACCTTACTATTATTATTATTATTATTATTACTACTACTATTACTGCTGCTATTACTACTATTACTATATATATTTTATATCTACTAGCTTAGTGCACTTAACCTTAAAAGAAACCTTACTATTATTATCTATAACTTTAATAGTATAATACTTATACGTACTCTATATCTCTAAGCTTCTACTATATACTAGGTAAGCTACGTTAGGTAAGCTATT